TTTTTTATATTTAAAATGAGATGTTTATCCTGTATTTGATTGTGTTTATTTGCAGTTAGTTACACGAATTCAGATATGAGATGAAATCGGATAGGGATGAACGGGTTTAAGAGTTTTTAAGAGTTTAAGAGTTTTAAGAGTTTAAGAGTTTTTAAGAGTTTTAGTCAAATGCTTTATAATATAGTATAGATATACTGTGAAAAAATATTTTTAATATTTACGATTTATACTTTTATAGTTATTTGTTTTTATATATATACTATATATTTTGGGGTTAGGCTGTCCAAATTGCATTGTATAATATGTTTTGAATTAATATGTTCTTGGGTTTTTTTTGAAATTTATATATACATATATTAATTCAACCTTAATTTGAGTTTCTGGACAAGAAAGAAGGTAATCATTTGAAATTTCATTCTAAAACCCATCTTTTTTTGTCTTTTCATGGCTTATGATCTGGCAAATTTGTAGTTTTCTTTATTGGTTTGAGTGTTTATCTTAAAACTCAAGTTTCTTGGTTCTTTGCTCTTGGTGTAAATTGAATACATTTGTGGAGTCGTTTACATATGTTGGATTTTAAACTGTCATACAATTTTTTCATCGATAGTCTGTAATTGGAACCATAACTCTTATTTATTCAAATTGTATTAATATGTAAAGACTAAGTGTAACCTATATCATCGTTAAATCTTATCTTATAAAACCAATGAAACTTCAAAATCGTTAAAATTCATGGCTCTCATCGCGCACAACTAGTTAACGAGTTGAAAAGTAAAAGTAAAAGAGCAGGCAGATGGATGAGTCAGTCTGTGAGTAGGAGGACAAGTGGCATATGATGGAGGTGGAGTTGGTCCGAAGTTATCTAGGAACCAAACCAAACTAAATAATTACAAACCATCCAAAATCATGCAATCTTATGTTTATAAACACTCCATAATCAGCCTCCCAATCCTACCACCGCATTACCACCGGTCCTCTCTTTTTCTGTTTTTTTTTTGTTTTTTGTTTTTTTAATTAATAAACGCTTCTCCTTCTGTTCGTAACAGTCGCATTCAGGTGGCGCCACCTTCTCACCTCCAACCACCACCTTAATTCCGGTTGTTACAGGAAAGAAACGAATACCATATACATCCAACAACATCATCAAATTAACACCACCACTTAATCATGGGTTTCTTTCGTAATCTCTGGGACGAAGCCCTCGCCGGCCCTACCCCTGATTCCGGCATCCACAAGCTTCGCAGGTATAACTCTCTCCTTTCACCTTCTAATAATCCTCCCACCGGAATCCCTCCACCGGACCACAATACCCCCATCTCCCGTACCATCACTATTCTCCGAACCAACAGTCTTTCCAGTTCCGCTTCTACCCCATCTTCTCCGGCTGGATCCAGTGCTGCTGGTTCCCCTTTCTCAGGTATTTATACATATATATATATATATATATTTATCACACTAGCTAGCTCGCTCTTAATTAATTTCTCTTAAACATACATACATATAATATATACATATATATATATATATATATATATAGACAGATAATTTGTTCTTGTTTGGTGTTCAGCAACATCCCCTGGCGTGGATTTCAAGAAATTGACACGGAGGAAATCTACCGCCGACGCCGTGAACCGCAGGGGGTCCAAAAGTCCTACTGGTTACGATTGGTAATTAATTTGTTCTCCTTTTCTTTTATATATAATATATATTCTCCATCATTAACTAGGTTTTTAGAATTACTACATAACATGGGGGATGGTTGCAGGATCGTTCTGACTTCTCTGGATCGTTGAATATTCAAGAGCCAATCAGACGACCAATTAAGGATTCTCAGAGTAACATCTTTTGTATAAATATAACCACCTCTGTGCAAATCCCATATATGTATGTTTAATATCGCAGCCCATGATATATAAAAATATGTATAAGCGATGTGGCGTAACCTATATATATATATAATTTACTAGTATTTAATAAGATGAGATGCTTCTGTAGTCGCAGATCAATGGAGCCATTACTGCATGCCTCAAGTTTCAGGAAGAGGAAAACCACAACTGCGAGCTGCTCCTTTTTGATCTTTGTATATATGGATTTCTTTCTTTCTTTCTTCTTTTACTTTCCTGTTTTTCTTATTAGTCTCTGTAAATATGAATCATATGGTTGATCCATCCGGTTCTTATTCCTGACATGGTTACTGGTTCTTGTAAATTGAAATGACATGAATGAAGCTCCCATCGTTGTATTATACTATAGCAAGCATCACAAGATTTCTTTATTTTCTGAATGAATTTTTGTCAAGATGCCAACTTGAATCCATTTATTACTACTTTGGGTGGTCTAGATTCAAACCCAGAAAAAAAGAAGAAAGATGATACGAATAATCTTGACATAATTCAGACAAATTAACCAACTAGCTTCATTAATTAGTCGTCTCAGCTGCTTTTACTTTCTCAATTAAATCAGCAGCATCTTGAACTGTAGAGATGTTCTCAGCTCCACTTTCTCCAATCGAGACTCCAAACTGTTCTTCCAAAGCCATCATAATCTCCACCTATTTGATGATCAGTTAAATAAATTCATCTTCAATGGAAGAAACCGATTAAAAAGAAAGAAATTAAGGAACTTACGGTGTCGAGAGAGTCAGCACCAAGATCAGCGAATTTGGTTGCTGGGGCGACTGTGTTCTCATCGACCGACAATTGCTTGGCAATGGTGGTCTGCACTATTTTGAGAGTCTGTGGTAGAGCCTACACAAATTGAAGGAGCCATAAATTATTACTACACCTAATTAATCAGCTAACTACAGATGTATTGTTTCTTACAGCAGAACATGAAATTTTGGTGTTGAAGCAGTGGGATGATCTTGAGTGTGACTTGAGGATGACAATTACTCTACTTTTTCCAGCCTGCATGCATGAGAAACAAACAATTAATTAGTTATGTGTGTGTGTGTATATATATATATATATATATATATATATATATATATGGTAGGTAGCCATAAGAGATATATGTATACCATGGTGAACTGGTTGGATTGAAGTCTAGATGGAAGAAGAAGGGTGGCTGAAGTTGAAAGGGAAGCCATGGAATTAAGGTCAAGAAGAGGATTAACAGATGGCTTGAATAATATGTAGTGTGGATTGGGATTCATATATAAATAGAGAGAAAAGTGGCGAAAGTAACAAGGCAAGCCATCTTTTGGGCGGTCAAAACCATGCACTCCTTTCCTTTCCATCGAAGTTATGGAAAGAAACACGTACTAATCGATATTAGTTCTATGTAACTTGTAGTTATTGTAAGAGAAAAAACAATTGCAGCCGTCCTACTACATATACTACTCTCTGGTCAATATATATATATACACACACATAGGTAACAACTAATTATCATGAATGAGGAAGGAAACCTCCACGAAAATGAAAATCGAGGAACATCCATATAACCGTTCATTTGGATGGTGTGCAAACGCGCATACAAGTAATTTGTATCATGCACACATACATAAAACTAAAAACATGTTCAATTACTTGTATGCACATGTACATACCGTCCATTTACTAGGATGTTCCTTATTTCTTTATGGTTTTTTTTTCGGGAACCTAAGCCTAGAGTATGTTTGGTGTTTGTACTTCACATTCGTTTTATATATAAAATAATTACATGCAACAAATTCAATAGTTGTGTCATGCAGAATTTCAATACTAAAGCGTTGACATGTACATCGACATTTGTATATGGGCAGGATCAGAAAATGAAAAAAGGAACATACCGAAAAAGATATTAAATTTTAGGTTTATGTAAATGACAAGCGACAGGTAGGGGATGTAGCTCACATGGTAGAGCGCTCGCTTTGCATGCGAGAGGTACGGGGTTCGATACCCCGCATCTCCATTCTTTTTCTATTTTTTTTGGAAAAGAATTCACTTATTTATTTATTTTTTAGGTCGGTTCTTAAGAACTCCAACCCTGACCGACGCACAAACAAAACAATTGCTGATTCTTGCCTATGTTGAAGGTACCTTTCTTTCAATCCATATGTCCCATGTTTTTTCTTTTTAATCCCAAGCCTTTCGTCACTGTCGTAGCTTGTTTATGTGCGTTTTTACGTGGTTCTGGTTGGTTAAGCGATGCGATTTTGCGTTCTTTCTTCTGGGTTCACTTGGATTGTTACCAGAAAAAGCAAATCTCTTGTTTAAAAAATGGAATCTTTATTTTCTCTTTAACAAAGATTGTTAATTTGTTTCTGCAATCACCATCTCTAATCTGGCTTGGCTTCTTCATCCGGAGGTTGTGTGGTCTCTCTCTGGAAATACCATGTTCACTTGTAAAACTTTGCAACTTGGACCTCAAGCAATCAAAGGCTTGTCCAAAGGTTTGTTTGTCATCTCCACTCTTATGCTATTCTTTTTTTTTGCTTATATCTGTATAGAATTGCATGGCAGTGTTGCGTCCAACATATATACTGAAAAAGCACCACAAATGCTGTTTTAAAAAGAAAATCTTTATTGAATCCCATTCCCAGGCTGAATACTAGTGATAACTGAAACTTTTAATTGGGGCACGAGTTATTTTTATATTGAACTTGTCTGTTTCACTACTTTTGGATTTAATATTTTACACTATTTGCACTTAGAACTGCTTCATAACCTTTTTATAATTGTCTCCAGTTTCCCGCATTTTGAAATCCACATCCCCCGCACTAATTACACCAAGGAAATCGTATGTTCAGAATTTTTGTCTGCCGGTTAGTTCTTCCTATTCCAAAGTATAAGTTCTGAATTTTGCTGTTTCGGAATTGTAAAATGGCCTTGGTTGTTAAATGAGAGCACCTTTGCAAGACACAGGGATAAACAACGAATCGTTTTTACTACGGGAAGCAACTCTCTTATGCATGTTTCAGTCAATATACCTTATTATTGTCATATGTGAGCATACATGATGTCTTGCTGCTACCATTAACTTGAATCGTTTTTGTTAGGGCCGTGAACGATTCTCTACTACCGCAACTGACAATGCAGAGGGTGGGAATGAAGAAAACCAAAAGTGAGTAGAAACTTCCAACGTGTTTTTTGCTGTTGAACACGGGTAACCAGTTTTGTGTAAACGTAAACGCACATTATAACTCAGAAAAAAGAATACAGATGAAAATTGTTTTATTAACTTGAACCTGGTGAAGGGAGAAATGAAGATAGAACATCATAACAGATGAAAACTATGACACTAGCGATAAGATGCTATTTTAGCACATTATGTATGCAACCCACCCCCACATTGATAGAAAATGAGATTTGTGAGCTTCTTATAACGCGAGCTACCAATAACTTTTACCATGATTTTAGGTTGATTTGGAAATTTCGGGCTAGTCTTAGTCTACTAATTGTGCCTTTCAGTTTCTTGTTAATGCATTAGGATTGTGAATTCTCATACTGTATAGAATAAGAAAATATCTTTAGTGCTACAAGATGGGAAGCTCCCACTTCGTTTTCTTTTATTTTTCAAATCCATGTATGCAGCAAGGAGACTGAAAACTTGAAAATACAAACTTCTAATTGAGACCTTTGTTGAATATTCAGTATCTCCGTGACATTTGTTGACAAGGATGGAGAGGAGAAGAAGATCAAGGTCCCCATTGGAATGTCTATGTTAGAAGCAGCCCATGAAAATGACATAGAGCTTGAAGGTAAACATCACATTTCTATGTTGATTTAGCATCTGTGAGCTAATAAACTTGAATTTGATTACAGGAGCATGTGAAGGATCACTTGCTTGTTCCACCTGTCATGTAATTGTAATGGTATGCCATTGCGTGCAGATAAGCAGCCACAGCAATTCTCAGAGGCAAACCTCCAAAATGTAATTACAGATTTGTCCAGGAGCATTGCCTGTGGCTGCCAGACTACTTGCACTTAAAAGTACTTGATAAATAACATAGTACAGTTTTAGAAAGTCAACTAAACATTATCGCCATTTATCAGGATGTGGAGCACTACAATAAGCTTGAAGACCCAACAGATGAGGAAAATGACATGCTAGACCTTGCTTTTGGGCTCACAGAAACGTAAAAACATTAAATGTAATCGATGTACGATTAATTCATTTCATCACAATCTCATACAAGGTCAGTTGTATGCAGGTCACGTCTGGGTTGTCAAGTAATTGCAAGACCTGAACTTGATGGACTTCGTCTAGCCATCCCTGCTGCTACTAGAAACTTTGCTGTTGATGGCTACAAACCAAAGCCACATTAGAAATTCACATATAAGGAAAGGTTTTTGAGTAACCAAGGGTACGAATTTTAAGGCGTTTTCATTTTTCTGGTCCTAGAAATATTTCCAGGTAGGTTTTATTAACTATATTGGGATTTCATAGGAGCTTTGTCCATTATACTTCTGCCACCAGGATTTATGTAATTTTTCTGAAGGCTTTCAAAGTTTCATTGGCTTCTGTACAAGTTAAACAGTTATGTAATCACAATTCACACAAAGCTTGTAAATTTTCTAAGCATACAACTTGAAATTGATGCCAAGTGAAGTTGTACCATTGTACTTATATTGTTGGACTGACTATTATCAGACATTATTGATCTTTTATAACTATAAATACTGTTTATGTGATGCTCTATTTGGCATGTCTGCGTACTTCTTGGGTCTCTGGTTTAGTGCTCAGTATCAAATGAAGTTTCGGGTGCTGAAGTTCTTATGCATTAAACTGTTCTTCACCATGAAGTGTTATAGAGTTTAAACAAGTAAAGATGCTTGTTTGAACTCTATTAACACCATGGTGAAGAACAGTTTAACGCTTGTTTAAACTCTTGTACTTGATAGACAGCAAGTCTTTGATTGATAATTTTTCTGGGTTCAAATCAATTTAGAATAAAGGTTCCCATTCTTTAATCACTTGCTTTTGTTTGAATGTTACATCTCTTCTTTTCATTGTCATTGTTCTAGAACAAGGGAAGTTAACCAGCCAAGATGAGTTTGTCTTTGTCAGTTCAAGTCATTGATCCCCATCATGCGTGTGTGTATATATATATATATCGAGTCGGGTTCAAACGAGAACGATATCTATTTAAGAGAATAAGAGAACGGTTGAATCATATGTGATTTTACACTAACATCATATACAAAATCACATGTGATCCACGTGACTTTGTCATGTGGCTAGAAAATGCGGCCATAGGGTCGCCCACACACTTCTTTGGTTGTTAATGTAAAATCACACGTGATTTTGCACATGATTTGGTCATTTTCCTATTATCTTAATTAGTTAGCATTCTCATTTGATCTTCCACCCCCCCTTTCCCTCTCTCTCTCTCTCTCTATATATATATATATATATATATATATATCCATTTAAGTAGGAAACTATAGAGTTTTCTTCCGTACCGTCATCTATACAAGATCTTACATTGTTATAGTGTTATTTGGAATATTTTGATGAATTCTTCCCTTTCCCTCTCTCTCTCTCTCTCTATATATATATATATATATATATATATATATCCATTTAAGTAGGAAACTATAGAGTTTTCTTCCGTACCGTCATCTATACAAGATCTTACATTGTTATAGTGTTATTTGGAATATTTTGATGAATTCTTCCCTGGCCAGGTTGTTGATTTAGAATGTACATCATACCTTGTAATTAAGGTTGATTTTTTTTAATGAAACTCCATTTTCTCTTGTGCGTGTTTGCATATTTTGTTTGATTAATTATGTTTAAAGACTTTTCAAAGTCAAATGCACATTTGAAAATTAAAGAATGTCCTGCCATTTGGCTCAAGTTCCTGCTCTTTAAACCAAGGAATTGGTTTAAATTAACTTTATTCATCTTTTGTGGTTTGTTTTTCTTTCATTTGACTAACCAGTCAACCCATTTGCATGCTTCTTCAGCAACCGACACTTGGAGATTATCAGTGATTTGTTATATGTCAGCAAGCATGCAAGTAACTTAATTGGTTTCTCGTGTCTTATTCCTATTTATATTTATAAAAAAGTGGAAACTTGTCATACCAAGAAGAAGAAACGACACTGAATACATCCATGGTATAACCAAGCAAAATGTCGAAATTATTAAACAATACCTTCTATAAATGCCGGCAAACGTATAATCTATCAATAAAACTCCTCAAGGGAATTATTGACCATTTCTGACATAAAACAAGAAAAAGACTGAACAACTTCTGTTCTTATGCATGTCATTCTAATATTCTTTCTTCCATGGCTGAATCTTCCTTCGAGATGGACCACCAGGCCACCCCCATTTCCTACCGGCCTCACCACACAACTCCGGCCCACTCCCACCGATCCCCCCGTTTATCGTTCTACAGCCCTCACACCTATCCATTCCCAACATCTCATAGAACCCGTTATACTCGTGTGCCTCCCACCACTCCTTTTTCATCTGACAATGACCGTTCATGGCAAGACGAGATTTCATGGCAGTTTGAGCCCACAGGCTGGCAAGACGACCGTGGAACCATGCTTAGTGCTGCACTAAGTCCATGGACCGGGCCAGGAACCTCACCCTCCCCATCCCCTACACCTGGCACCCGTGTATTTCGCCAATCAGCTAACGACTATTACCTTTCTCGTACTTCAAGTAGTGATCTTTACTTTCATAACTTCACTAATCCGTATTATGAACATTCCAGTGTCTTGTCTCCTGGTAGAATTGAGCTCCAAAGCTATGTGGCCGAAGATACTCATAGAATTAACCATCAACCAGATGGTAGTTCCTTTATTGGCGGTTACATCAAGTCTCCTACTTTTGCAAGAATGGGAACTAGTATTAATACCAAAAGGGACCATTTGGCAGATAATGCTGATCCAAGTATGATTGATGATGATAAACAGAATGAAACACGAATAAAAGAACAAGATCCACGATGGTTCTCTGTTTCTCGTGCCTATGTTGATCAGGATATGGGGAGATATGATGGTCATAGTAGTCGTCATCATGGGATTTCCTTTACAAGTCATGACCATCATAATGTCAATGGTCTGAACAGTTACAGTCATGGCTATGATGAGGATAGTCAACAACTGTTTCGTAGTCCTCAGTATCTTCAAAGTTACGTGCAAGACGGAGACGAGCTTGATGAGGATGAGGTTGTACCGCCAAATACCATCGGGCTTTTTGGCTTGTTCAAGTATTCAACAAAATTGGACATGTTTCTTGTAATAATAGGCTGCTTGGGTGCTTTGATGAATGGAGGATCTCTACCATGGTATTCTTATCTTTTTGGAAATTTTGTCAACAAGATTGCATTAGAAACTGACAAGGACCAGATGTTAAAAGATGTCAGAAAGGTAATCCTTTGTTCTATAATCTTACTGGCATGACCTCATCTAGTTTTTACTCAATCTCTTTTTCTGACAAACGAACCTCAGGTATGTGTGCTTATGGCAGGATTGGCAGGATTAGTGGTAATTGGAGCCTATTTACGTAAGCTCAATAGTTCTTACTTTTCTTAGTGAAATCTGCTCATCAAGTACAATTCCTCAATAGTACTTATCTATATGATTGGCAGAGATTGCTTGTTGGCGATTGGTGGGGGAGCGATCAGCGCATAGAATAAGAACCAAGTACCTAAGGGCAGTTCTAAGACAGGATATCAGCTTCTTTGATGCAGACATTAGTACAAGTGATATCATGCATGGAATCTCAAGTGATGTTGCTCAAATCCAAGAAGTTATGGGAGACAAGGTATAACCTGTTCAATTGAAAAACAGAATCTCAGTCACTAGTTTGTGAGTTCAAGTTGGTATTTTACATGATAAATTTTCTGAAATGCAGATGGCACACTTCATTCATCACATATTTACCTTCATCTGTGGCTACGCAGTTGGTTTCTTAAAATCCTGGAAGGTTTCTCTTGCAGTTTTAGCTGTCACTCCATTAACAATGTTCTGTGGCATCGCTTATAAGGCAGTCTATGTTGGCCTAGCTACAAAAGAAGTGGTAAGAAATGAAAAAAAGCATCAATCACATACACTTCAACGTTTATATTTATCGCTTTGCCTATTCTTTATTGTTTATTTACAGAATTCTTACAAGAAAGCTGGTAGCCTAGCAGAACAAGCGATGAGTTCAATTAGAACTGTATTTTCTTTCGTAGCAGAAGAGAGTTTAGCAGCAAGATATGATGCAGTATTGGATGAATCAGTGCCAGTGGGAAAGAAACTTGGTTTTGCAAAGGGTATAGGAATCGGAGTAATATACTTGGTTACTTATTCAACATGGGCATTAGCTTTCTGGTATGGATCAATCTTGGTCTCAAGAAACGAGTTATCTGGTGGTGCAGCCATTGCATGCTTCTTTGGTGTCAATGTTGGTGGCAGGTAACTAACCATATAAATGCATGTACACACAACTTGTAGTCTTACAGTATAGTGCAGTACTGGTCAAACAGACTCTGATGCACATGATTTATGCAGGGGTTTGGCATTGTCTTTATCATACTTTGCTCAATTTGCACAAGGTACCGTAGCAGCTAGCAGAGTGTTTGAGGTTATAGATAGGATCCCAGCCATTGATCCTTATAGTACCATAGGGAGAAAGCCCACAAGTGTACATGGAAAAGTGGAGCTCAAAAGTGTTACTTTTGTTTATCCATCTCGCCCGACTGTCCCAATTCTCAATTCTCTCAATTTGGTGATTCCATCTCAAAGAACTTCAGCTCTAGTTGGTGCTAGTGGAGCTGGCAAGTCCACAATTTTTGCTCTTTTGGAGAGGTTCTATGATCCTGTTGAGGGTAAGCTGTGTTCCTTCCCATCTTTTTCTAAGATGGTTCGTGCCACAATTTAGTTTGGAAGATAATCTTGTTCTTATTCTCTCTATATACAAATCATAGGCTTGATATTGCTGGATGGTCAAGATATAAGGACTTTGCAAGTGAAATGGCTAAGACGTCAAATGGGTATGGTGGGTCAAGAGCCTATCCTCTTTGCAGACACAATTCTTGAAAATATTCTGATGGGAAAGGAGAATGCCACCAAGAAAGAGGCTATCACTGCTTGCATTGCTGTGAATGCACACAAGTTCATAAGTGATCTACCATTAGGCTATGACACCCAGGTTCAGAACATGTACTGTATTAGTAAAAATACACCACCCTTATGGTGTTAATAACTTCAATTGTAACTTCATGTAACAGGTAGGAGACAAAGGAACTCAGCTATCTGGGGGTCAAAAGCAACGTATTGCACTGGCTCGTGCAATGATCAAAGACCCCAAGATCCTTCTCTTAGATGAGCCCACAAGTGCCTTAGATCCCAAGTCTGAATCTCTAGTTCAACTGGCCATTGAGAAAATCTCAAAAGGGAGAACCACAATTGTGATTGCTCACAGGCTGGCAACTGTCAGGAATGCTGAAACAATTGTTGTTCTTGAACAAGGATCTGTTGCTGAAACTGGTGACCACCATCAGCTCATGGCAAGAGAAGGTGCTTACTTTGCTCTCATCAAGCTTGCATCTGAAGCTGTATCAACTAACCTCATATCTGAAAGAGATGAATTGGGTAAAAAGAATGAAACTTCTGGTACTTATGATCTATCAAAACCAAACCATGTGTACGAGATCTCAATGTCAGGGTACATGAAATCTGTTCAAGAGGCGAACGAAGTAGAAACACAAGAAGTAACCAAACAGAAATCATACAGGATTTCTGAAATATGGAAACTACAAAAACCCGAGGCCAGTCTGCTGTTTATTGGCATAATTTTTGGGATGCTGGCTGGTGCTATACTCTCCTTATTCCCCTTGGTTTTAGGCCAAGCGCTTAATGTCTATTTCAATCCAGACAAATCCAAATTAAAGAAGGATGTTGGCTACCTCTGTTTGGCACTTGTTGGACTTGGGTTTGGGTGTATTCTCACTATGACAGGTCAACAAGGTTTCTGTGGTTGGGCTGGAACAAAACTCACGAAGAGGGTTCGTGATTTTCTCTTCCAGTCTATACTGAAACAAGAGCCTGGGTGGTTTGACTCAGACCACAACTCAACCGGTGTACTTGTTTCAAGGCTGTCTGTTGACTGTATAAGTTTCAGATCAGTTCTAGGGGACAGATACTCTGTTCTATTTATGGGCTTGAGCTCAGCTGCTGTCGGCCTTACTGTTTCGTTTTATCTTGAATGGAGGTTAGCCCTTTTGGCTACTATTCTTACTCCTTTTACACTTGGAGCTAGCTATTTTAGCTTGATCATCAACATTGGTTCGAAACTAGATAATGGTTCTTATGACAAAGCCAGTAGTATAGCTTCTGGTGCAGTATCAAACATTCGTACAGTGGCAACTTTTGCTACACAAGAAAAGATAGTCCGGTCTTTTGAGCAATCTTTGTTGGAGCCCAAAGCAACTTCTGTGAGAAGATCACAGATTACCGGATTGGCATTAGGATTCTCTCAAGGTGCAACGTACTCAGCTTATACTCTAGTTCTGTTTTTTGGAGCTTACCTTGTAGAACAAAGCTATACAACATTTGGAGATGTCTACAAGATATTCTTGATCCTTGTTTTGAGCTCATTTTCAGTTGGACAATTGGCGGGTCTTGCTCCAGATACTTCAATGGCCTCCACTGCAATTCCTGCTGTTTTTGATATCCTTAATCGCAATCCATTGATTCATGGAAAAGGCAAAGACATAGAACGATCAAGGCCATTTGATGTGGAGTTCAAGATGGTGACTTTTGCTTATCCCTCTAGGCCTGATGTGATTGTGTTGAGAGATTTCTGTTTAAAGGTCAAAGGTGGAACCATGGTGGCGGTCGTTGGAGGGAGTGGTTCTGGGAAATCAACACTCATATGGTTGACACAAAGGTTCTACGATCCAATTCGAGGAAAAGTTCTACTGGGAGGAATGGATTTGAGGGAGCTTGACGTGAAATGGTTGCGCCTTCAAACAGCTTTGGTGGGTCAAGAACCTGCATTGTTTGCTGGTACAATACGAGAAAACATAAGATTTGGAAACCCCAATGCCTCATGGTCAGAGATTGAAGAAGCTGCGAAAGAAGCTTACATTCACAATTTCATCTGTGGCCTCCCGCAAGGTTATGAAACTGAGGTATGTTGTTAATATTTCTGCACAAAATCATACTACGTTTCTTTAAAAAATGTTCTTTAGCATAAAGATGGATACTTTTCTAGGTTGGTGATAGTGGGGTTCAACTATCAGGAGGTCAGAAACAAAGGATAGCAATAGCAAGGGCAATAGTGAAGAAATCAAAGGTGCTATTACTAGATGAAGCAACTAGTGCATTGGACTTGGAATCCGAGAAACATGTTCAAGAAGCGCTTAGGAAGATCACCAAACGTGCAACCACCATCGTGGTAGCTCACCGCCTCTCCACAATCAGAGAAGCTGCCGTTATAGCGGTGGTCCAAGATGGTAAGGTGTCTGAATATGGAACACATGACGCCCTCATGGCTTCTCATCTTGATGGTGTCTATGCTACCCTTGTTCGTTCCGAGATGGAAGCTAACGTTTTTGCTTAACTAATTGGCATGAAATAGTAATCTTTCATTTATTTAGTAAAACTGTCTTGTGTAAATAATCTGTTCATTTGTTAAAGATGATGTTTTTCTTTCTTGTGACAAATCTTGAAAGATGTTTCCTATTTTGTTAGTATTATGGAAGAAGGGTGTTTTAATTATGATTAGTACCTCAAAAGTCAAAACACTTATGATTAGCACATAGCAATTTCATTACCTCTCTAATGTAGCCATTTGCTCTTTCTGTAAAGAGACAGCTTACCGGGGACAGACCCCTTGGGTAAGTGATTTTACCGATTTAACCCTGCCCATCACCTATCAAAAGGCTAGACCAAACAAAGGTTATACTTGTCATTTCCTTTGTTGAAAAAGGTTTGCTGGTAGAAAGTACTTCCTTTGCTTAAAAGCCAAGTTAAAGTTGCATTATGGTAAGGTATACCATAATTTGCCTACCATTCAAAGCCATATAGATTCCTTCACGTTCATGTTTTAATACTGAATAGTTTCGTTTCTTTCTTTATTCTTTTTTAGAAAGAAAGATGGCATCTCTTACACCAGGATTTCTCCTGAAACTACTTCGAACTATTAATTCTAACATAAAAGTTCGTGGCGAATACCGATCCATCCTTTTGCAAGTCATCAGCATTGTCCCAGCCTTAAACGGGTCTGAACTATGGCCAAACCATGGCTTCTTCATCAAAATCTCAGATTCATCTCATTCCACATACGCGTCATTGTCCAAGGAAGACAACGAGCTCATTTTAAACAATAAACTACAACTTGGCCAATTCTTTTGGGTCGATAGAATGGATGTTGGAACTCCAGTTCCAGTTCTAGTAGGGGTTAGACCTGTTCCTGGACGACACCCGTTTATCGGGAACCCAAAAGATTTGATGCAGATGTTAGAGCCTTCAGAAGCTATCAAATCTAGTGAAATGGTGGAGGCAAAAGAAGAGAGCACGAAAAAGAAAATCGTGATCAAAGAGGAGAAAGTTACAGTTGCTTCAAGGTATATGCAAGGAGCTGTGGCAAAAAATGATGGTCTAAAAAAAGATGAAAATGAGAGTAATTCAAGGAACGGCACAATCAAGGGCAGACAACAGGAGACAAAAGGTCAGGTATGACGATATATCTCGAATTTAAATCTCTACACCAAGCGACAACTTTGTAAGAAATGTTTTGGTGTTTGCACATTGCAGGCACACACGACAACAAGTTTGCATAAGTTGTCTGATGCATTAAGACCACGGGTAGGTGCTGGTGTGAACGGGCGCTTCACAGAACCATTGACAATTAAGCAAGAAAACGTCAACTCAAACTTGGTGCAAAGGAGAAGAGATAAAAACCATTCTTCTGAAACAGTTTCTTGGTCCTCCCTGCCTCCTAGACTGCTAAATCCAGCCAAGGTATGTATAGTTTAGGCACATGAATTGATCTCGTATCAGAATCGATCTAACTTTGTTCATTTGTAAAAAGGGAATGATTAGAAGGAGAACCTTAGCTTCTCTTGCAGCAGCAGAAGCTCAAAAAGAAGCCATAACAGCAGCAAATCTTGTCAAATGCCTCCGGTAAGTTGGTTTATACTCTCATCTTAGAGCATTATAAGAAAGAAAAAATATATATCTAACATGCACTTAATTTGTTTTGTTGGTAAAAATCTAACATCAGAATTTTTGGCCAACTCTGTTCATCCGCGTCACATGCAAATCCGCACGAGTCTCTGACCAAGTTCTTTTCACTTTACGGACTTATAGAAGAAGAAAACGTGAGTGTCATCCCTAAAGAGGACAAATTACTTGAGTTTTCAAGTAGCTCACAAGAACCAGACAAGTTGAACAAATCTAGCAAAAAGACTGGGGTGGCTCGAGTTACAAGTACAAAGAAGACTCCAAAGACTTGGGTGGAGCTAACTGTTGCCGAAAAATTAGAATGGGCAAGGGGAGATGGTATGAAAGAAGGGAAAGAAGTGAGAGAAATTCTATTAGATGTGACACAATCTTGGTTTCTAGAATTCCTAGAAAGGGCACTTGATGTCGGGTTTCAAATGGGAAACCTGGAAACTGTCAAAGGGAAAGGAAAGAATCACAATAACATTGCAAACAAAACAGAGCCAAGTAGTCAGATCGCGGTGACGCTATCTCAGCTCAAGCAAGCAAACGAGTGGCTGGATAAACTAAGAAGCAAGATGATGTTAGAGGAAAAACAAGAAATGTTGGTGGAGACGATTGATGGTTTGAAGCAAAAAATATATGCTTGCTTGCTTGTCCATGTGGATTCAGCTGCAGTTGCTTTAGAAAACAGATGCGATCGCGTATGAACAAAATTGTATGTTTATTTATTCAAAGTAAGTTGCATGAATTGTAATCAGGATTCATGGCTATATTACTCATTACTGTGTGGTGTTTATTATCAAGGACGTGTGTATGAGAAATAGTGGGGTTTGAGACGTACCTGGGATTCCTTTGCTAAAGGAAGATGATCCAAGATGGAGAGAGAGAGTAGATGCGAAATCATGTAAGCTGATCCAGCATGGACCGTCGTCTCCCTCCCATCTTGCTTATTGTGGTTCTAAAAGAAAACACTACCAAGGGTGTGGTGCAGTGCTAGAAATGTGATATATATATACAAAATGTAATTTTAGATGTGCAAGTGTGGAATTGGGAGAGGGTAGGTGTGTTGGTGATTGTGAAGCAAGTAGGTGGGGGGGGGTGTTAAAAGGCTTCTAGTTTTCATATGTATATATCTCTCTCTTCAAGCTTTATCCTCATGGAAGCTAACATCAACAAGTTACCATATTTACATGTTGATATTCCTGATTTATGACAAATTCCAGATTACAAAGGAACTATGAGGTCCAGATTATATATATATATATATATATATATATATATATATAAACAAACACATTTTTAATCATCTGAAACTAACAAATCAAGAGAAGGATTAATAATTAAATTAATATATTTCTTCAATAACACAATCCCTTCCTCTTCCTCTTTATATTTATCATTTATAAATCTGAATATTTGAACCTAAAATAAGTTAATTTACTCCCCTCTATTCTATTTTTATAATGTTTGAGTTTTACTTTTAATTTATTTAAAAAAAAAATAAAAAAATAAAAAAATTAAAAGCCAAACTCAAACATTACATAAAATAACAAGTTAAATAAATATGTTTTTAAGCAAATACCGAGAAAATTTACATTTCTCTGCGTTTCTTCATCCGGTCATCCCTTTACTGTATCCATCCCCAATTTATCAAATCACACCCTCCTTCCAAAACCCTATTATTATTTCTCCCTCATTTTTCTACAATTCCACCCTACATCGATCGGATCATCAATCCGCATGATCACTACTTGAAATTTCTCAGGTAATTCCCCTATTTCTTATTACATATCCACTTTTCTTTTTTGCATTTGGCTTTTTCTTCGATCCAATCAACTTGGGTATTAGTATATCATCTTCATCTAGGTTCATTTCTTGCTGCTTTCCTGCTAATAATTTCTGTAAATCTCCAATGTGTTTGTGCTAACGACCCCAACCCTTTTGATCCGATTCAACTGCCCCCTGATCTTGGATTTCTTTATGTCTATATATGGGGAAACAATTCTGAAAAAATGGGATGAAAAGGAACTTCTTGTTCTTTTTTAAAGATTGATGTATTAAGCATTCAATTATCATATGAAGAACTTCTATTTAACATCTTTTGGAACTGCAATTGGTTTAAGTTTCACCCTTCCCATTGATATATTCTAGAGTTCCTTCCAATTTTACTTAGTAATTGTCATGTCTTAACGTTTCAAACTCTGGGAAATTTAGTCAAAATCTGGCAAGGCGACAACTTTTTGTGAAGATTGGAATTCTGTGTTGCCATTCACATGCCTTTTTTAGCACCAAAGACATCACAGCACACGATTATGATGTATCTGTAATTGCCATCTTAGTGGAAGCAAACATCAAAAATACCTCACTGGACTGGTTTTAGCACCTCAAACCAAATTCTCTTAGCTTTACCGTTTCTGCTATATAATTCTTGATGACAGATTTGACAAGTAATGTTGTGTAGTTGACAGCTTCTCAAAGTAAAGATGGTGAAGCTGACGATGATTGCTCGTGTCACTGATGGCCTTCCGCTAGCTGAGGGACTGGATGATGGTCGTGATATGCAGGATGCAGAGTTCTACAAACAGCAAGTCAAGGCTTTGTTCAAGAACCTTTCAAGGGGACAAAATGAAGCCTCGAGGATGTCTGTTGAAACTGGTCCTTATATTTTTCAGTATCCTCCATTTGCTCTTAAGATGATTTCTCCTTTATACTTTCTTCTTTGTGTTTGCAAAAAAAAATCGATTTATCAACTTCCAACCATTTCCTGCGTGTGTGGCTGTTAGTAGGTCCTCCTTATCATTGGTTGTCAAGAAATGGTTCTTTCATCATTTAGTTTGGGGCTCTTTTGCTTCTTTTTTCCTGAGTTTTGAAGTCTTTGATTGAAGCTTGAACCTTGATTTGCATTCGTATTCTTTAGTGTACCGAATCTAACTACTCTTGAAATTTTGTTCAAAATGCACCTTATACCCAAGCATGCATCTTGTTCCTATAATGGCCGAGTTTGTAGGAAGAGATCGAGAAGAAATATGATAGGAGAAGGGGAATACCGAGACTGAACATAGTGTATTAGAATGAAAAGAGTCTCTCCCCATCAAGGGATCAATGGGTGCTGAAAAACAAAATAGCAGGAAAAATATATTGCTGGGTAAGGAAAAAAGGGAATATGATAGGATGGAAGACAAAATACTTGGCCATATCTGCAATGCCAAAGAATTCACATGCACAAATTAACAGATATATGAGTTATGGTGTTGTAGGTATTTCCCATTTATAACACAAAGCTTACCATACTTTACCACTGATATACCTATCTCAAGTGACTACACTTCTAACTAATCTGTTCCTTTGTTTTATTTTCTCTCCTATTACTATGCAGATTAATTTAGATTTTGTGAGTCTTCTTCATGTGTTTATAAAAATCAAAGGGCCTTGTGTTGTGGGATTTTGATGACTGTAATGTGTTAGCCTTGCTTAAATGTGTACTAACCAAATTCGTTAAGCATGCACATGATCTGAGAGGAGTGATAGCTGTGGCTAGCAACTTATGATTTGCTCTTAATTTTTATATCGGGTGTTTCGGGTATCCTAGCTTAAAACACGTTCCCTCCATGCACAATACATTAACAATTTGTGCAGAATAATAACATGATTCAACAACTGTTTTATCATAAAATGCTTATAAATGACTTGTAAAAGCTTTCCATCCAGAGCAAAATCTAAGTTTGAACTATGCATCTTGATTCTAAGACATATGTTTGCATTTACTTATTTTTAAACCATATGCAATTTTTCTTTCAAATATACCCTATTTAGATAAGGTTCCTTAACCTTCATCTATCAGCTATATCATTGAAGGGCGGGTGTGTTATTTGACAATGTGTGATCGTGCTTATCCAAAGAAACTGGCGTTTCAATACCTTGAAGATCTTAAGAATGAATTCGAGCGTGGTTATGGGAATCAAATAGAAACTGCTGCAAGACCGTATGCTTTCATAAAATTTGGTAAATTATACCTGTGCTAGATTTTATTTACTTATCATTCCTTTATGTTAATGTTCCTGGTCATAAGTCTCTGTACTTAACTTGTCCTTCCTTTTGTTGAATAGATACATTTATACAGAGGACTAAGAAATTGTACCAGGATACAAGAACTCAGCGGAACATTGCTAAGTTGAATGATGAGCTCTATGAAGTTCACCAAATAATGACTCGTAATGTACAGGAAGTCCTCGGTGTTGGTGAAAAGTTGGACCGTAAGTTATTGCCTCTTTACGCTTGGTTGCTACTGTGCGTCTTATGATATTTCTTTTTGAGCATGCTATGAATACGGGTGGAATGTACAATCAAAATAAAGGTTGTGGGGGGTACTGTGATGTATTTTGTGCGAGGGGGTTACAGTTACATTGAAGCCTGTTATTATCTCGCACTTTTCAACGGTTCACTAACTAAGAAATATGGATGATGCTAATGCAATGCTCCTTGGCAAAGCTCACCTTGATGGTTGACATCCTACTTTAGCATATACACCATCCCAGATGGGAAACAATAGATACAATGGTGTCAACAAAAAGGTTCATTTAGGTATTAGTACCTAGTCTACAAGCACTAACTAGACTTCTAGGAATCTATCCATTGCATTTTTGGCATATGCATTGTTTCTCAGATTAGCTTGAAAGCAGTATTCTAAACTGAATTAAGCGGAGCTAGTGGTCAAGTGGTTCAATACATAAAACATAATCATATTTAGATGATGTGCAAATCCAGGAATTAGAATTTGGATACCATCATTTTTGCACAATTACTTTTCATTGATCCGTGCTTAGTTTTTTGAGACGCGTAATGAAGTTCACTAGTTATTAGTTGCTAATTGTGATGGGGGTTCTTAATGTCAGTGTTGCTGATTAAGTGACTAACTTATTGAAGCTGTAGGGGACATTGCACACCTAGGCTGTTGCTAAGCCGCCATAAGCAGGGTTTATAGGAATGCTGCTTGAAAGTGTATTGATAATTGGTTTTTAAAAAAGTAGGTGGACTTAAGGATGCAAGTTTACTGGATAATGAATATTTATTGTTTAGAGGTTTTAGGGTGGTTGAAGATGTATATGAGTTACACCACTTCTAAAGAACTATGAATCAGTAACAAATGCTTTTGGTCATCAAAACAACCTCAGACGTCTTTTGTCGCCAGACTCTAATCCACCTTTTGGACTCCAATGGTTCTGTGAAAATTCCATATCTCTCTCAACCTTTCACTTCAATGATGCTTCTCCTTCATTTCTAGGTCGATGTTTTTGCATCTAGAGTAGAGTGCAAGGTTTTCAAGGTATCGTTTGCATGGCTTCTGTGCACAATAGACTTGACTTTCTACTGATATTTACTACTTCTTCCATCCTGAAAAATGGAACACTTTCTATTTCGGGTTGTCCTGAAAATTATAATGTTCCCTTATTTAGTAAGATTCCAATCCAAATTTACCTATTTGCCACGTTAGCAACCTTTACAAGATTTTGTGACATTGATTTTGGTCCACATGTTTTTCTAATTGTCCTGTTAAGGAGAATTTTGGGTTTTTGATTGTTAGTTGAAGACACGTGTTAAATAAATCTGCCTAGTCAAACGATGCAATTTAGGTTTCAGTTGATGCTTGCCTAAATTTTTGCAGATTGGTTGGTGCAAGTTTTGCGAGTTTGACATTATGTAGAAGCTTTTTTCCCTGCTAAGTTGCAGCCTTGCAGGAACCATTTATAATTTTAGGAAAAATGCATCACAAATATTTTCATATGCATGTTATTCCCTATGTAACAAAGTGTCGTTGCTGACTGAGATTGTTGAATCATGAATTTATGCAGAGGTCAGTCAAATGTCAAGCCGCTTAACTTCAGATACCCGCATATATGCTGATAAAGCAAGAGATCTAAATCGACAGGTTGGTTTGTTATGATTCTAAGATGTTAATACTTTGTTAAAATGATTAGCTTCTTGCATTGAATTTTGGTGATCTGTTACTGCATTGTTTGTGCTCTCAAAGAAAATTTAGCCTTCTTTATTGTACATGTGCTATCAAGTGTTGAAATTGACAATATTTGAATAATGCAATTTTGTGTTCCATTGCAGGCTTTGATCAAGAAGTGGGCTCCTGTTGCAATTGTTCTTGGAGTTGTTATCCTACTGTTCTGGGCCAGAAAGAAGATATGGTGATCATGTGGCTTCGTTTGTTCCATTTTTCTCAGTTCTGGGGGTTTAAGTTAATTCTCCTTGCATTATCCTCCATTTTCACCTTGAACTGGAAAGTTTTGTTTTTTATGTGCCTTAAACATGTAGACGAGTTCAATGCCAGCATTCACAAACCTCACTTTTGTCACATGAATTTGGTGTAATGTTACTGATTACTCTTTCAGATTTGGAGGCATATGATAACCTAGCAACCAGGCACCTTTCTTTCTTTACACACCTTTCCTCTACGTAAAGCTTATACCAAGTACTGTTTAGGTCTCAATACACACACACACACACATATATATATATATATACACATATACATATACATATAATAGGGTCAGGTTCAAGGGAAAAACGTAAAAAAATGAAAACCTGAAGAACACCCCCAGTAAATGCTCATTTAGACGGTATACACATGTTCATACAAGTCATTTGTAACAATTTGTCTAGTATGCATATGCACACGTGCATAAAAACCAGTAAACAGCTTCAATAACTTGTATAGACAAGATATGTTGTCCAGATGAATGGTTACCAGAGTGTTTCTCGGTTCCTTATTTTTTGGGTAGTCTTTCCTTGAACCTGACCCTTATATATGGGGTGGGTTCCATGAGGAACCTCATTTTCATTAAGAATCAGGGACCGTCCACAGTGTAACACATGACATATTAACCAACAATATGGACGTGTTATTCATCATGAACGTGCGATGAATATTAATTCTAAAGATGGACAAGTGACTTCCATTTTCACCCCTCCCCCCATCATAGAGAAGGAAGACAGATCCATAAGATTCGTATTGCAAAGAGGTTTCATTGATTGTTACAAAGAAAGAAAGCAACGTTATAAATATCTTCAATTTAATTCAAAATGGATGATTACCAGTTACCTATATGTTATTTTTCTGAATGTTATATGAAAACTAGCATATATTGATTTAGTTTAACTTGAAAAAGCATGCGAATTTTGGTCTAAACAATCCAAACTGTATACCAAACCAAGCATTCAAGGAGTTGCTACAAAGCTGCTCCTACTTATTTTGTCCTACAAATGTACCTCACAAAAACTCGCATACCTTTTTTTACACAAAAAACTGCAGTTTCAAGTCTTGATATAAAAAGGTACGATTATCCTAGTTTCAAACACCAATTTGAACCCTGCAACTACATTGGAGAGTTGGCCATGTTACCAACAGAGCCCAGGGTCTGTGAGCTCAACTGTGGACTCGCCGGACCCTCTTGATTGCCACCACTCATGGCAGGTTGGCCAGCCATATAACTTATCTGTGGGCTAACTGGAGTTGGCTGGCTCATTTGCTGCGTCATTCCAATAGATGCTGAACCTCCCTGCTGAGGTGGTGAAAGAACATGTTGTGATTGTGATGTGGATCCAAGTTGCTGCTGCTGGTTTATATAGAGGTTCATGCCCGACATCATTTTTGGTGGAGCCATCACATTTCGCTGCATGGGGTTCATGTCGTTACCTCTGTTAAAACCAGAACCCAGCATCGAAAGACCAGTTGAGCCTGGGTGTATATGTCTACTAGCAGCTTGCGACCCGCTGATATTACTGGATTGGCCCCCAGGTCCACTCAAAACATTTGGTTTAGTTTGTGCCATCCTCAGTTTTGTAGCCATGAAAGCAGCGGCTTGTGCTTGCGTTAGTTGCCCAGAACGAAGTTGCTGGCTTATCACATTGCCGATAGTTGCAGCCTGGTTCATATTCATAGGGTGGTTCTGACCCATGTTGCTACTGCCCATGCCAGCTGAGATGGTGGTGGTCATTGGTGACACATTCCCGGTTCCTGTTCGTGCACCCCCCATCGCCATAACATTTCCCACACCTTGGAGCCCCACCATGTGATTATTATGATTACCCCCAATGTTCTGTCCGCCTATGCCTAAGTTTCCAGGTGACCCCATCATTATTTTCCTCTGCATTTGTTGCTGTTGCTGTTGCTGTAACAACTGAAGTTGGTGCGTTGAAGCCTTGTTAAGCATATGATTACCCAGCTGCTGCATGTTTGAATTCTGCCCTACTGAATTTAACAGCGGATTTGATGTGACCATCGTAGCTGATGATCTATGGAGCTGTTGTTGCAGCAACGAATGTGGGTTTTGTTGCGGTTGTTGCTGCTGCTGATAGATGGACGTCATTGAAACCCCGCCTTGGGAGAGAGAGTTTCCATGAGGGTGCATCCTTGCAGTCAACGTGTTCTGTGGTGAGCTTATTGCTACATTGTTAATCACATCATTAGTTGGTGTAGCAACTTCATTGGTCGACTGGTTCGAAACAGTTTCCAGACTTTCCTGAATGGCAAGGACTCCAGGAGCACTGCTAGGTTGACCACCAGATGACTGAACCAAGTTAAGTGGTTTTAGCTGGAGGTGGTCGTCTTGTAGACGAAAACGTTCACGTAACATCTGTACAAACAGAAAAATTGTTTATATGACGGAATATAAGTGCCACTTTGTACATATACAAATGTCATTATGATTTGATGACATACCAGAGAGCAGAACTGAGCTGCAAGCAAGTCTGCAATATGCTGATTGATCAAGTCAAACCACAAGTCAGAATGATGTAAATCTATAACTGACAATTAACTAACTGCTACGACAAATTTGGTCTCATAAAGGCTAATATATGAAGAATGACCACAATAACTTCTATCTAGACACTATTATATGCATGAATCTTTGAGGGGATTACCCGTCAACCGTCATTAAGCTAGGGATGAATGCTTGTTGCACTAAGAAGTTCCAAATTTTGAATCCGACCTTATTTATTAAGCTAAAAAACACTGGAAGTACTCACAGTATTTGGAAGTGTAGGAAGCCAATCTTCTGGTGCTACACGATCATTCAGCTCTCCATAATGCATTGCTACAGTGCGATCACTTTGTTTCTCTGTTAATATCATCCGAGTTAGCACCTTGGGAATCATTGACTCATGTCCTGAAAGAATAATAAATGATCAGCAAGGTATATCATATGATTACTGAACTACAATTTTTTATTGCATATTTACTAACCTTGCGGCAGTCGTTCATACTGCACCAATTTCAAAACCCTGGTCTTGCAAATGTTCATGTTCCCACCCAGAAGGGACATGGACAGTGGCATCTTCCATCCTTCATCTTTGAGAGTGTCGTCATCATGATCATTGAAAAGATAATGAATCAGCTGTTCAGTAGGAAAAGTAGTACTTTCTTTGTACTCATCAATCTTGTTTATTTTTCTGCAATTAAGTTGTAACCTGAAATAGGAAGAAGGGGTCATACTATCACAGGTACTGATGCTCCAAGAAATTTTACATCTAAACATTTCTGACATGCACAAGTAATCAACCAGAGCCTTTCCACCCAGAATTAAGAGTTTTGTGTCGATCCATATTCATCTCCATCCAAAACAAGTTGTACTATATGAGTTGGGTTGGACAATTTCGTCAACCATGTTAAAAAATCTTAAAACGTATTATTTACTTTTCTAGCTTATCAATTTTTCTAAACCTTACATCCTCTTTCTAAAAAAGATCTCTCAATCATTTCCCTCCCTATAGGACACAATTCCGGACCTATTCACTAGAATGCGTACACTCTCTCTCTCTTTAAATTTACATATAGAATCAAAGTCCATCTAGAGTAACATTTCTCTCTCTAAATCTATATATTTAGCATTATTTTAGTTTTTTTCTTAGTTCTTTATGGAAACTCGCTCGCTCTCAGCCTAGCATTATATTTTATTTCCCTAAAATATTTCTCTCTTGAAAAGCTCAATAGCTAAAATTCCATACTCTCTCTCTCTCTCTCTCTCAATGTCTCCATTCAGAAAGATACATACATCATTCTGTCTAAATCTCATATCTCCAACTAAAAGAATCATTGAATAAAATTATCCAAGGGGTTCCGTGCCCTTTATAGAAAACGAATCATACACGCTTAACATACATTTTTCTTAAAACTCACTCTTTACCTAGATGTATATACATATTTTATATGTTGGAATTATCTCTCTTAACAATCTCCAAACATCTCCTAATCACGTGCTAGTTAGAGAAAAATAAACTAGCATGTGTGTTCTTTTGCATGAAATGTATACTAAATGGGTAACCCAGCCCTTATTGCTCTACCAATTATGATAAACCCAACTTTTGTGATACCCCACCCGACCGATTAACATGCCTAACCAAAAAATAGATTCACCACCTAGTCATATAGTATCAGAATAATGTGTAGCCATGCTAAAAATGGAAACAGAAGATGGCTTCTATCTGCAACTTTAGTTGGGATAGATTTTTTGTTTTCCTTTCCAATTATAGAAGAAAATATTCACAGGCCTAAAAACATACAGAAATCACCATATCTATAGTTAAGAGACAGAAGGAAGTGTTTGTGCAAATCAGTATGTCAATCAAGCAGTGGATAAAAGACAATACCTCATAGTTAACATCTCGACTTTGGAAAACCTATCCAATATGCTTCTATCAACCTCTTCCCCAACAGGACTGCTGGCAGTGAATGGACCACTCACATTACCAACACTGGAAGGAGACCCAACTCCACTTATTACATGGGTCATTGGAAGGGACTTTGATCTGCAGTTTGCTGCCATTTGCACTTGGTGATGCCGCTGCATCGCATCATTGGAACTAGAAGTCACAGATCGTGTGCCAACTGCAGAGACCAAAGGGACAACTGACTTCTCCTTCTGGGATGATCCAACTGCGGCTATTGCAACAGCTCCAAATTGCATTCCCATTGATCCACTAGAAAATTCCCCTGATTTTGGTGACAAGGGAGATTGAGGTAAACCCCCAGCAGAGATCCGGGGACTTTGTGCCACCGTTCTTCTCTGCAAATGTTCCTCCTTTCTAGTATTGTTTTCAAGAGGTTGACCCATGTTGTTCCAGGGAGTTTGAGGGAAATTCGATCTTGTGAACTGTTGTGGCAACCTTTGCTGCAATCGTGAATGTTGAGGGTTAACATGGTTCATTTCTACATTGATCATATGCATCTCATTTTTAGTTTGGTTGGGATCTGATTTTTCCATCCTTTCATTCCCAACTAGCTCTTTGTTTAGGTTGTATCTTATTCCCTGCTCGCCTATTGTAAATGGCATTGCCCCAGTACCCTGATTATAATTCCCATCAAACATTTGCTGAGGATGTTTTTGCATGCCAACATTAGGATACTGAATCCCTCCCCCACTTGATTGCTGCTGTCTGAGCGTGTTTTTCCGGCGGGAGTCAGGTGCATTGATACTATCCATGTGTGATGCTATCTGTTGTTGATTACCATCAACAGACATGGGATTTGACCTAGCTCGCTTATTTATATTGGCCACAGAGGACAACTGGCCATCTTGGTTTCCCCATTTACCATGAACTGAAGATATAATTGAGCTTAAACCATCAGTGTATGAACTCACCATGTCCTGTGCAGAAGAAGGTCCTGGTGCAGTACACACAGTCCCTGGCACATGATCTTGCATGTGTCTTGGGTTTACAACACCAGTTTGATATTTCGATTGATGAGAAACTGAAGATGCTGGGATGGAGCTATCTGGTTGGTTTTTAGGCCTTGTGACTATCATATTGCTCTGACCAACATCCTGGGTAGCCAGATCCACAAAGTCAGGTTGATGTATCATTGGTCGTGAGTCTTCTAGCCTGAAATTTGAGTTTTCAGGGACTCTATCCAAGGAAGCCTTCCCCTGGATCTGATTGTCAGATGCAGGAGCAGTTCCGGACATCTGCCTCAATCTCTTCCGACGTAATTCAGGAATATTCAGATTTAGCTGCAAGAAAGCTAGGCAAAGCTTAGAGACAAGCAATCAGCTAATCCAGCAGACAAAAATTAAAAATCTTAAACTTGCTCGGTCACCTTTAAGGAAGTTGGCTCCTTACAGAGTCTGTCTAAGTTGGGAGTCGGGTCAAGACAAAGTCCTGGTTGTAGGGCTTTTAATACCCGGGACTCTGCTTCCTACAGTCCAATAGCATTAAATGTCAGATTCTCGTCATTTCTGTTAAAAATATAAATGGTATCTCATGCTTACCATCAAATCACCATATGTCCAAGCACCATCAGAAATCAGAGGGATATCCTTCACCACATTACCCAATGACATCTTAAGAGATACTTTCATAATAGTAGGAGAAGCAACTGTAGATGGACCATTAACTCCTGATTCAGAAGAATCCTTTCGGTAATCTCGCACCTGCAATAATTCATGCTATTAGGAATATATAACTTATGTGATGTGCTTTATCCAAAACAAAAACTTATAATAATGCGGCCTTCATAAACTACTGTGGGCATTGGTTGGCAGGACTAGATAAAGAGTGTAAAAAGGACCAACAGGGAGCCACCAGAGATAAACTACTGCCAATATTAGGTCTTTGAGTTTGAAAATCATTCATTTCCATTGTTTGCATACAGCAGGTCATTTGAACTTCAATTAAGCCTTTCATTCCATACTAGGAGAGGCCTCTGAACTATGTTCAATTCATTTATAACAGCATGCCTTTTAAATAAACAAAATAAAAGTAATAAAAACATAAAATTAAAAAAACATTCATTGCCATGGTGCACGCTAAAACGTAAAAAGAACGAATGAGAAGTATAAGCACACAGCATTTACATGAGAACTTGGAATTAAATAATAGCATGATGGTGGTTTTGCAACTTATAATTGATGCAGATTGCAAGCTATGGTTGTGTGGACTCTATGCAGCTTTAGAGCTTAGTTACCAAACCAAGAAGACTAAGGAAAGAATATGATAACAGCCTCAAAAAGAGTCGGATGTTGAAAAGCATGTTTAGAAGATGCACTATTTAATACCAACTCCATGCAGAGCTTGCCCCTACACAATTGCATACGTTAGTCCAATAACTACAGCATGAAATTGCTTCTAACATACTAACAGATTAATACATGCATAGTTGAATACTCCCTCCACTTTCTATTAGTTGGCTTCCTTTGACTTCTGAAAGTAAAGAAATTTTTACTTATTAGTTATTTTCCACAATTTTAAGAGTGGTTCTAATTGTCTTTTAGATACGTAGTGTACTTTTAATGTGATTGTTGATTTCCCCTCAATAATAAAATATGTTAGCAATAATTTTAAACTCGGAAGTAGTTCGTTTAACATTCAAAGTTCATCTATGACGACTCATGCAACTATATCTGCAAGATATAAGCCTAAAGCTTTAGTTCTGATTTATGATTACTTACCTCACACACAATTGCCCCATTATTGTACTTGCAAGGTATATCATCCAAGAAATCTGCGGGAATCCGGCCACACTCAATTGACTACAAGTACAACAGGAAAAATTTGTCAAAGATTACCCATGGTAACCTTAACGGGATCAAATGTGGGCTAGGCAAAGAGCTGTTTTCAACTAGAAAAATTCGGTGACGGGACAAAAAGAGCCAACCTTCACAAATTTAGATATGAACAATTCAATATTTCTGAAAGAAAGAAATCTCCAAATTATCTTGAAAATCCAATTTGTGAAGTTACTTTAACAGTAGAAACTGTCATGCATGTGGATACAGTCATACAAAATACTTACTGTAAACAGACTTTCGGATGCCCTATCATAAGGGTGCAAACATTTTGGATCATCCTGTACAGCATTTTGATGCCCAACCATACACTAAAACACATACCGAAATGAGTTAGTGGCGAATAGCAAGTAATACTGTTTGAATTTTACAAACCACTTCTAAATTGTCTTTTCAAGTCACGGACAGAAAGCCAAAGGGCGACAAACCTCAGAGGGGTTTCCAATTGAATATCCATCTGGGAAGATGTTTAAAATGAAAGATACTTCTGCATCTGACAAACATAAAAAGGAAATTTAGATAAAAACCTGCAAAGGGCAAACAACTTTAAAGAAAGGATGTATTGATAGTTGATAAGACACCAAAATACCTAAATTTTCAGCAACATCCCCATCATCCTTGGTGACATCAACCTATACAGAGAACAGCATCTGTCATGGAAGAGGATATTGAAATTTGAAAACATATGTATATATATATATATATATATACATATATATGTATGTAAGTATGTAGAATCTGTTAATAGATGGTAGTTCCATTAATATTCCCTTAAATAGGGTTTCTATTATGACTATATTGTTTTTAAGAATCTCGGAACACGAGACCATCTTGTTCATTATTTATAGAAGGTATCTATCATTAATAAGTGTCTCTTAAAACCTTAAACCAAGATCTGCGATCATTTATTCCTGTTCCCTAATATGAATCCTCCTCAATGGTGTCAATCATCCTGCACATTCATAATTCATAGTTATGCTAACAGGACACAAACAAAAGCAGCTGAAGAGACGTTGAATGTTTCGCTGTATCCTATGACTTTTTGAATGTTTCACTGTATTCTCTCCATATTCCATACCCCACTACAATCGCCACAACTGAAAACCAATCAAATAAGTTCTCAATTTCTCCCCATCATCTCCGGATGATCCAATAAAAGAGCATCCGCTATGATCTACCATCAAGATTTGAATAAAATCGATATGAACTCCTTTGCCAGATGCTGATATCCAGACTATAGCCATTGTAGTTTTAATCATTGATCTTCCACAAATTTGAGTCAGTTACAATATTATATCTGTAGTGCTTACATTACTAGCAAGTATAAACTTTCAACTGACTCATGAATTGGGGATCCTTACTCAAGTGTTCAAACACATGCTCAACTAAGATTGTACACTTTTTATAAGAATATTTTACCATGACCATCAAGTTTGCTAGATCATAAGCATGTCAGTGAAAAGGGATTTTGATGAAATTTCATCATTTCATGCATGCTAGATATATTACTATTTTCTATGCAATCTATTCCAACCAAACTTTTAATATGCCATGTGACAAAATTTTGAGCAATTTATACATCAAAATTATCAAATTGACAAAATATCTCTGTACTAATTAATTTGGGGGGAAAAAGAGAGTACAATTTAACACAAACCAGTTACGAATCCTTTTGACACAATTGGATTTGAGAAACAACCCAATCATAAACAATTAATGGAAACAGGTAACGAAAAATTATGTATACCGCTCTCTTTCGCGTAGTAGCAGGTTGAATTTGAGGAGCGTCGTCAACTGGATCGTTGTCTTCCGGAACAGAAGGGGATTCAGGTTTGGGTGTTGGGCGAAATCGGGCACCTTTCTTGGAAACCTTGAAAGAAACCCCCATTGCAATTGCAAAAATGGAGAAAAAGCACCGATCACTGCTGATCGGGTGTCAATTAATAAACCCCGGTGACACAACAGTAATAGGGTTGATGGTTACAACAGCAGCGGCGTAGATGACGGAAAGCTGAGAGAGATAAAGCTTGGAATTGAGGATTTTGGTGTGGTTTTGCTCCGACGAGGTGATGAGTTTGGAGGCTTGAATTGTGCATGTATTTCCTTATATAAACCTTCCCTCTGAAGTTTCATTATTTATTTATTTATTTATATTCCTTTTCATTTATATTTTGAGTAAACACCAATTTTGGTCCTCTGCTTTCATCAAAAATCTGAAAATCATCCTTGTGCTTCAGTAAATATGAAAAGAGACTGACACTAGCTAACGGAGAGCGTTAAATGCAGTGTGTGTTTTTTGTTATTTTGATCACTTTACATCAACCATTGACCACTCTTCATCTCCCTTTTGCAACTCCAATAACCTTATAAAGGTTTGTAGGGGGGGGGGTTGGGGACAAATGTGTATACTAAATACGTGAGGGGCTAAAAAGTTAGGTCCCTTAAAGTTTAGGGCCAGTTTAGTAAAAGGGTCAGAAATGGTGTTCAAGCGGTGGTTTATGACGAAGGTGGCGTAAATCAATGATAAGTGCTTTATTGAGGGTATATATGCATAAATCAATGGTAAAAAACTCGAAATCAAAACCAGTGATTCATGATATAACATATAATTATTTATTGCGGTATTCATGAAAACAAATAAGGTTCTAAATATATGAATTTCAAGTATTCACGGATATAGGAAGTTTTAAAGTGAAAATTAGAATTTTATTTGTTAAATTAAGTAGTATGACTTATGTGCGTAGGTCGTTGTGAAGGAGTCAATGCAAAACTACGAAACATGCTTTTTATATGCAATTTTGTGTTTGCAAGATTTTATGAAAGCATGAACTCTTTTCTATGAAATGTCCGTGGATCATATGTTGATTACAGTAGACTGATATGATGCACTTAATTGAGTTATGAGTAAACTGATACAAGGTTCCTTTATTTATAAACCGGACTTTTTATTAGAGAAAAGTTTTGACAAGATGTGGAATCGGGGTGTTACATCATTATCGGCACAAATAATTCATGATTTCATCTCCTTGATCAAAATATGCAGATGACTTTTAACACCTTTAATATATTAGACCTTGCAGGTCTCTACGCTTTTCTAAACTATCTTCTTCCCCAACCCCAATTGCCGCATCAACATCCTTATTTTGTCTTTGGCTTCTTTTTATGATGATGCTTTCTCAGCGGTGGAATTTTCTTTGTGTTTCCTCAGCTTCTTACCTACATTGGTTCCTGCCAAATCTTGAGCAAGACTGGGAGTTTAAAATCCATGCTTTCACTAATGTCTCATATGTAAGGTAAGAACGTTCATCACAAATCTTGTTTATTACAAACAGAAGTAGAAATAATGTCAATATCATAAATATGCATTCAATTAAAATGAGACGTCACGTATTTAAACGATACTAGTGTGTTAATTGGGTTATTTTTGTTTTGGCATATGGACATGTCAGGATTGATTCTCTAAAAGGTATATTAATTTTTTCATTTTCATGTCGTCAACATATAATAACGTATAAGGTAATAAGGTATGTTGAGTGTACTATGTACATTAACATCATTGTCATTGAAGTTACATGCTTTTTGTGAGGCAAACAAACGATCATAAATAAATTCAATTGTGTCCATTAATTAGTGGCCAGCGGAGCAGGTCCTTACTGTTAGTGTTTATCCACAAATGGTGGTGGTTGTCCCCCGTTGCTCCACTGCATTCTCCCGTCATCTCCTTGGTCAGCTACCTTACTTCCCACTCTTTTCTTCTCCACATTCTCAATTCATGATGACTCCACTACCGCTGATGCTGGTTTCAGAAAACCCCATTTCCGTTTGCATCAAATCATCACGCTGCTCTGTTTTTGGGTTGTTTCTATAATTACTTTTATGCCTTTGTGGAACAGGGAAGCTGTCTCCTCCTCTGGTGAAATTATATGTCCAAGATTCTTGTGAAATTTGCCCAACTTCTCTCAATCAATCCTCCTCTTCACATCAGGTATGATGGTGACTCTAACTTGCCAATTATAAAATAGAGGTGTGTCTGTGTCTGTATCTGACTATTTCTTGATTCTATTGCAGAAAATGGGGATTCTAAGATCCCTTCCAATGGATCTTGTTGTCACCAATGCATTACTGGTTGTTACACCTCTAGAAGCCATGGCAGAAACCTGTGAAACACAGCAGTCTCTGTTTAACATGAACATGCCCCTGCTGCTGCTTGTTGCTCTAATTGGGGCTACTGTTGGAGGTAAAGAAACTTCAGTTGATCTGTACTTGGCTTTCATATTTCTCAATGTACAATTTATCATTACGGCCCACTTAGGGCCTGTTTGTCACCAGCTTTATAGGCTTAAAGGGACTCACAGCTTATTCGGTCAACTATACATGACTGTTTGGTAGTGACTTAATGATATAGAAAGTGGCTCATTTCAATAGCTTCTAGGCGGGAGATTTATACTGAAAGCCAAGTTTTTTTCCAAACCCGCCCCTCCCAATTAAACAAAAGGTTCCTTCCATCTATGAAAAACCTCTCCTAAACAAAAATCTTCCCAATCTATACGAACAGGTTAATACACACAAGACAACTTTATCCATAGTTTCGTACAAGACTTAATGGAAAACCAACCAAAATGCCCCTTACAGTCGATTGATTTACTTGCAGGACTGGTTGCTCGACAAAGAAAAGGAGAACTGCAACGACTGAATGAACAGCTACGGCAGATTAATACAGCTTTAAAAAGGCAAGCACAGATCGAATCATATGCACCCACTTTAAGTTATGCTCCTGTTGGTGCTAGTAAGATACCAGAAAATGAAGTGATTGTTGATCCAAGGAAACAAGATCTGGTATCCCGTCTTAAAAACGGGAAGAATTTCTTAAGAAATCAAGATCCAGATAAGGCATTTTTGGAGTTCAAGGCTGCACTTGAGCTCTCTCAAGCTATCAAGAATCCAATAGAGGAAAAGAAAGCTGCAAGAGGATTAGGTTTGCTGTGTTAAATAACAGCCCTTCTATTCTAGAACGGTTTACGGAGAGTTTGACTGTATTCGTTCATGTATCATTTCAGGAGCATCATCGCAAAGGCAGGGTAAGTATCGGGAAGCCATTAACTACCATTCTATGGTTCTATCGATCTCGAAAAGAGAAGGGGAGGATTCAGGAAACACAGAAGCGTTTGGAGCAATAGCTGATTGTTACACAGAACTTGGTGATCTGGATCAAGCAGCCACCTTCTACGATCATTACATCTCTAGATTGCAAGCAGAATGATCAAATTGTGTAAGAAGATGAAACATGATGTTTACCTGCTGGTGCTGCTGCTGGTGGTGGTGGAAGAAATTAATATACCATCACCATATTTCATGTGTCATTCATTTGTATCCTTTGATCTCCTGATAACCAACACAAGCATAAACAAGGATTATCAAGATATATACCAATGAATTCCGATGTGATTTTCAAAATAGGTGTATGATATCAACTACCAAAAGGATTAGGAAAGCAGCACAACCATCAGTGGTTAAAACGGGTAGCATTAAGCATTACATACAATGATAGTAAGCAAAGCTATAGAAGTAGGACAACAAACTCCCAATCAGGAGGCGAGGGATAGGGACGGAAAAAGAAAAAAAAAGTAAAACAAGACGCAAAGCCTCCTAAAACTCATCTGCAAAGGCACATCAATTGGCCTGCTGCAAGAGAAAACAATGGTCAATATGTCTTCATTGATAATACAGGAGTTGTTGGGCAGCAGCAACACTCTGGAAACCACCATCATATATGGCCTGGCTTGCTCCAGCCGCACCCATTCCCATACTTGCTTGTTTAAGAGGATGCTGACCCATCAGTGCCATCTTGCTCATTGCCAGTTGCCGCTCATATGCCAACAACTCACTAGCCGATAACATAGGTGCAGGCCCTGGTGCAGATGCAGATGCAGGTGCAGGTTCAGGTAATGGATTTGAGCTTGTTCCTGGAGGAGTTGGCTTGCTACCCCATGAACACTAGAAAAACAACAAAAACAGGGTCAGCTATTATTCACATCTAACCGAATAACTAACTATTAGAATGAACCAGCCACCCCACATTCAGCATCTTTTTTCCTCTAATAGAATGTCTTACCTCAGCATCTTTATTCACGTTTATGTTGGCAAACTTTAATGTTGTACTTAAAAAATTACTATGTCCATCTACTACAATTAGAAACAAAGGTATAAATATGCTGGCAGCTAAAGATGAATTCCACAAAGTTGAGGTGTTGTTCATTAGAAACTTGTACAACATAAGTAAAATCCTGGTAGTTGTATGCTATAAATTGTGTCAAAAGAACATTTTTTATCTTAAAAGTTTGGGTCATATGCTTCAAGAACCTGTATGGTAAAAGATAAGACTGCATTTGGTAAAACCATACAAGATGAAGTTGCAATCTTTTCCTTTCACATGGCTTATCCGATCAGATCAAATCAATCCAAGCTGTTCATGAATCTAAATGCATAAAATTGCCAGATCACTTATTTAGATTAATGGATTGACCTTAAGGGATCACTGATCCACTCTAATGAATTGGAGCACATCAAATCAGATCATGTTTGGCTGACCTGCCTAGCAGCCTAGCTACAATTACCAAATGCTTAAAAGCTTGTTGAATGCACACTAAACAAAAGCACACAACAGGAAAATATATGTACCTTAATTTGTTTACCGTAAAGAACTGATTGGGCGTTGCCCATTTGAATAGCGAGATCTGCCTCGGCATGATTACTGTATCTCACGAAACCAAATCCTTTATCTCGCTGCAGTCGAACTTCTTCGATTACACCAGCACCAAGAGAATGAAAGTGGCGATGAAGCTCAAGCTGGGTAACCTGAAATTAGAATAGAATATCTAAGAATTGCATTTGGTCTTGCTAACAGCTAGCTCAAACAAATTAAATATACATATCACACAATGAACAATTTCAATAACCTAAGGACATCATCCTTGAAAGCACACATACTTCTTCCAAGTCATCAAGTAAATATCCCACCCTTTCTGGGTTTCTTGTTTATTTTAGTGCCCGAGCAACAGCAGCAATAAACCACATGCAAGTTAAGATATGTGCTGCTGATAGTAATGATGATCAAATGGAACCTTCATCAAATCATATTAGCTCAAATATAGCTAAACAATCGATAAGCCGGAGTAGCACAGTCGCGCTTGATTTACACCATAACTGACATTTAGATTCTTATCCCACAGTTAACTCACACAAAAGTAAGAAGAGCTTTCCTTAAAGCTATATAAACCTTTGTCTATGAAACACAAACTCCAACTTAATTCAACAAAACATGGTGCAGAACTGATGAGTTGCTCTAGGAGACATGATAACTGCCATCTTTCTCTTCCAATGGGTCATCATACTTTTGACTTTAAATATCAAGCACATTACTCTAAATTTCAAATGTATATGAATATGAATTTAAGAAAATGGATAACTAAGCCAAAAAGTACAACTGTAAATCAGGAAAAATGGTGTTTAAAATGTAAAAGCATATCCTGATTACAAATAATGCAAATACAATTTTGACGTTCAAAGTCTAATGATAATGACTATAAGAGAATAGAGGAAGTAAATCATTTTTATTTTGGACAATGTAACATAACCACCACAGGACTGATGGTGACATGGAAAGAAGACTATGATTTCTTACTTCTGGGGCAAGGTTGCCAACGAAAACAGTCATATACTGTGGGTTATTCTCAGGAGCATCACTGTTGGCAAGCTCTTTACCGTCCTCTGCAAAAGCAATCAAATAAGAAAATTGACCACTTGCACACCCATAAGGCATCAACAAAAAATGGAAACAGAGACAGAGCAACGATAAGGCACAAATCATATAGTAAAACAAGAAAAAATGAAGACCAAAATAAATCTGTTCAAGATAATTTAAGAGAAATAGTAAAAATCAAAATGAGGTCTTTGGATATCTCATGGCCGCTTTCCTAGTATTACATACCAGAAGATCCATTAGTTAGCTCCACTACACTTTTGGAATCCGAGCCCTGCTTTTCATCACTAGTACCAGCACCTTTTGTGGCCCAGTTGCAGCGTATCTGCCTACTGCCAAGCCATTTCCCTGAAAAGTGAGGTGTGGAAAAATGATATTGAGTGCCAAAATGCAACCAACACAAGTAAAACCAAATTCTTGTAATCTTAGAAAGTACTAATGCTAGAATCATATATACTAATTTTCGAATTTATAAACATTTAGATAGTAGAAGAAACACAAAATTTACCAGTCTTACCAGTTAAGTCATTTATAGCACTTTGAGCATCCTAAACAGAAATTAAGAAGGTCAGATCTTGGTTTGAATGAATGCGCATGGTGAAAAAGAGTATGAGCAAGGAATGAACTTTTATCCCTGGCAGCACAGGTGGTTAGTGATTACAGAGTCACAAAGGTGGCAATGAAGCAGGGACGGACCCAGTTAAGGGCAAATGGTGGCACCTGCCACCGGTAAATCCCTCCATTGTAAGGTAAAAAAAAGTTAGCTTTTTGAAAGGTGCAACCATATTGTTTCAGAAGGTGCAACCGCTTTACATTGTGCCACCGTAAGAAAAAATTCCTGGGTCCGTCCCTGCAATGGAGCAACACTTTTTTACAAGCTTTTGGTGGTGTCAAGGTGTAGTTTACGAACATCTCTGTCCGCTTGTGTTACGAAGAAAAAAAAATGAAAGGTGTATACTACCATTTTTTTCCCAAAGTGAAATAAAAATCTAGGGAAGGATTCTATTGGAATTTTAACCTGTTGATCCCGGAAAGAAACAAAGCCAAAACCACGTGAACGACCAGTTTTTTGATCCCACATAACCCTTGCATCCCTAGAATAAAGCAACACACATAAAAGAAGGATGTAACGGTACGGGACAAAGGGTATAGAAAGAGAGAGAGAGAGAGAGAGATATGTATGCGAGAAAGAGGGAATGTACTCACGAACAACTAGCATAGACAGAGAAGCATGTAAACAGCATAGCATCTGTAACCTCAGGGCTAAGATCACCAACGAATATGTTGTAGTGACCTAAAAACAATAGCCATGTTATCATACAGGATACTGTTTCAATAACAATAATAAGCAGCATATAAATGCCTAGCCTTTATATACAAATTATTTAGAGCAGAAAACGAGCATCTCCAAAACCAACCTGAGGTATCCTCCCTCTGCCCACTGGCATATGCCCAATTAACTTTGATAGGTTGTCCAAATCTGCAAATGAAATCAATAACGCTAAATTTTGAAGTAAGATAGCTGGGCATCACATCTGTCTATGAACAAAACTTACAAATGCCTTCCATTTAGCGACAATATAGCGAGTGCAGCTGATCGACGATCAAAGTAGTGAATGAATCCATAAGATGACTGCATAGGAAAGAAAAACAAAAAAGATCAGGGTGTAGCTAAACTTAAGGAAAAGTAAACATTATTCATCGTAATTCCTAATCCAGTTTCACATAAATCATATTTGTATACTTTCTTGAAGGTCAAACATAGCCCAAGTCAACAGTGAAGGAAGAGCTACCTTCTCCTTTCTTATGAGTTTGCAGCCTTCAACAGGACCAGTACTTGCGAAAACCTCTTGAAGAAGTGGTTCGGTCACTTGTGAATGAATGTTACCCACATACCTGCATTTCTCAAAAACGAAGAAACCAGAAGTTTAAAAAAAAGCAAAAAGAAATAATTATAGCTAAAGAATCTCCCAGATATCAATACAGCAACGACAAAACAACCACCACTTGCTTCACGTGTATGCTGACTAAACACTTCAGGATCCATGTATACTAGAAAAAATAAGCAAATATCAAGGTATATGAGTTTAAAAAACATACTGTGGGCTAAAGAGAGTGGCACAAGGCTTTCATGCTATTTAAACATGCAGTTTGGGGAAGAAGAAATAAACTAAAAAATCGTTTGTAAACCACTCACACACTGCGGCATGTATTTGGATCAAACCCAGGAGGCAGATTTCCACTTGGGATTGGCTCAATCTGCAAAATGAAAAAGTGAAAAAAAAAACAAAAAAGTAGCAAGCTAAGAGTAAAAAGATTATACAACCCACTAACTAGAAAATTGATGCCCAAAGAATAAGAGGATAAAAGGCTAAGTGTATCTGCAACTAATGTATGGAGCAAAACCATAGACGTACACACTCACGAAACAACTAACAGTCACACAAACCAGTGATGATATAATTATTTAAACTCCACAAGACACTCAGTTACATCCTAAAATGGCTTTCGTGACAAACATAGCGGAACTAGATAAAGTCCATGAGCATTACTGAACAAACAACAAGAAATATGTTCCAGAATTTTCTTAATTGCTAGGAATTTGGAACATTCAGAGTTTTCAAACATCTGGTAATGAAATAAAATGTCGTATTGCAGCTCACTAACAAATAAAAGTGTATGCGTAGCCAAAAGAGCACCCAATTTTTTTCCTTCTTTAGAGCGTCTACTGTTTGTTTACCATGTATTAAGCAATGACAATTTTCTGGACTCCCATTTAAGGGTAAGGATAGCAATATGTTTCATCCACCTCCCACAACCGGAAAATGAGGAATATTCACTCCCCAGGCTAGTGTAACTTTCATGTAGTCCCATCATATATCATGAAATGTCTTTCTCGATACACCTTCAAGGATTCAACAATATGCCAACTGTGGAATAGCATGGACAATGGCATATGTTTGGAGCCTCTCATGAAGCCATTTCATCCTCCAGTCCTTTAAGTGAATTGTATTAGGAACCAACAATATTCTCTCCAAGCCAATTGAAAAATCCTAAGCCAATCAATGTGCATCCAGTTCTTCCATAACATAGAAACACACTTGGCCAAAGTGATGTGGTTATTTCACTCTTCCATAACATCATCAAAGATTCATTGTGTTATTCTCGTTTGATTAGGGGAAAAAAGTTTCGCTACAAAAAGAGAGAATTTGCGTCATGCAAACATGGATTATGCTTTGATGTTCTATATGAAGCAAAAAATTTAGGAGCATGTGAATCAGTTTGAAATAACAAGCCTAGGGCTATCTGTAGTATGTAGATAAAGACACAATTTAGAGTGTTACTCAATTTAGCACAGAATAGATGCAGCATGTTCGATTTTAACAACCACATCTAGGGAAACAAACCGGAATATTCAAGTCTCAGAGCAAAGATTGAGAATACGATGTAGATGGTGAAAAAGATATAAAGAAACTAATGAATTGAGAAAATAAAGTTGTGATACCAAATCAAGAAAATGAGTCATTGAGGCATATGAAGGTGTGGGAAAAAGTTAATAAGACAGTAGAAGCTTGTGTCTTGTATGGGTCAGTCAGGCAAATCAGAGAAAGACTAACCAAAATACTAGTTAGCTGGTGTATTTGGCTGATACACTGTTTCACAAAATGGGATTCTGAGTGCCATTCAAAGAAACCCACATCTGTAGTTTGTAAAATTTATGATATCATGTCTCACTGTGTGGATAGAAGATGCATGTAGATTGTTACTCATATCGACTGCCTTAAAAAAAAAAAACAATTCAGTGATGTAATTTTCACGTAGCTCAGGGAGGTTGATGAGTAGAATTCGATGGAGAGAGACGATCCAAATGTTAGATGTGAGAAGAAAAACATGTAAGTAAGCCCAATTCCATAAAATTTGACGCAGCTAAGATAAAAATAAAAAATAAAAAAAATGGAGAGACGATGAATGATGAATCGAGAAAGGCAGTGAGGAGATGAAGATGAAAAGAGAGTTGTGAAAATGTATGTGCCTGTGGAGGCGGCAAGAGGCCGGGATGATAGAGAGATTGTTGTTGAAGGAGAGCGTGTTGCATGAATGGTTGGTGGTGGTGTTGCTTCAGCCTCTGATGTTGCATTCTTATTATTATTCTTCAGATGATGAATATGAATTGTTGAATCGATTAAGATTAGGGTTTCAATTTAGTAAGAAACAACGAGGAGGAAGCCCCTCTCCCTCTCCCTCTCCCTCGAATAAATAAAAAAGCAACAAAAAGTCAAAAGTCAACACTCCCCATATAATTAATTAATTAATTAATGACATAAATAAGTAGAAACAAAATCAGAGTCTTAAGAGAGAAAAAAGAGTTGCTATAAATAAGTATTTGATGTATTGAATTGAATTGAATTGAATTGAAAGGAAAAGGGTTTTGTTTTTATATACACAACTACAACTTTTAAAACTTAATCCACTCATCATTACTTTTTATTTCAAACAAATATTAATATAATTATAAACACACATTTCATACCTTTTTAAGTTTATTTTATATATATATATAACACCAATACTTTCATAAGGTAAAAACTCAAGTTGAAATGAATAAGCATATACATATACATATAAATTCCTTCAAATAAATAAAAAAACCACTTACTTATTTTTGCTACATCATCCATTTTTATTTTTACATTTTTTTAATGTGATTGGATTAAGACATGTTATTAAACTAACAACATCTCCTTTCCTTTCATTACTCCAAAAGTCAACTCATTTCATTTCATGTCATGTCATTTATTAATTCAATATATCATCTTCTCTCAATGAACCTAAGATTTAATTCAAAGTATTTTAATAACATAACCATATCTATTTTTCAATTTTTAAGAATCAAATGCACATACATATATGTATATATGGTATGTATCATCATAGTTTATGTCTTACATTTAAAACCATCATATCATAATGCTACTCCAAAATGAAGTTCCATCAAACAAACATTTCTTTTCATATTCCCAATATTCTAAAAAAGGTCCAAATGTATTTTCAATACGACAAAAGTATATGAAGATAAAATAAATTCTCCAAAATGAAGATTTTAGCTCTCATGCTTCAAAAATAAATCTTTTCCAAAATCAAGAAAATAATAGAGTATAACAATTATTCAGAGCATCTTCAAAGAATTTAGAGATTACAATGTTATATTTATATATATATATATTATTAAATTAAAATAAAATAAAATAATATATAAATTTTTTAATTTGAAAGGTAAATGGAATTGGAAAAGTAATAAAAAGGGAGGTTCAGTAGATGTGAACATGGACCAAGATTTTGCTGTCTTCAATTCAATTCAATTCTTCTTCTTCCTCTTCCTTCAAAGATACACAGATTCTTCATGCAAAGATCCAATCCTTACCCTTTTATCCCTTCCAATTCCCAAAAAGCTTGAATCTTTCATCACCCTTTCCATGGAATCGCCGGAGAACCACCGCATACCTCTTGAAAAAGCCCACCAGATCGTTCTCCGCTGGGATTCCACCGTCTCTGAAGAAGCTAGGGCTCGTATGATCTTCCACGGGGATCGTCAAGAGATCGATTCTTACCTACAAGCCATCGATGAAATCCAACGCTCCATGGAGTCAACGCTCCTCTCCCATCACGACCACGACCACGACCACTCTAAGAAAGTCACCACCACCATCCAGATTGCCATGGCTCGTCTCGAGGACGAGTTTCGCAACATACTCATCTCCCACGCTACTCCCATTGAAACCGACTCCCTCTCTGAATCCATCTCTTCCACTCACCTCCCTTCCAGAACCAGCACTTCTATCGGCGAATTTCCCGATGCCGACGACTACACTACCAGAGGGGACGAAGACTCCGTTTCTTCTTCCTTACTGGAACGAGGAGAGAGCAGTACGACAACCGCAAGCTACAGATCCATGAGCAGTATTCGCGAGATCGATCTCATACCATCCGATAGCATATACGATCTCCGCTGCATCGCCGAGCGTATGATCGCTGCCGGATACTTCAGAGAGTGCGTCCAGGTGTACGGCAGCGTACGCAAGTCTGCGGTCGATTCCAGCTTCAAGAAGCTCGGTGTCGAGAAATTGAGCATCGGCGATATCCAGCGCCTCGAATGGGAGGCCTTGAACGCCAAGATCGGCAAGTGGATACGCGCCGCCAAAGTCTGCATCAGAGTTTTATTCGCCAGCGAGAAGAGACTCTGCCAGCAAATCTTCGAGGATCTAGGGACGGCGGCCGACGATGCGTGCTTCATGGAAACGGTTAAAGGACCGGCGATCCAGCTCTTCAATTTTGCTGAAGCCATCAGTATTAGCCGTAGGTCGCCGGAGAAACTGTTCAAGATCTTAGATTTACACGATGCCTTGTTGGATTTATTGCCTGATATCGACGCCGTTTTTTACTCCAAATCAGCCGAATCAATTAGTGTTCAGGCGACCGAGATACTCTCCAGGCTTGCGGAGGCTGCCAGAGGGATGCTGTCGGAGTTCGAAAATGCAGTCCTTCGCGAACCTTCTCGAGTTCCGGTCCCCGGAGGGACGATTCATCCATTAACAAGGTATGTGATGAACTACATAAGCTTGATTTCAGATTACAAACAAACGCTGGGCGAATTAATAGTCTCCAGACCTGCAACTGGTTCTAGATATTCCGATGATTTGAGTACTCCAGACATGGATTTCACGGACCATGAAGGTCAGTCACCATTAGCGCTCCATTTGATTTGGATCATCGTGATTTTGCAATTCAATTTGGAAGGAAAATCCAAGCACTATAAAGACAACTCCTTGGCTCATTTGTTCATCATGAACAATGTTCATTACATTGTTCAGAAGATCAAAGGGTCACCGGAGTTGAGGGAGATGATCGGTGATTATTATTTAAAAAAGCTTACAGGGAAGTTCCGGCAGGCTGCAACCAGATATCAACGAGCAACATGGGTTGGGGTGTTGTATTGTTTGAGAGATGAAGGGCTTCATGTGAGTGGAAGTTTCTCATCTGGGGTTTCAAAAAGTGCTCTGAGAGAGAGGTTCAAGTCGTTTAACGCCATGTTTGAGGAAGTACACCGGATGCAGGCGTTATGGTTAATACCCGATACACAGCTTCGTGAGGAACTACAGATTTCCATATCAGAGAAACTGATTCCAGCGTACCGGTCGTTTCTTGGAAGGTTCAGGACTCATATAGAGAATGGGAGGCACCCTGAAAACTATATCAAGTACTCAGTTGAAGATCTTGAGACCGCGGTGTTGGATTTCTTTGAAGGATATGCAGTTTCCCAGCATTCGAGAAGAAGATCACAGTGAAATGTTGGAATATTGTAGGACACTATTCTTTAATTTTTTTGGTGGGGTGTTTCATTGATTGGTTTCAGTTCTTCTCAGGCTCTCTCTCTCTCTGTCTCTGTGTGTGTGCCTCTAATCAAGGGAATGGGCTGAAGGAAAGAGGAAGCCTCCTGATAAAATATCCCCTGTAAGCATGTTGTTTGTATGTTCTTTTTTTATCTTTTTCAACTAGTTACCGAGATTTTTGTTTCATTTGTTTGTATGGAAATTTGTTATACATGATCTATTGTCTCATATTACATGAAAATTGGTTACCTTGTGCACATATGCTGAACATATAAGACCTTTCTATCAGCTATCAAGATATACTAATAAGATCTTTAATGTTCTCTACAAATCCATGCTATTGCTAGTGTTTGTTTGCTAATATGACATTTGTTTTTCCTGTGAGGATATAATCTAGTTATTGGTGTTTGATTTGGAAGCATTACAGAATCCCATTGGTTATTTGAAGTGGGTTTGAAGATTAAAAGATTGATTAAAGTTTGTAGATCTTTTTTTTCTTCTTCCAAATCTCGTTCTTCTGGAAAGATTCTTTCCATCTTAGAAGCGGATTTCATGCCGGTCATTATATATATATATATATATATATATATATATATATATATGTATGTATATATATCTTCAAATTTCTTGTTGCAGATGATGCGAATCCACAAGGCTTGCTTATTTTCTTTAATTGTTTGTGCTATGATGATGCATCAAGCAGACGATACCTAGATTGCTTTTCTCATCATGCAAAGATGAATGGAAGTCGCATATAAATATGATTAGGAACCTGGGAACCGTCCACAATGTCCCTCTTCAGGATTGAATATTCATGATGAATATGGAGGTGTTATTCACACATTCATGTTGGATAGCACCTCCATGTTGTTGATGAATATGCTAAGTGTGGTCCCCGGTTCCTAAACAACTTTGGGTTCTGTTACATGTATGTATGTATGTATGTTTTATGTTGTTTTCCAGGGGAAGGAACATTCACCTTAATCTTGATGATAAGGAAATAGGAATCAGTGAATGAGGTTTTGAGGGTGGCTGGTCCAAATTGGGTGTTGTTGGACTTGACCTGCATGGAATGGAAGCAACGAGCATTGAATTTGTTGGTTGACCAAAAATCCATTTTCATAGATGGAGGCCCAAAAAGTTGTGGAAGAAAAGCAGTCAACAAACAAATGTTGGGTATTTGCTTGGAATGAAATGTATTCAAGTCAAGGTTGTGTCTTAAAACTCACAACATAGTGTTATTCCAACTATTACCAAATCGAGATAACTGATTTCCTACATGTTGATGTTGGTATCAATTCATTACTTGTTATGTATTGATAAATTTAGCAAGTAGAAGAAACTTGGCAATTCAAGTCATTAAATAGAAAATTTTACAAATAAACACACACACACACACACACACTTTTCCCTTTCATATACTACTACTATATGATATGAAATGAAATGAAAGTAAGCAATCGTATTATTTCTTAATTACAAGTTTATAAAAAAAAATTCCTTTTCCTTTTGGTTTATGTTTTGAATTTGGAACTTGATGCATTTAATTTATGCAAGAAAACAAAAAACATGAAAACCAAACCAAACCAATTTATTATTTTTGCTTGATTGTTTCTTATTCACCTGTACAAAACTATTTTAAAATCATCACACACTTTCCCAATACCCTTCTACGTTACCAACACGTTTTATCAAGACTAAGGTAACAGATCAAGGAAGAAACCTTAGATAATAGCCCTCCTTGACCCCTAATCAAGTTAAACCAAGGGTACGTACCCTAACCATGTTTTGGTTCCAACAAAAATAAAGCAAGTGGTTTGTATTCAATCAACATAACATTCACATCTCATTTAAAAGGAATATTTTAAAATCCTTTTCAAATATACAGTAGCAGTAGCAGTAGCTAGGAGTCTAAACTCTCTATATAATTTAACAAAACAAATTTAGGACTTAATTAAGCATACAAAGATGCAACCAAAATACACCCTTACTCTCTTTTATCTTCTTCTCCATCCTCCCTCTCTATCTGAACCGACCCTAGTTCATTCTCGTCTTTTGTTGAAACAGCAGCAGATGGTTTTATGAGTGTCAAACTATCCTCCTTGTCAAACTCTTCACTTCCGTCATCTGAATACGCGTATCTGTCCCACAAAACAATCCCACACTTATGCATATTTCAAACACACGCATTTGATCAACATGACAAACAATAGAAGCAAATGGCAATTAGATAAGAGTCTGTGTCTTGTTACCGCATTGAATTCTGAGATGGTGCCCAAAGAGCACAGATGACACAGAGAAGAGAAAACGACAAAACTTGCCAGAAGGCAGGGATGATCCAAGCATTTTGCCATTGTTCGTTGTATATATCAGTTGACTTGAAATAAAGCTGAAAGAAAGAGGATGCATGCCACATTGTCAAAAGTTCCTTCATAAGAAACAAGAACCAGCATTTTGTTCACATTTGATTCATTTCAGGTTCTAAAAGTTTAGGTTCCTAAACATCTCAACCGCTTGAGGCCTGTTCCCCATAAGACCATGCATAAAGAAAGCATACTGTTTCTGTATGTAGAATAAGAAATCTTACCTCATAGCATATCCAGCCCACCGACACAATAACAGCAACAGCCAAAGCATTTGTGAATTTTCTGTATATATCTAGTTTGGCCATCATTCGCTTAGCCTGCCATATCATATAAGAGCAATCAAGTTAGGATAGCAAAGATCTGGTAGTAGATGCTATTGCCCAAAGTGGAAACCTTTGAAGGCTCACAGGAGAAATGCAAGTGACAGGGGAGAAGAAAGCAAGAACTTATTCCAGGAAGTAACACCTCAAGTTGTGCACACTCGGAACCATGCCAACATGTCAAAAAGCAGGAAAGGACAGTGGTTCATGAGTTTCTTTCTATTGTCCATGGATATGAACTCAAATGTTTAGTTCAAGAATTGCCACAAGGAAAAAAAAAAACTGCTTATTTTAGTTACTACACTTGAAGAACAGATTGTACTAAAAAAAAAACGAAAAGGTTTTAAAGTCAAATCATAAGTTAAGCTCTACGATCCCACTGAATATGGAGGAAAACACTCACAAACAAAAGGTGAAAAAGCGCAAAGCATTACATATCTTCCAACTGCCAAGTGGAAAAGCCAAATTTGGTCCTTGGAGATCTATAAATCCCCATAAAAAATCATGGCACCATAATAAGGATGCATCTAGAGATTGAAAATTTCCATGGTCTTTTATCCTCTTGTTTTATGAATAGAATAAATCTAAGAAAAATTGTATACCACTACTCAAGGGAAAGAAATTAATCATAGGTAGAGTTGTAATTGTATAGAGTGATTACATGAAAAAATATATATTCATATTAATGGAAAGCAATTACCTGGAGTTTATTCAGAGTTGCAGAAAGGGAGGTGAATATCCATAGTACAAAGAATGCATCCAAGACTGCCACAGGGAGAGACAAGAATAACATTGCCTTTCCTGAAAGATCACTGACAGCACCAACATGCTCTACCAGTTCAAGCACTTCAGATGCAAGGAAAAAGGTTCCTCCAAGCATGACAACTTTTGAAGTAAGACCACCCAGGGTCGGTCTTACAACACCATATCCCATAGAAACAGTAAGGATGATTAAGCGTGAAACAGTGCGTTTGACAGTGCCAAAGGTTACTGCCCATATGGTAATCCCCGTTGGTCGCACCCCACTCTCGTTAAATTCTGCATAATCAAAATACCATAATGCCATCTCGAACATACCCAATGTTATAACTAATGTTATACAATTCTGCAATTGAAGAACCTCCTTCCAGTATCTTGCATACTGGGAGAACCAGAAGATTCCAAGAACTAGAAATGCAAGAGACATGAACCCATAGAAGTTCAAAAGCGGTGCCATTCTACCTGGCAGGTAACCGCTGGGATTTTTCCATATAGTTTTCCCCTCTACAACCATATCACCAAGTCTTGGTTCACAGTGCATGAAGTACAAATTATACATCCCGGTTCTTGTAATCTGCACAGACCTCGGTTGCATAGTGGAAATTTCCTCATTGACATCAAATGAGACACCAAACACTTCAGGCCAACCAGGATTTATTGCTGATAGGCGATGAATAACTTCCCCTTCCTTACATGCACCCAATTTCGCTAGATCTGAGGTGCAACAGATAGCTCTTTGGCCTCCATAGGCAGAGCCACCAATAGTCTCTCGGTCATCCACCTCAAAAAGAATGGCATAAATCAACCCGGTGCTGAAGTTCGAAGCTTCCTGAGGTCTTCGGAATATGATCTTTTCAAAACTAGATCCAAATAAAAATAGGGTCAGATATGTAATTTTTATCACATATGCACCTAGAATCCATCTAAAGATGAAAGAACCACAGAAAGTAAAATAAAAAATAAGTTGACCACGGAACTGATTAGATCCAAATGAACAGTTCCATTATGCCCCCCTTTGCTCAGTAAAATCTTAAATGAATAATGCAGACCATTCAACCGTCATCTATTACATTTCCCCATTGTCAAGCAACCCAGATACTCTGCATCTATAGTGTCAACTGTAAGTTCCATCTGAACTATAAACCAAGCTTCTTAAGTGTCAACTTAAGTAAAAGGTTGGTAATAACATTTCCAGTTATAGTTGTTGGCTAACATGTCATATGCATCACTTTCCTGAATAATAACTAAAAAAATCACAAGAAAATAAAGAAGGACAAAAATGTCAGGTAAACATAAACCCCACCATTAAGTAGCACAGGAAAGCAGTAACCTATGGATCTAAATTGTGAAATATACGATGTCGATTAGGTTTTATTTTAGCCTACTACCTTAAGTCGTTACAAGCAAACAGCTTGTTGGAGAAGGATCCAACTTACTATTATGGCATCCCCAAAATTTGGCACAAAAGTTGCTTTAAGCCCTTGCTGTTCTTGGCTTAAGCTTGTAGCGGCGATAAGAACATAGTTGCTTCTAATAATGAATCTTAGTTAAAAAGAAAATGGGGATCAATTACAGACATTTAAATGTGGAATAAGGTAGGCATCAAAATTCACTTGAGGAAACAGCAATAACAAATAGTGAAATAGTAGTTACCGAATATAGGCATCGCCATTGGAGGAGGCGGAGGATTGATTGAGGTTAGGATGAGAGTAATAGATTCCTTCACTTCCTCCATGGACTACATATGCATTTCCTTTTCTGGAGAACTTGAGTCCGGCGTAATTATGGACGGAAGCGTGAATGCAAATAAGGCTAAGAAGCAGTAGAAAGGATATGGGGGTCAAAGAATCCGGCAACGGCATTGCTTGTGGTTAGAGAAATCAGATCTAGAGGCAGATCTGGGTTTGAGAGAGAGAGAGAGAGAGAGAGAGAGAGCTGATCTCCCACAACACAAGAAGAGTTCAAACCATGGTTAAGTTGACTCATGCACCGACTTCGATTAAAAACGTGCAAATTTATATATTTTTCTAAAAATTATTTTTAAAGCAATTTATTGATGTGAATATTATGTGATGTGATTGTTTATTATACATTTTAAGCCTTAAAAAGTAATTAAAAAAAACACAACTACTTTATAAAATGATTTTAAGTTGTAACAAAAAAAAATCATTTTTTGAAAATAAATATCGAGTTCAAATGAATCGTTTCAACTTCATGTTTTATCGGTTTCATGCATTCAAAGTCGATTTTGAAAATAAATATCGAGTTCAAAGACCTTCCAGCCTAATGGTAAAGGTTTGGGCGTGACATAGTCATGAACCCGAGTTCGAGCCCTGGGAGGGGAGTGTTGGCGACATTTAAGTGGGGTCATGTTTAGCCTCCAAATTTGCCGGGGATTAGTCGGGCTTTGACTCGGACACTCTTACAAAAAAAAAAAGGTCGATTTTGATGCTCACAAGAAGAAGGTACCACAAATATTGAAAGGAAAATTTTAGAGGGTATGGGTCAAGAGTGTTGGCTTGAAAATGAGAGTGCTTATGTGGTTGGGCCTTATCGAACACATGAGCAGAAAACCAATTGTGGCATCGGTGAGGTCATTAGAGAGTGTGTTAGTGTTACTGTTACAGTCGAGTCGAGGAAGACATGGAATAAGCAATTGAAGTTGAACATGACACTTTTCGTCATTTCAATTCATCTTCAGTAAGAAGAATGGCACGACCTTCTTGAGACATAGGACTACTTCAAATAAAAGTCGGAACTGCATACATCTCATCCCTCCCAAATCCTACTCTTGAACAAAATTTATTGAATTTGTTTGGTTTGATTATAATTCACATCATGTACTTTGCTTATGGATCTTCTTTCATAGATGCTACGACAAAACTTAACAAGTTTAGGGGCCATTTACCAAACACTTACCCGGTAAACGCTTACTGATAAAAATTCAACACTATCACTTTTACTTACCGTGTAAGATTTTAGTCCATCAAAACAACATTGTATGCGACAATTTACCCGGTCAGTGCTAACTGTGGTAAGAGTCTTGGTCCTTGCCATACTCATCCGCTAAGATAACGTGACTTGATAAGCACTTACCCGGATAAGCGAGCGTTTGGTAACAGTCACTCACTTTGTAGTACATACACAAAACCATCAATATATTCTCTTAAAACAAAAGGTTTAATTATCATTTAGAATTGTTTTCTGCAACTGTACACCTGAAGAAACATTCTTAAAGGAAAACAGAAGCTTCAAGAAATGCAAAATAGCAAAATGTACACATTACTACTCATAGAACAAAATCTAAAAGACATTATTCCAAAACCACCCAACATCTATCCAACTGAAAAAAGATGGGTGACATAACGATAACAGTTGGTTACCTTGTGAATTTGGAAAGGGCTACTTACTATGCAATTGAAATATAGAGGCAAAAGGGTCCAACAGATGATGATGATGATGATGATAATAGCCAGGCCAGCATCCACCACCCGCGCTAATATTTGCGGAAGACATGGCATATCATGATGACACATTGATTAATCAACAAAAGTAACAAAGAATAATAGGGGATTCAATCTTCTTATCAGTCCATATCAAGAAACTCCATCCTCTTTCTCATTGAACCCTTCAGATCTGTTGCTTCCCTCTCTACTTTCTGAGCCTAACAACATAACAAACCCAATATTAATCGATCATGTTAAATCTTTACTAAAATTTCATCTTTTAATGACCCAAGAATCAACCAACATCATTCAACTAATTGATCCCTTATCCATCCAAATATATCACATGACAAAATATACGAAGAAAAAACAAAAGAGGGTGTGCCGTGTGATGGTAGCACTTACCCTTTTTATCTCAGTTTCAGAAACACAGGTCATATGAGGGGGGAGTTCCTCCTTCTCTAGATCCTATGCATTTCACATGAACATATCAAAACAACCAAATAAACGTTATTGGCTTAACAGTTTTTTTATGAAAGGGAAGACGAACAATACAAGAATTTTATCAATGTAACAACTTTTATTAAATAGAAGGCACAAAAAAGATGCATACCAGCTCGCCAATCAAAACAACATTCTCGCCACGGATTACATAGAGACCTAACGAGATATCACAATAAAGATCACCAACAATCACTCGTTCACAAGCCCCTTCAAGGACAGCGTTGGCTGCATGTGACCACACATCCATTTCTCAATAATACGATCACCAAAAATATTTTATTGATGAACAAGTTCAAAAAATTCTAGAAATTTCAGTACCAAATTGATCAAAAGAGCGAAGTATCCCCAACAGCTTCCTACCATCTCTTAGCAATACGAGAAGTTTCTCTGTGGAAAAAAATGCACATGTTTAAGTTGATTACATAAAACTGAAAGCAAACTACAAGCAAAGGAGAGCAAGGAGTGGACTTCAACACCTAAGCAAATAAGAGACAGCCCTAACCAGTAATTGGGAGTATAACTTCTTCACATGAGAACCCTTAGGCACTGGCTGCAGTCAAAGGGTTACCTATTGCCTCTCTCTATATTACCTTATTTTGGAATTCACTTGAAGCTTACCTACTACGGTACCGGAATGAATATGATCTCCACCGGACATACGTAATGCTTTAGCTAGTACACAAAAGTGCAATAGCTAGATCCTCATAGTGGCTTCCGTGGACCATGTCAATCTTCCAAAAATAAGAGTTTTGTTAAGGATATATGGTGGTGGACTCATAATCCATGGACTTGGTTGGTCAAAGGTCGATAAAAGGTTAAAAGAGTTACTTTCTCCACATGACAAAGATTCTATAGTTGACACTAGTACTCTCTTGTCATATAAGCAGAATTCTACCACTCATTGCCAACAAATGTTACTGCTAGTTCTTTGAATTCATATAATGGAGCACTAATTGTAGTAATATACATGTATGTCTTTACTTCACAAGCAGATACTGTTAGTGAACAAAATACATCCAGACATGACTCTGATTCCTGCTAGTTTAAAAAGAAAATCGTTGAAGCTCTCGTTGCAACTATGATGGATGTGTTGTAGGAGTTTTGTCAAGGATATATCGTTGAAGCCTCTGCCTAGCCATTGCCTTCTTTTAGTTTCATGAATAAATAGAGAGAAGTGTAGATAAGCAGTAAATTGGTTATATACCACGTGGAGCCTACCAAACAAAAAATCTACAGACTTGGCATTCATTCATTGATTCCACCGCCATTCCATATTTAATGGCATAAATACATAAATGTTCTATGTAAACTTGTTTCCTTTATTGGCTATGAACATGGTTCTAGCAATATGTATTGGATACTCTAAATGCAACAAATCAATGTGCAATGCGGTTTGCCTGGAACACAATTGTCAACATTTAATGAAATCAGATTAAGACCAACTTTTCCCTCAGGTAAAATGCGAATATTATTGGTTGAAGACCAAGTTTCACGATAATTTAATCCATATATATATACACATGATATATGTACAATGATTTCACAAAGCCATATACACAGAAAGCTTCAATCAATGTTAAGTTTAAGTCCAAGTCCAACATGGTGATATATTAACAGATATCCTTACGAAAAAATCACCACCTGATACAGCTTCTATTTATCAAAAGCATCATATTAGTGGTTGCTCAATTTTTGGGTATTATTGTATAAATTAGGAGTGATAGCAATCCTTCAAACTACCCTTTCCTTCACACTCTACCAATAAGACCGGCAATTCCTTACATGGCAAATACATTCTGCAATGAAACAGATGAATCCATACAACCAAAACCCATTAAGTGCTTTAAGTTACCAAAATCTATTTCCATGTTACATTCTAGAATTACCCCAATATATTAAGGAAACAAGAAGTCATTTTGGCCCAAATCCACCGATCTCCACTCTATCAAACAGAGAATCTCAAAAGGCAAGTAGGTAATCGGTCAATCTCACTAGTATACGGTACGCTTTTCTGGAAAAGGCGCCAATAAATTAACACCTTCCTTAAAGCATACAATATCTACACAGTTCAATGAACGATATCATTTATTGGAAGGATGAAACCTACAACACATACACCACCTAAAAACCAACAACTCAAAAGAGCACTTTACCCGTTCCGAAAACAATTTAATACATAAAAAGCCAATGAAAATCAAGACTTTGTAAGTTAAAAGAAGAAATGGAAACCACGACTTACTATCAAGATAGCTTGCAAGAGAAGTAGACAGATGTATATCTTCAGGACCAGCCCAAGACATTGCACTCAAGCTTTTCGGTATCAGAAAAATCACCGAAAAATTCTTTGAAATTGAAACAAATCGCATTGGCAGCACAAGCTCACCCTAATACCTCGCCCTAACACTCTTATCTCCTGCTACAATTTTCCGATTTCTAATGACGACAGAACAAAAAAAACCCTATAAAACTAGTAAAACCTAACGATCTGCGAAATCGATAAAAAAAAAACCGACAACTAACCCGAAATATCGAATCCAACACACACTCTCGATATCAAAAACAGTAAGAAAGAGTGTTAGTTGTTTCTTTTCTCTTTTCCCGTCCAGATCTATCTATAAACCCTAATTAACAATCCCCAAATCTGGAAGGGGAGGTGATGTAAAATGACCCCTTGATGCTTCATGCTTTAATCAAGCCGCTTGGAACAAGAACTTTATTTATTTGGTCCTTCAAGATATCGCGTATGCTAAAACTGACCCTATTGTATCATTATTATTCATTTTTGGATCTTGAAACTCTTGGGGTGCGTTTGGTACGTGGAACAGGATGGGACAGAACAGGACAGGACATGACACACTTGTCTCATGTTTGGTGTGTTTCTAAGTGGAACACGTATGGGACAAGCCTGTTTACCCTCACCCCCCTGGAACTAAGTGGAACAAGATATATTTGGCAACAATTTTCAAATGTAATTGTGTTGCATTTTTTTATATTGTAAGATCTTATATATATATATATATATATATATATATATATATATCAGTTGGGTGGGGTACAAAGGTTGTCTTGTAACGAATAACACAATTTAAGACCGTGAGTCCAGGTATGAACAAAACGGACAATATCTGATACAGTTAGTGTGGAAGGTTACAAATGATATCAGAGTCGGGAACCAGATTGGTGTGCCGGTGAGAACGTTGGGCTATCAAGGGCATGGATTGTAAGTTCCCACATTGGCCGAGGAGGATAACTAATTTTGTCTTATAAAAGACCAAATATCTTCACTTTAAATCCGTGAGTCCAGATGTGAATAAAGCAGACAAAATCCGGTACGACTGATCTAAGATGTTACATAGATGATCTATGCAAAAGTAAGTTTCATTACTAAACACAAACCCAATACATTTCATTCAAAAGTAGAGCCCACATGCAATATTATGGAATAACATTTACATATAATTATCCAACATCATAAAACAAAACAAGACATTGATGGGCAATTAAGTTTGTTTGTGATTAGAAGAGTATACATACATACATACATCATAAATAATACAACATAAGAACATGCATTTGCACCCACCAAAATGGATACAAGCATGAAAAAAAACACAGAGATGCAACGGGTTCAATATGATGCCTTTGCTCTACAAATTCTCAACTTTTGGTCATCCATCCTTGTCAATGCTGTTGAGAGAGAAAAAAAAACAAGGCAAGTTTTTCACCTTAAGAACTCAAACATCAGCAACAAAAAGATACAACCCTTGTCATCATCATCTTTACAGGGTCTGGTAACATTCATATCTCTAGAACAATATCTGCAAATTTTAAACCAAACTCATTAACTATACCCTTTTTTTGGTGTGTTTGGAAATAAAACCAAGTGTGAAAACATGTGGAACCCCATTAAATGACTCTCCAAAAAAGCCCTTGAGGATAAGAAGGAGGTTTCAATATATATTCAAGACTAGATGATGGGGGATTCTAGCACTCCCCCTCAGGCGAGTTTGGAAAGGGGGCTACACGAGTACAGATTCAAGTGTCAAGTCCCATTTGAGAATATGTAGAACCCCATTAGATTACCCTCCGAAAGAGCCCTTTGAGGAGAGAACGGGGTTCCAACTTCCAAATTTATATCATATACAAGTGTCCAAGTTTAACGAGTTTACTTTCTGAAAATAAAAACACTTACATTCGGAATCAGTTTTGACCCATTTCGACCCATCCTTCCCATTTTCCTCCTCTGTAACTTCCCTTTTCTTGGATGATCGTCTACCCTCGATCATCTTCCTCTTTGTTGATGCTTGAGAAGAGTTCGGAGGGTTGATCTTGCTCTTAAGCATAGCCCTCAAGAGCTGCAGTTATCAGAAAATAATCAGAATACAAATAGAAAAAAAAAAAAGAAAAACAAAATAAACGAAAAAGAAAACAAGACTACCTTCTCCATTCTTGATTCAGGAAGCGGATCACGCACACTAGGAATCGATGGAAACCCGCTGCTGCATACGAAAATCTTCTTGAAAAGGAAAGAAATTGATTTCTTCCCAATCGTTTTCTTACTGTTATCCATGCAAATATCCTTGCACCTACCAAGAATAACTCTAATCGTGCGATCAATATCTTCCTCCTTATCATTGTCATCACTATTAACTGTGATAGAAAGTCGACGATCAACCTCTAAGCTCGACGGGCAATTTAGAAATCTATCCAACGGGAGATCAGCAGCTATCTCTTGTTTGTTAGCAGCCGGTTTCTTGGACAGGAGCTTTGTTAGCTCTTTCTGCAGTTTCCCTATCTCCTCAGATGTGAATTCAGAAAGATCTGGAGACGATGTTCCTTCCCCTCGGTTTTCTTGAATTTCTTCATTTTCACTTGGTAGGTCATTGTTGCCAAAAGTGCCTATTGTCAGCAACCCATGAGGCCAATCGCTAAATTCTTCTTTCCGGGGTTCTTGATTGGCATGATCTACACAACACATGACTCAAAAACATGATTCTGATTTCAAATTGAATGAGAACATATAAAGTTCCATCTTTCTGAATCTTTTATGGATTTTCAAGATCTATAAATCCTTTGTTTCATTGGATGGATTTCAATGTCTGCATTCTTGAAAGCTCAAATCACCATTCAAATATCACCAGTAAAAGATGACAGTGAATTCCAAAACTGAACTTTGTTGTTAGAAAATTTCAATATCATTTGTATAAACATAAACTTAAAAACATGGTTCATGTATTTCCTTACACCAGGGACCAACCAAAGCATATATGTATGCAATTTCTTATACTAAAAGCATGTGCAGTATACTAGATTCAAGAATTTATGCCCAAATTTTGGATTTTTTTTCCTAATAATTAAACTTCAAATAAACCAATAAGTTGTTTATAAATAAACCAATAAGAAGATCATAGCTTGAATTTACCAACAATGCAAACACAAATAAATCAGCCACAGAAACAGAAAGGTTACTTACGAGCAGTAGAGGTGGCATTCGAGTTCTTATGCCCTTGTCCACCATTGAATTTACTTTGCATCCAGTTAAAGAGCTGCAACAAGACCAAAAACCAGAATGTCAGTTTGGAAAACATGCATATTGACTAATGATAACTAACCCTTATATCTCACCTTCATGATGGTGGTGGTTATAATACAAGAAAGGCAGTAGGTGGTGGCGGTGGCGGTGGTAATGAAGAGAGAAGGGCAACAGGTGGTGGTGGTGGTGGGTGGGGGCCAATGCCAAAGTGGCACTAAAGAAGTCTTGAATGGAAGCAGATCCTAGAAGCCAATGAGAGTTTAGGTTTTTGTAAGTAATAATAAAATAAAGATTTTGGGAGAAAAGGCTTCAAGTTCCGAAACGAACCCAATTCTTGTCTACATCCAACCATCCCATTTTATATACCTATTTTTTTTCTTTACACAAAAAAAAGGGGGGGATTTGAATATTTGATCTCTATGTATAAGGACATGATGTGATTATAATAATCCCTTCATGTTTCCTTGTAATAATACATGCCGAACAATGTCGAGTGAAGGGATTTGAAGGAGTCATATTTCAGTCCGTTGGATCTATCTTGATGCTCCAAATAGATATGGGTTTCTGTGCTATGATCTATTGATTTACATTGGTCAATTTGTGAATCTTGGTGAACCACACAAAGTCCCAGGATTTTATTCACCAACAATGCATTTTTGTTTTTTTTTTTTTATTTCTTTACATCATGGACCAAACATATGACTCATCTTTATTATAAGACTAGTCAACGGTGGCACAACCTATATAAGCTTTTACATTATTCTACAAAAATATTAAACTAAAATACATTTGCAATTAGTCATCAAAAACAATAAATTGGTATTACTAAATACTGTTAAAAGGTAAAAGAGTAATTGAAAATATCTCTTCAAAAATGCAAATGCAAACCAACGTTACAAATTACTCATATAATTATATTTTTCACACTTATCAGTTTTTAACCTTTCAAAGTACCACGATCATTTTATATTTATTTTTTCATTTCCTTATTTAGCATTTAGGCGTCGACATAAATGTTTTCCAAAAATAGTGTTTTGCCCTCTATGATCGGATTGGATCTAAAAACGACAATAGTTATATAACTTTTTGGTCATTTATTAAGCATGATATGACGTATTATCTGTATAAAGTCCTAGTAAGATGCTCTTTCTATCCCAAAATAAATGTTGACTAATAAATTTTTATGTCTTAAATTAAAAGAATGTTGACTAATAAAGTACTCCTTTGTTTAAAATAAGTGTTCACCTTTCTATTTTAATTTGTCACAAAATAAATGTTTTACTTGTAAATATCTATTTTTCCATTCTACCCTTAATAATAAGATAAATAAAAAAAATTCTCCCTATTAATAAAGGTATTTAGTTAATTAAAAAGTATAACAATTACACATTTTTATTACTTATTGTGTTCCTTTCTCATTTTAGACAAAAGAATTAGTTGATAGAAGAATTACATTTAGTAAAAACTTACTCATAATCTAAATAACAATATGAAACAATCTAAAATGACACTGAATTTTCTTTTTAAAATATAATGGACATAATTTTCTTTTTAAAATATAATGGACATAATTTATAAAAAAAAAGTGAGAGAAAACATTAAAGCTTATTGAACATTATTCGAAATACCTTTATGACTTGCCAAACAAAGGTTTCTTTTTTAATATGCTTAATAAATAAGCTAAAATGATGTCAACAATTCACTGCACCAGTCACAATCACAAGTATTAATTTTAGCTTTTAAAAGTTGCGAAATATTCTAAATAAAATGTGCTGCAATTTTTGTAGGATAAAATAATTAAAACATACAATAATATATACATAACATGCTTAAATTAATAGAATGAAACTGCTGAAATGATAATACTCCTAAATTGATTGACTTACCAGGTAACATCATCTCTAATATGCAGGACAGATTGGAAGCAAACATAACAAAAACTTGTTCTTCCCACTTTAACAAAAAGTATTCTTCTAAAGGTGGGATGTGACGCTTAGACTGAAACAAGACATGACGGACCAAAAATAGAAAGATGACATTAGAGTGGTAAATTAATAAACTATTCATGTCAAATTAAAACCCCAAAACCTTATATGGTTCTTTCACTCTCACTTGTCTAATCATGTCCTCGTCTTATTCAAAATACGTACCAAACACACCTTAAACAACAACCCTATCATACAACATCCTAACAACAGGTAGATCCATTTGGACTTTAACCCATAGTTTCTAATCTGTAAACAACAATTAGAAAAACATTACAGCTAAATGATTCCCTTAGCTTTTAATTCCATATATACTCAGGAACAATACTAATCAAAGAGACAATGTAACCAATCAAAATATAAAATTCCACATAGTTTGTCTCAAAAGCCTATTTTTTTGGTACATGGTTCGAACAAAAAACCATTTAAACTTATATACATTTTGTACATGATTTCATCTAAAAACCATGTAAGATTCACATTTCCATACACGGTTGTGAGTGTTTTTTAAACCGTGTATAAAGATGACTTTTGTACACAGTTTTGAAATTGTATACAGCAATTACAAAACCGTCTATAATTGCTCACCTTATCATGTAGTAGCGCACCTCCACCCAGAAACCGACGAATCGGTTCCTGCGTCCTCTCACCTCCCTACTGTCCACTTTCTAGAGCCCACCATAAAATAAATTTATCAATTTTCATCCTTGGAGGTCCAATTAAGCTAAGAATTCCACTCCCCTATAACTTTTAACTATAATGGCTTTTAATCATATAATATGGCCTAATGACATCCCTGTAAACACTGGTCCTAGTTAAGTTAAGTTAATCCCAAATCAAATTGAACAACTTTACATACCTCATGAAATGGGTTAGTAGGCTTGCTCCTATGATCAAAAGATTTACCAAAATGTTAGATATATAAGCAACACACGTGTGTTGACATTAATAAAATATTAGATTTATAAGCAGTTGGGTGTTGTGTTCAAGGCCTTGTGAAGAGGCACTGGGCATTAGAATATTAGTGCATAGAATGCATAATTAGACATGTAAGGATCAGTACTGGGAATAAGTGAAACGTCCAGCAGGTTCTTTCTAGAGATTACCCTCTAATCGTCGTCATTAGAAGTTAATTAATTATGATTTAAACAAGCGTTATTCCTTCTTCCACATCCTCCCTTCATTACGCTTAAACCACCCCCATATTCTTGGAGAACAGATAACAAAAACAATACAATATTATCTTCTTTAATTATCTTTAGGGGTTTTCCCCATGCATTTTAATGGATCAAAACGTCACAACTAATCAACAAGTTAAACAAACATTCATCAACACTAACATTATCCCAAGTAGTTGCCAGGTGACATCAATATCCAAATCTTCCACAGATATTGTCTTCAAAACTAAATTAACCAATTTCATTTTGGTGCATCTTATCTATACATTATAACAGACTAAAAGTAGATTAAAATAAAATCATACTAATAGATGGAATTTTATTTTCTTTAGAATTCCTATGATCTATGGTTTTAACTTGGATACTTGGGGGGGTAATTTCTAAAAGGGATGATTGGATTTAGAAAATGCATGTAAACATGGTTGTATTGCATGCAAAAAAACGTCATGCTCTACGTCATCAATTTTGAGATTTATGTGCTTTCCTCGAGATGCATGTTAATAGAAGGTAAAAGATAAATGGACTCTAGCAATCACTCCCATCAAGGTCTTACTAGTAATTTAACATATGAGGAAATTAAGCCACGTGACGGGGTTCACCCACCAGAGTTCTTGGGTTAAGAAATACAGCCTACATATCGGCATCCGTGGAACCAACTTTCCAAATTAGGAAGCTCATCATTCCTCCCTTAACATAAAAAAAATATTATACTAATGATGGCAACCTCCACCATCCATAAAGTACCTGACAAACGCACCCAGTAAATCCCATCCAGAAATTGGGCATAGGAAGATAAGACGTATACAAATCTTCCCGGATTAAAGAGGTTGTTTCCATAAATACCCCCGGTCCCAGCTTGCGACAATGTTTTGGAATGTCTTGGGAGAGGCAGAAACTTTTTCAACAAAAGTTTAGGAAATTTTGTCAGTGAATAAAGTATGATAAACTAACAACTTCAAATGAAGTGTCGCATCGATCTATCCTAGGACCTTGCTAACCTAAATGTCAGCTCTATAGCCCTAAACCACCTATAAAACAGAGAACCTACTAAACCATAAACCACCTAAAAAACAGAGATCCTACTAAACCGTAAACCACAAACCACCTACAAAACAGCGATCCTGATATAAGGTCACAGTTCATAATCCTTCAACAATATTTGAAAGACTACTGAGCTCCAGGGAATCGTAATCACTGATCATTTGTATTCAGCCTAATGCACCAGCTAGACAATGTTATTACTTGTGGCTTTCAGCAAATAAGTAGATCGTAAGTTCCTCAAATCATGCATTATGCTCAAATAATACAAAAAATGAGGGAAGTCTTCAAGGGATCCAAAATAATAATTCGTACCTCATAAAAAAAACTAACATAATTAGACTGCAATGCCTAGTCTACTTGCACAACATGCGATACAGGTTCCAAGGGGAGTCCAAAGTCCCCCAATTACCATTTTCATGGAAGCACCATGGCTACAAAATATAGGTTCTTCACAGCATATGCTTTTTCTGTAAATGTATATGGTTTAGAGTTCATCATGCTCCGGAGTTGTTCCTTCTGTGGCGTTATGCAATTACCAAAACCAGTATAAGGCACACTACATAGTACAGATAAAAATAGAACATATGCTACAATAACAAGTTTATTTTTCATGGACATTTGCCAGGAAGAACGATAAGTTCTAAATTTATAGATACTTGTCATTCTCTGAGAGAAAAATATAAAGTTTGCATCTATTCACAGATTTTAGTTTCTATCCAACAAAATATATTGCAGTTGTCCACCAAATGATAATACTTTCTTTGATCCAGGATCTCTTTTTATGTTCCTTCTTTTCATTTCTTTTCCAAGAGGAAGATGAGCAAACCATAGAGCAACCACTAAAGCTATTCATTATTAGGTCATATCAAATCACATAAAAAGCCTGTATGCAAAATGCAGGGAAAGGTTGCATATCGGCATATCTTCCCAAATGTACAAAGCCTAGGAGCCTTTATGCTTCATGGCCACCTTCCCATTGAGAAAAAAGGTCAACTGACCATTTTGCCCTCGTGTCAGGCAAATGCTTGCGATGGAACCACAGAGGCTACTAAGACCACTTGTATAACAGGAACCTACAGGCAGGGGCAATGTCCATGTTATAAGGTGGATGGTCATAGGATCATCCATCAAAAAGCAATTGAATAATACCCCCACTATATTCTAGATAACATTTTAGCAGTATTTTGAGAAGTGATAACCCTCCCTCAACAATTAGCATGCCAAATTTCTCTCCTTTCTGAGAGTCATCATTATCTTTCTTTCTATCCACAGACTAATTAACTATTTAATGTGTTAGGAAGAAGGGAGTTGGAGAGGTTGAGGGTGGGGGTGGGGGCAAGGAGGGGAGGGTGTAGACAGTTAACAGGTTAGGTCACCAGAGTCCTGCGACGCAGAGAGGGATAGAGAGATATGTGGCTTTTCATACCTCACCCCTTCTATATGCGTTTTGTCTTACTTCACCTTGCATTTTATAAGTTTCAATGTACCAACCCCTTACACTTTTTTTTTCCTTTTTTGAGCTAGTCTTTGTTCCTTTTACCCTTTTGCTCACACTCTTCTTGCACAAGTCGGGGGGTTTCACATAAACAACCGCTCTACCATTTGGGACAGAGATCAGGTCTACGTACATCCCATCACCCAGATCCTTGGGATAAGCTGGGTCAGTTTGGTTTGGTCTAGTTGGGTTTTGTATATCATATATATAGTCTCAAAAATGATTCATCATTCTTTGGGAAGCTTATCATCACAAACTTCAAGTAATCCCCAACACATGATCTCATCATCTTAAAAGTACTAAAAAACGCTAGCCAGACCTAAATTTTCCTGAACTGTCGAACATGATATGTTATTTGTACACAAATTTAATAATGATAATTTATATATTAACAACGGAACAAATAGAATAATAAAAATGCAAGATAAAATCAATCCTAAAAATAAATAAGTGCCAGTCATGGTTCAAGACAAATAGTTGAAAATGGTCAAAATAGTATATTTTAGATATTTCCAAATGCATGCCCTCAGATAGAAGTCCTTGGAGGAGCAGGACAAGGGTTGTAATATCCGTAATTTATAAAAATATTATTAGTCATAAAAAGTGATAAAAATAAGCTTTTTTTATTAAAGGCTGAATTTAAGCTACTTGGAAGTTGATGGGCTTTTATAATTCTATGCAAATTTGGTTTTTAAAAAAAATACTAAATAAGTTTTGGATATATCTTGGAGAAGTGTTAATCGTATCTTTTGGAAATTAAATTCAAATTTCATAATTACCTTTTTTATTTATCCTATAAATATAAAGGGTTACAGATATAACCAAATTCTAGATTATTTTATTAACATCGTAAGCTTTCTTGGGTCATAAATCTTGTTCAAACTTGAGTTTGGGGTTCAAGAATTGGGTCATGTTTTGGAGGTAAGTCTTCGATTACAATCTGCATATTAATTTGATATTGTCTTGTTAATTTTGAGTTCCTGATCATTCTTTTATCTATGATTTTTTTAAGTTTTTGGAATGAGATTGTTAATGGTGTTTCTAACCCAATTTCTAGAGTTACTCCAATATGCTATTTTACTGAGATTTCTTAATGAAATTGATGGGTTTCATCTATAAAATAACATAGAAATGTCTTCTGCAAAGAAAAAAAATATGAAAATCGAACGGTTTTTGGGTTGGTTTAGAATATGGGTTAAAAATAAATAAATATGGGTCATGTCGGGTGGAGAAGACAACATCACGTGGGTTATTTTGTTTAGACCCACAGTTTTTGACTATTTACAGTTCAGACCCCAATTTGTAAAAGACGCTTCATATTTTATTTTCCAACACTAATAGAATGTTATTCAGACAGTTTTATACCACACCTGTCAGTAATTACAGATTAACCCCTTTAAAACTGTTTTCAATATCAGGAACTGTTTTGACAGTTCTGGCCCTGTTTCAGAAAATATTTTACAAAAAGGTCCAGGATCTCCGTACTTCTTTCAGCAACACTCTATTCAATTATAATTATTATATTGTGACATTTGTCGTGAATCAACTGTTTTAAATTGCTTCGTTGGTTGATAATTGCAATTTCGATCCTCGAATTATTTTCGTAATAATATTCATTTTTGTTCAAAACCTTAATATTTGAGACCTTTACATCGATTTCTATTGTTGGCTTATTTTACGTGAGAAATACGTTTTTGATTTTGTGATGTAATAAGATCTTGATGCATGATGAATATACTCAGAGTTGAGGTTGGTTTTATACTTTTATATTCATCCATGCATACGTAGAAGCTTTTTGTTAAATTAGTTTGGAAAATAGGAATACTGAGTTAACCACTAGTAGGGGTACTATTGGCTACCCATCGCGGGGTGATTAGTCAACGGCGTCTCCTTCCGATTTTTGTATGCTCTGATGCCAGTTGGCCATGGTGTGATGGGTTATCAGGAGGTGTATGGGTCGGCCCTAGGACTTTTGGAGCTTTGTCATCAGTGTGCAATGTAGTGCCATACATGCCACTGATTTTGGATACACTTGGAGTCGCGAATCCAGTGTACTGCAATTTGTTTGAATATCTTGTGTTATCATTTTGCTCCGTGTAGGAAGCTTGGTTTGTATAAACTAACCCTTGTCGTTTCAGCCTAAAATTCTTTGATTACTCGGGACTTCGGTGGTAGTTCTGAATTGGAGATGCTTTGGAACCTTACCTTTAATCAATCTTTTCAATTGTGTTATGCTTTGTTTACGTTGTAATCTTAATCCATACTGGGCATTTGGCTCATGTTGTGTTTTTCTTCCGGCAGGTATCTAGCTACGGGAAATCTTGGGCTTTGTGAAGAGAGGACCACTTGCTTTTGAGGACTTCTATTTATTTGAAGTTAACTTTAGTCTTGAACTAGAATAATATTTTGGGAGCTAACGTTTACTTGAGATTTAACTTTTATCGCTGCGACTTTAAGTTAAACTTTTGTTGAAACTAAGTGGCTTGATCTAATTTTAGACTTTTTAGTGATTCATTATGTTATTTGGAAATTCCGTTTCCGCTGCTGATTTGGGGTGTTTCAAGGGTAGTAGATTTTATGTAAGGACTTGTTACTGTGATTGAGGGAGGGGAGGTGTTTGATGTGGTAGAGGGTGTGTGGGCAGGCAAGAGTAGCTTTTGTGTGAGTTATCGAGTTTCGCCAAGTTGGGGTCTTCCGGTTAACTTGGTGCTAGATCTTTTAGCCGTTCCGTATTCTCTTTTTGTTTCTAAGGTCCTTACTTGTTTAATCTTCTTTCATGTTGTTTACTGTTCATACTAGCTCTAACTGTGCTCTAACAGTTATACTTTCTTTGGATGAACTCTTCTAAACTTCATTTCTTGTCTTTTTGGAACACTTTTAGGGTTACTGAAGAATCCAAAGTTTTCGAAAGATATCGTCTTGCAAAAAGAAATCCACAAGTCAATGGTCTTCAATAAAACAACCTCTCTACTCATAGTGATAGAGGTAAGGTGTGCATACCTTTTGCCCTCCCCAGACCCTACTTCATGTGGGATTACTGGGCATTGGTTTGTTTCAAATAGTAAGTTTGAATATAAAGACCTTTATATAAAGAGGTGAGATCCCCACCCACACTATAAGGTCAACCTCTTAGATATACTGAAGCTTCCTATATATATTTATATATAGACTTGTGTATATATATATATAAAACTATATTCTTTTATTGGTGATGTGCGAAGTCACACCACCAATCACCCTTGGGACAACACAGAATTGGGCTAAATACATTTATTATATGAATGTTGAGATTTATCACGTCTATATTGACGATGTGGATGCTTCTCCCTATCTATTGTACACCAATACCTCTACCAAGAAAAGAAGCATCAGTATCATATCTAGTTCATATGCTAAATAAAAATGTAATGCGAGTAGATAATAAGGATAAGAAGTTGACCTGGAAATGCCTCTGTTAAGAAAAAAGAAATTTCCCTTGCAGCTGATTCGACTGAATCTGAACCATGAACGCAGTTTCGCTCTAAATCCTTCCCACACATCGCTCTAATGCTACAGACAACATAAAAATGTTAGAAAATAACAAAAATGTGAAAGAGAGAAGGCACCATTGACCAGTTGCCTACTCATGGAAAGCTAGCAGGCTTGAATCTGGAGAATGTAAGATAATGCAAGAAAGACAAAAAAAACCTGTCGGCATGAGTCATTTTAGCCTTGTGGGCATCAGTTGGTCCGATAAGAGCACGCCAATCAGCAACAGCATTAGCTTTCTGCAGAATCATTATCATCACTGGGCCACTGACAAAATGCCAAAATCAAAATACAGTTGATTAATTTCAATGGCTAATATACGCAATTGACAGGCCTTCCATTGTAGTCGTTCATAAATAATTTATCAGGAAGAAATCAGCAACAGCACAAGAGCTTCACAGAATGTCAAGAAAGAGACAGACACTAAACCCAATGATGGTATGATTGGAAAGCCAACAATGGTGGCACAGTAAAAAGAGTGAAAAATAATAACCACCAGAGATGAAAAGTAACTGCTTACTATAAAAGTGGTTTAATCCTGTAACATCAGATGTCAACTGAATAAATAACCAAGAAAGATAGGAAAGGTTAGAGTTCCGAGTATGCTAATCCACTTCCTAGTATGTTGGGTCAATTCCTCATGCTATATGATACAGCAGTACCACAGAGAATTCATCTATAATCTCATATTAATGAATTAAAGATATAAGTAGCAAATGAGATAAAGAAATACGACTTATGTTGCGATGAAATGTATTTCCATAAATTCAAATAGAACTCTTCGATCACCCAAGATTGAGAACAATCAGTTTAGATTATAATTACTTTAGCAACAAAAAAAAAAATCAAAAGTTCATGACTGTAAAGAGAACAAACTACCTGGTCATGTATTTAATAAGGCTTGGAAAGAAACTCTTTGCTGAGTGCTCAGCATAAAACCTTCTCACACTATCTTCATCAAGGTGTAGCGTAAATTCTCTTTGGATGCTGAAGCCAGATTCCAGAATAACCTTCCTTATTGAACTAGTATAGTTACCAGAAACCCCATCTGGTTTCACTATTGCAAGGGTCCTCTCGTTCTCCAAATACACATTCGCCCATGATCTACTTAACTAGAAAAGCACGTATAAGACAGTATTGACCAATTCTATGAATCCGTAAATATTTAGTAAAAAAAGAAAACAATACGGAGATGGATAGAGATTGAGCTGTTGTCAGTTGTCAGCAGAAAATTCTCACACAACATAGTAACTGCATACAGGATTCAATTTCATAATTCCATTGAAGTTCGTTACTCACATTTTTAGAAATTTGAAAGCATGTAAAGGAGAAAAAAGTTAACTCAAACTAAAACAATCCAAAAACACCTAATGCAGAGAGAAGAAGCCCTAGCATTAATAACCTGATCGAAAGCGAAGCAACACAGGCTAGAAGGACGATTAATACAAAGTCCCTAAACCAGAGGCCGAAACGGAGATTCACAAGCATCTAAAGGAAAACAAATCCTGTTATCAGATTCATCAAGTAATCGAAATTCGAAGTCGTTTGCTTAATCATTCATCGAGCATATGATTTGAAATAAAAATGTATAATGAAGTTCGAAGAACAAGATGAAGCTAAAAGTTATTGAATGAAACCTTTGAATCGATAATCACCGGCGATTGCGAAGTGCAAACGTAATCGTGAAAGAGCTGCGGTTTGGGGAGAGAATAGGCGGGAATACGTAGACGGACCGGAAAACACGCTGTTGATGAAAATTGCACGAGGTAGGCACGTGTTTAGAAAATCTACGGAATTAGTCCTTGTGGTTTGGTGGTTTAGTGATTTTTATAAAAATGGTCCTTAAATTTTATTTATTGCGAATTAGGACTCATTGTATATTGTTTTGCAACAAATTGGTCTCTCCTTCTAACGGTCATCCAGTTCCTTCATTAACCTTGAAGGTTGAGCCCTAGACCACTAAGTGCACATCCTCTCGATAAAAGTATAATTCTTTTGCCAAGAGGTGGTAGAAAAAGTCAAGCATTTGCCATTTTGTATAATGTCAAGATCGATGAACTCTTCTTCCTAGTTCCTATTTAAAAAATGTTTGTCAGTATTTTCTTTACCTTTACTTGAAGAACCAATTTCCAAAAAAAATCACACAAACCACATAGACCAAATCTGTAATTAAGTCTAATTTTTTTTTTTATACTTTGAGCATATTAAATTAATTAATTATTATACTTTAATACATATTAATTATTATACAAAAGATATAGATTTTTTAATTTAAAAAATATTATTATAAACGTCATTTAATCACACTATTTGAATCAACCAATCTAATGGTTGACAGAGGTGGATTTCCATATCACGCATATGTATACGTATGTAATACATATTATTTTTATAAAAATATATATTGTATATTAAAATTAAACTTAAAGTATAATAACTAATACATATTAAAGCATAATAATTAATTAATTTAATAAACTCAAAGTATTAAAAAAAATATTTTTAGACTTAATTACGGATTTGATCCTTATGGTTTGTGTGGTTCTTATGAAATTGGTCCCTCGAGTAAAGACAAAGGAAAAGGAAAAGAACAAAAATGCTATCAAGGTTAACGAAGCAACTGGATGACCTTTAGATTGAAGTACCAATTCGTTACAAAACGATATGTAACGAGTCATATTTTGTAATAAAGAAAATTCAGGAACCATTTTCAAAAAAACCATCAAACCACAAAGACCAGATTCGTAATTCACTCTAAAATATATTAGTGAGACAGGTATTGTAACACCCCCATTCCGAAGGAAGGGAGGTTGCTTCAAAACGTAACAGAACCGCTATACAAATCTCCAAAATATAGTCCCCAATACAGATAAATAAAATAAAATCTTCCAATAACGAAATTGAATATATCTACAAATAAGATATAAAGGTCTCCAAACAAACCACTTCCAAAATCCTCCAACAACCGAGGAAAATCCAAAAGCAACTCTTAAAGGAAATCTAATCTAATAGCCAAAAAGGAACAAAATCCAATAAATGAATTAGCATAACATTAAACCTCTTGAAATCCTTGGAACCAAGATCCTTGTCTACTCTCTGTCACAAAACCTAGCCTCCCCTTGATTACCTGCCGTGAGGAATAGAAGAAAACACGGCTGAGCCAAATGCCCAGTGAACGGATAAACAAATATAGAAAAATGGTAATACAAACATGCCAAAATCGAACCAAACAAGTACCAAAATCTTAGAAAATCAACAAATAACATAATCAYACRAAATCATATGAMKGGACAAATCGAGCTCGAAAACGCATACACTTGCATATTAACTAACATGACAAGTGTCAGACATATGGCCACACAGGCCTGTACGTTGGACTGCAGATCCACACGTACCAAATGTGAGATGTGGCGTTGGACACTACACCGACATCCACCCTACAAACGAATCACATGTGCTAGGCCCGACCCATACGCCTCCTAAATCTAATATCCATCATACCAAAATAGCTCTCACAAGAGCACCAAAAGAGGAGACGCCGTGGACTGATCACACTGCCACGGTTAGTGTCACTTCATCGGTGCCACAATGACGTGCCTATGGTACCCCCATAGGTGGTTAGCAGCTCGAGTTACCCAGAGTTGAGTTGTCACAACGAATGTGACGTTATACGTCTTACATATAGTCAATAAATAACGAAATCAAACGAAAAGTCAAACATAAGTCAAGTACGGAATTATGTTGAATAAACAAGTAGTCGCAGTAATAAAGAGGCTCGATTAGAAGAATACATAATCGATCAAAAGTACCAACATACGTACTTTTAGAAGTAAAAATCATACCAAAATGTTACCGAACAAATAAACGTGTACTAACTCGAATAACTCCAATAGCATGATTAGGACAAGACGCCCTTGTCACATATATATATATATATATATATATATATATATACATGACGTAGAACAAATACGATTGAATGGAAGATGCAATAACGAACAATTTGGATAAATATGAGTTAAACGAGACTCACGAATTCATAAGCATATTTAAACGAGCTAACTGAACAAAAAGGTTTAGGAATCCGTACCTTAAACTTCACAAAACTTATCGATTTCCCCAAGTTTATTCCTTTATATATGCCCTAAACAAACACYCAAACTTACTATTAATCCTAACTGATAACTTGATGGCATAACGAAACTAAATCACTTTAACGACTAATAATGTAACTAAACTCAACTAAATCCTATCAATATATATATATATATATATATATATCCATACTATGCAAACCACATAAGATCAAATTCGAGAGAAGAACGAGAAGAATTTTTTTGGGTTCTAAAGACGATTTTGACAAACCCCTAGTTGTTGCCATTATTATTGACCGAATCGGTGACTTTCGAGTCACCGGAACAACTCAAAAATTTATAACCCAACTACTAAATGTATAGATTCGAGAATGGGACAAAAACTTACCTCAAACCGACAAGAAATCGATGGAACCTTGCTTACTTTTGGCCGTCGGCTCCCTCATAGGTTATCAATGGATTCTTCCAAGCTCTTAGGGTTTCTCTCTAGCGATTATCACAATTAGAGGAATTAGGTTAAAAAAAAGATTAGGGTTAGGTTTAAATAAGAGGAATTAGGGTTAGGTTTAAACCCTAATCTACAAACAAAAGCTCAAGCCCATTAATTGCAAAGTTAAAGCGATTTATGCAGAATTAACCTCTCAAGATTGGTCAACTTCCTAAACTAACCCAAACTTCAATATAAATATATATATATATATATATATTAAACTTGCACTGATATATATATATACACACACATATATATATCTGACGGGTATTATAGGTATGATAGGGGATTTTGAAACAACAAATTTCCATCCCTAAATCCAATACATTGGAACATCTCCGATAGATCGTTGATCAAATTTTCCAAAGAAAATATATTTTCATCTTCAAAACAACTTTTCCGGTTATTAATTACAATATAGATTATATTATTACAAGATATACAATATCTTTTATAAAATATTAATGAAGCTTCATTGTTCCTTTCGATTGGCTTTGGGCCTAATGGATTGGGTTATGTATCTATATATATATATATATATATATATATATATATATATATATATATATAACAAATGGTATGATGGGCCACAAATCTTAAATTTGTAAAATTTCACTCCTGTCAGAGTGTTTCTCAGTTTTTTCATTTCCATTTTCTCTCTCTCTCTCTCTCTCTCTCTCTCTATATATATATATATATATACACACACACACGCACCAAGTAAGTTATAATAGATGGTCTTGACGCCATTCATGAGTGTCGAACAAATTACAATTATATATACGTTCGTTCTACAGGCATGAGCACATTTCAGTGCACGAGTCACAAGTGTCACAACAACAACTTATACATTGAAAGCAAGCAAGAGCAGTGCATAGTTCCGCTAAAGCAATAGCGCATTGGTCATTAACCTGACCACATGTCCGAATGAAGCACTTGCAACAAAATCTATCACGAAAGACGGTCCAGCAATACAAAGCTGCTTGCATCACTTTTGCTGCTGGTTCGCTCAACTGCAATTCCTCGATTCCGGGCGGTAGATTCTCAGCAGTCGCGATCAAGTTACCAAATCCGACATTTAAATTCATTGGGCAACTTATCCTTTGATTCTTTGACTTGCTATACTTCTGCAATCCAATTTATAATATAATAAATACATTTTCAGAAAGAATGGCACAGTCAAAAGTATTTAATTGTCCTAATAGACTACTCTTTTATAATACATCAGTTTAGGGCCAAAAAGTTGAGCGTTTTATCTAAATGTGTTGTAACAAGTCAATAAGACACTTTTTGATTTCTTAACAAACTTTTTATAACACTTTTGAAACAAATGGTCCTATTGGGGTTGTTATATGCCATTATTTGAAAAAATGTCTTATATAAAACAAGTGTCTTGTAAAAAATGTGTTTCGTAGGACACTTAGAAAAGACTAATATGCACTTTGTTTCAAAAGTATCCTAAAAAGTTGGTCAAAATGCCCAAAAGTGTCTAGTAAACTTATTTTTTTAGATATGACAAATAAGTATTTGGTTCTATAAACTCAAGTCTTATAAAGTAGTTTGTTAGGAGACTTAAACAATTTTGACATCCTATAAACCCGATTTTGTTGCAGTGAAAGCCGTACCTCTTTTGGTAGAACTGAATTGAGGGGTGGCTTTACATTATCATTTTGAACTAGAATCATGCGAGTATATTCGGAAGGAACCCCTCTTTGCAAGCTCATTTTTGCAACCTACAACAACGATAAGGTAGCGTTTGGTATGCAAACAATATTGAAATGGAAATTGGACATGACAACCGTTTGTTGTTTGGTATGATTAGGACTTCACATGACAGGAACGGACAAGTAGCCCTTAAAAAGTTGTTTGATGATTCCATGTATCATATAACAGCTATAAACAACAGAAATCAAATAAATATTTAAATGAGTTAATTTGTATACAATTTTCATATGCATAAATACATAGATATATAGTAATATCAAAGATTGGATGAACACGAATAAAGTGTTGAAATTAAAAGAATCAAAGTGAAAACACAAAGAGTGTTTGACCATACATTTTTAAGAAAACATTAGGAATTGTCTTGATCTTGTTCTTATCCTTGTTTCTTGTGTGGGCAAAATTACAAGAAAATGTAACATACTTTTAAAACCTTTACTTTGATACCTTAGCTATGACATGTCAAACACGAAATAGAAGTAAGACCAAAGTGCAATTATGAGATTAAACCAAGTACCTAACTATTTGAGATGTCACAGTTGAGGTACCAAAATGAAGGTTTTAGAACAAAGAAGTAAACCTTTTCCTCTAATTTTCTATCTTGGTCTAACCATGCTTGTGCTGTGAGTGTACCAACCTCCCTCCTTGCACATACCTGAAAAGGAATAAAACCGTAATCACCAGATAAAGGATATATATAATGGGTTCATTTGGTTTGGTTTGATAAAACGGTAACTAAACATTTGCTAAACAGCCCCTCAGATACACAAGTCATAATGTTTACCATATCTAAAGGCATGTCCTTTGCCTCCCTCACTTTGACATCAATCACATAAGTGCTTAGATCCCCCAAGAAACCTTTAACCTTAACAATGTCTGGAAAGTTCCCTTCGAATCTGCCTGATACGTTTAACGGACTTCCAGACCACAAGTCTGGAAGACGAAATGGGAATAGCTGGAAGAAACACATGAAAGTAAGGCGGCGTATGGTTTACATAATGAAATTTGCCATAATTTGAAATCGGAATATGAAGAAATTGGAATAGAATTCAACAGCTAATAAATGCGTTATGTTGATAGGAATTAGAATGTAATCTATCAAAAAATTTGAAATTTGTTTGTTTCACTGTAACAAAACTGAGGACACCAAAGATGTTTTGAATGTCCTAATAGACAAATGTGTAGTACGTAAGTTAATAGGACCAAACAAACATTTGTGTGTCATATCTAAAAGTGTTTTAATAAGTTGATAACGACGATTTTGGACATCTTGATAAGGTTTCTAGAACATTTTTTAGACAAATGGTCATCTTAATCCTTTTATAGGACACTGACATTGTTCTCAAAAGTGTCTTATAAAAAGACTAATAGAACGTCATGTGTTAAAAGTGTCCTAAAATGTCTTGTAAACTTATGACAATGCTTTGAAATAGAACATACAACTATTTGGTCCCTGTTTTGTTGTAGTGTCTGGTTCACACTGGAATTGTAATGAAATAACCTATACCATATTTTCATGCTTTTTTGCTTTTAAGTAATAAAATATGAGCAAGTTGCTTGAAGAATCAAGTTCAACAACAAGAACATCATGTATTTAAAGTGGGTATCAAGCAGTGTACCTGGTGTGACTCGAGACCGTCAAGGATTACATTCGAAAGCAAAGGTGTCGTAGCTTTGTCAAGCAATCGTTGCATACGAAAACTGATTGAATCTGGTGATCAAAAGCATTCATGATGCAAACAGTAAACATAATCAAAGTGACTAAGAAACTTGCAATCATTGTAATCATATATATATATATATATAGTGACGAAACTCACCTACATCGTATGCAGAATCGTGACACCCCTTTCCAATATTTGCAAGCATTTGCAAGAAATAATGATTACAGTATGAACCTGGGTATAACAAAATCATAAGACCCCCTTCCATTAAGCTCATATGAAGTATGGGTTGGGTTCCTGGAAGACCAACTGTGAAGCTACAAAAAGACACTGAACCTTCACAGTATAAACACTTAACAAAGGTTCAGTGTTTTTTGTGGTCTCACGGGACTCATGAAAACAAGCTGGTCTCACGTGATCCCAAGTCGATGATGTAGTGCAACACAATATTAATATTAACCATAGCAATGAAAGTCGAACCTATGCCAAATGTGAAAATTCGAGGAGAGTTCAATTCTCCATCCACAATGTGACCTTTCATCATATTACAAATCTCTCTTTCATCTTCAACAGCCCCATCGGTGACTAGAAAAACCAAAGGAATGGAATCACAAGTTTTACCAACCATTTGAATTGCCTGCACATATATATGGTGGTCATTCGTTTATCAATCTTCCAGTTTCATAAATATTACAAGAGAATAGGACATTTGAGACAATAGATTCACAGATGAAGATTAGACACTCATATCACATTCACAAATGAAGACTGTAGTTGCCAATTGGTGTGTTGATAAGTCACTCAAATCACATGCACACATGAAGATTACCTGTTTTAGGGGTAGCAGCAAGTTGGTACCTCCATCAGCAACAATATTTGTGTTCAGCCATTCAGTTGCATTCATGATCGTTTCCTCTGTTGCCAACTCCAACGAACTCGAGAACGATCTAACCTCTCCATTTGAAGCTAAAATGTTAAAAGAATCTCCTTGATTAAGCTTCCAAAGAGATCCTATGACTTCATATTTCGTTTTCTCTAAAGGGTCGTCTCGCATGCTGCCACTTATGTCGATTACAAATACCACTTCCTTTCTGAAAGCCTATTACCACATTCGTAAACACATGCTTAAGGGCTTGTTTGTTAATGGCTTAATTAAGTTTAATGAGATTCGCAGCTTACTCTATCAACTATATATGATTGTTTAGTAGTGGCTTAATGATATAAAAAGTGGCTTATTTAATAAGCTTTTAGGGGGAACTTTATGCAGGAACCAAGTTTTTTCCAAACCTTTCTCTCAAATCAAAAAAACATGTCCATTCGTCTATGAAAAACACTCTCAAACAAAAAGCAAAAATATTTGTATCAATACAGGACTTAATGGAAAACTAATCTATAAACTACCACTAACCTTCATGCTTCTGTTACTACCTGGGAGAAGATACAAGCAAAAAATGTCTCTCTGGTCATCATCTTGTAAAGATGGAGCCTGCCGGAGCAATCCTCCAAATATTTCATCCGAGCAGTCAACCCATGAACCCAACACCACATGCTTTTGGTTTTAATATAATATTACAACAAAATCTGGTTTATAGGATATTAAAAATGTATAAAAAATGTGATAGGAGATAACTCAAAGAATTATACATCATATGTAAATGTGTTACAATAAATTGACATGACATTTTTAACAACTTTTAGCACAACTCAACCGATTATCCTAAGTAGTATTTTTTTGGTATGAAAGGTGAAAACACTAAACTTTGAGGAGTACTTTAAAGAATATCAACCAAAAAACTCAAAAAGTCCCTTGAAATCAACAAAAAAAAAAACCTTAGAAAGGTGGCATTCGCTAAAAGATGAAGATGGTATGTCTTACGGAATAAGCAAAATAGAAATGTTGAGAAGACCAGTTGAGAACCTCTGAATCATACAAGAAGCTTAATTGGCCAGCCTGTCTTTTTAGTTCCTGTGAAGAAGGAAACAAATTTAAAATTAGAATGATACAAACGATGATGATGATGATGATGATGATGATGATGATGATGATGATGAGATGATGATGATGATGATGATGATGATGATGATGAAGATATGCATGCCTTGCCTTTAAAGGATGGCTACAAGTGTTGCATGTAATCTGAGTGCAGGTGCCAGAATTCACATATACCACTATTTTTTCTCTACAAGGAGCTTTCTTGAAAACTGGAAATACGTGAGCAGGGAAAGCAAAAGGCAGGCTCACACAAAATTCATGGCCTTGATACAACATTTTCTGAGACCATCTAGCTTTCACTTGGAAATTGGATCCTCCTTCAACCTTAGCTAGGAAAAGTTAATTAAGTCATATATATATATATATATATATATATATATATATATATATATATATATATATAGGGGTAGAGAGAGAGAGAGAAAAAAGAGGAATTAGTGAACCTGTGAGATTTGAAGCATGTATATGTTGGGTTTGATGAAGAAGCCACATTTTGGTGTGGTGTGTTGATCGTGGTCTTTGGGAGATATGAATTGGGTAAAATATGATCTTGTATTGGTCTCCACCTCCACACCTACAACTGAACCCTGTGCCACCCAAACCAACACATACATATTACTTCAAATCTTTTAATACAAATAAAGCTTTATATATAAATATTAATGTATTTGAGAAGAACCACATTTATCTATCAATGATATATAGTGATACACAAAAGATCGAGATGATCACGTGGGTAGCATTAATTATGTACGTTAACGTACCTGCTCCCCCATGGGAATCACCAGACGACAGTCAGAGAATGCGCTTGACCTTACGCAATGAAGTCGCCAAGTAGCGTTAAGGGTCACAAAGGCCGTATCCAAATAACACTCCACTTCCAAGGTTACTCCCACCATATGCAACGGAATCAACGCCGGTGGATCACAACGTCCGTGCACGTACGGCTGATAGCTCCGGATGTCCGGGTTATCCACAACCACAGGCTCCGCTATGACGGCATAAACCATGGGCCCCGTTGGATCATGATTCTGCGCCAACCCCAACTGGAAGGAGGAAACGGAGGAAGACGAGGAGAAGCACTTATCCATGGACGGGGGTTTGGGAGCAGCCGTGGAGGGTGGGTGGTCTTTTCCGTAGTATATACGCTTGGAAAGCCTGAGTCCCATATCAACGGACCTTGAAAACTCGTCGAGGCCGGCCATGGCCATTACATAAATCCCGACGATGGCCGTATTAATTAGATAAGAGAGTGATAGTATATGTTTTGACTTTCTCCTTTGTAGTTTTATAAACGCAACGTATCTTAAAAATAAAAATAAAAATAAACACAAGATTTTATTAAAATAATAAAGAAAAGGGAGGAAATTATGATTGTGAATGACTGCGCATGGCGCATGCTCATTCATGTCTGCCATACCATACCATCTCATCTCATCTTCCACTTCACTATTACATTTTATCATCTTAATTTGTATTGTATTTGTATTTGTATAAACACAATTTTATATATAAATCATACAAATTAACATTTCATGCAGCAGCTTTAATACATATCTTGATCCTACCATTTCTATTACATGCAAATCTAAATGGGTCCTTTTAAAAAAAAAACTGGAATTTAGCTTACAAAATAATATTATTTTTTCATTCTTCCACCCAAAACCAACAGAATCAACTTCTTCTCAATTTTTTGAAAAATCCAATTCAATATCTTTGTTGTTTTAGCTTTAATATAGATTGTTTTCATATTCTCAATCCAATTATCTAGAGATAAATAAAGTGTATGGTATAATTTACTTTTTGGTTTAACCGAATCAGTAAAACAATATTTCTCCTTAAGTTTAACCCCAGTGACTTAAGTTTCTAAATCCCTCTTATCATAAAACAAACTGAACTGTCATATTATCTTCCAATAAACATCTCAATCGATTTATATAGTTTGTAATATTTTCATGTTTTGCATTTAAAATTTTAGTGAGAGGGATTTATAAAATCATTTTGCCTTTACTTTTGTTGAAATAAACAATACCACCAAGACATGGGATATGGTTCAAACATCCATCATTATCAACACTCATCTCATATCATAATTAAGATTTATATTTTTATAATCAACCAACACCGACCAATCCATGCCAAGGAATTTGAATACACAACCCTCGATTGCTTTAAAACTCAAAATAGTAACCGTCGATCATAAAATCCAAACTACCTATCAACTTTTCAGCAAAAAAAACAATATAAAAAAGTTTTGCCATTTCTTTTTAACCGTTTTTCATTCGTCATTTTTTTTTAAATCTAACCAATATCAGACCCATGTTAACTGATTCTCACATCAACAGATCAATCAAATGGCTACCAAAAGCACACAGAATAATACACGATAATAACTTTACAACAGAATGTATCAATGGTTTACACAAGCCACCTCTCCCGGCTGTTGCCTGTTATGGTATAAAGTGTTCTATAACCAAGGGGTTTATGACATAGTACCCAGGGGTTCAAGTGTTTAAGCCCTCACCAACATTGGGGAGGGTATCTGAGTTCATTTGCCGTAACACAGATAGCAATATGGAGACACATCGATGAGATGATACCTTTCGGTGACAAAGTAATAATAATATAATTATAGCAGAAAAGAGTAAAGAAAGGTGCAATTTCACTCAACAAAAAGTCTTAACAAAGACATCAGCATTAGTTTAAAATTGAAAGACTACATTCTCCAACATTACCAACAGTTTCCTGATATCATACTTCCGAATAGAGATTGGAACCTTCCGATAGAATCAACGATACTGTAATATACAAGTTACAAAAATTAGAAACTCAAAAGACACAAAATCTGGCAGACAAAAAACAAGAAATCACAAATGTGAGAAAAACAAAAACACATCTTCCACTGATGTATTAAAATGCATATTAGCCACCTCTTTTGTATCTTACAGATGATCCCCTACTTGTTTCAAACCTAATGTGTTAAAACTGTTGCAGAATCATGAAAAACGAAGCTTGAAAAGCATAATTTCATATACTCTTTTGAAGCACATACACACCATCATTATTGAATTTGATACAAGGCACATTTCTGCAAATAAACTTTATACAAGCTCTACAATTTGATATAATTTCAGGACACCAAAAACTTATAATCATTGCTTATATCCTGAATGATTGATAGTTTGATACACTGAGAAGAAAAGGCTCGGGTCAGGACAGACATGCTCACATGACCTCCATCTTATATTGGGTAAAAGGGATGCTGTTTCTTTAATCTTTATACAAAAGCATTCAAGATTTTTCTCACAACATGGTTTTTATTTGATAAGGAAAAGACACTTACAAAAATACCATCCAAAAACAAACCTGCAATCAAATCTCATACAACATGGCAGACCAAGAACACGTTAAAAACTCTCACTAAATTCATCAACACGTCAGCACACATGGTGTGTAAGAAATTTATATTTTTATTGCGGACATCACCTTGACAAATTCATAGGATATCACAGATAAACAACAAAAGTTTAATTATTTCCAAAATCATCTCATCAAATGGACAACGTTTTAAAACTAACCTTAATGAAACCAATTTCTTTGGCGTTGCTGTGGAAGCATTGTCTGCAGCACATCAGCCCGTACTTTCGAATCAGTCCATGCGAGTTACCACACACACGGCTGGTATATACCATAAGTAGAAACCATATCAGAAATCAACTCATCACAGTTAACAAATGTATACTGCCATACAAGCAAACACAGTGAGCAGATGCATCAATCGCACCAGGTGCAACCACTCCTCAAATGCGATTAATAAGCTTATAGAAGAGTTAACACCTCCAAATACCATGAACAGTATATCGTGATTAGATTCAACGACGCAACAACTTAAGAAATCTTCACCCCCTTGAATAAAATTAAATAGATTCAACGATTACAAGTAACACATGATACCAATATCGATGGTCAAACATGTATTTCAAGAGATACAGAGTAATACATCAAATCAAAAAACTAATTAAGCAAAAATACGAGGAAATCAAGATGAATCTGACCAGGTACGGGAACCAGGTCCGTATAACTTTGGATGTGAGTTCCAGATGTTCGAGTGACCCATTCTTCTTCTTACGGAGGCGCCGAGCTTTGAAACGGAGAAATTCAAAACCCTAGATTTTGCAGTTTGCGATGGATGGCCGCTGCGATGCGATGGCTTTTATAGTGTTCTTACACGAAGGCCCGATAAGCCCAAAGAATATTTTTGGTTCTTCTAGCCAACGTTTATAGCCCAATTCAATTATTAAAGCCCAATTCATAGTTTTCAGAATGCGGGTCGGGTCGGGTCGTAAATTAAGGATCACAGTTATACTTGTTTAACAGAGTAAATTACGTTTCTAGTCTCTATAGATTGTTACGAATCGTGACACTATGATTTCGAGTTTATGATTTTCACTCCTTTGATTTATAATTTATTGTTATTTTTGTTCCTGAGGTTAACTCCTAAGTCCTAACTTCAGTGATTTTAATGAAACGCACAGTTGATTCGATTAGCTAAACATGATTGTTTGGTAGTGACTTATTTAAGTAGAAAGACAAAAAGTCTTCCAAGACTACCACTTTCAAATCTTTCACTAAAAACAAAAATCTTTATACTTTATATAAACAGACTTTTATTAATACGTGACTTAATCATCAAATAACAATGAATTAAAAAGAAAAATAAGTCATGATAATGATAATTTTAAAAGTTGAGGAATAAAAATAGCAAATTTCAACAAATGAGAGGATAGAAAATGTAATTTACTCTATTTAAGATTAAGAACCAGTTCCAAATCTTTGCTCTTGCTTCAGGATCTTGTCTTGGGAAGAAAGAAAGGATTCGTGTTCTTGATTCAAACGGGCAAGTAGAAAATCAGCGAAGAACGGTGATCGGAACATCATCATGAGTCGTGGAAGTGGAGGTGGATATGATCGTCACATTACTATATTTTCGCCCGAAGGTCGTCTCTTTCAAGTCGGTATGAATCCCCAAACCCCTCTTCCACTACAATTAAATCCAAATTATTCCAGAATACAGATTTTCTGTTAGAAAGAAGGTTCATTGGCTAAAGAAATTACGTTTATGTTTAACCTAGCATGTGTAATTCCAAAAAAAATGGTTTTGACTTGAGGTAGTGCTTTACGATCTTGTTTTGAATTAGGGTTTTTCCTTATGAATTGTGTTGGATGGAAACAGAATATGCATTTAAAGCTGTTAAAGCAGCTGGGGTCACCTCAATTGGCGTCCGAGGCAAGGACTCCGTCTGTGTTGTGACCCAGAAGAAAGTGCCGGTGAGTTTCTTCGATTATGTTTTGAGATGAAATGGTTTTTAATGTCTTTAAGCCTTATGGTTTTCTGTAATTTCTAATCTTGATGCAGGACAAGCTTCTGGATCCAACCAGCGTTACGCATCTTTTCCCAGTCACCAAGTTTCTTGGATTGTTGGCTACTGGAACTACAGGTTGTTATTTAATGATATGAAGCAGAAATATATTATCATTAGCCAACAATTTGTGGTCAAGCATCCATGATCTTTTTGTGCATTGTTGAGTATTAGGTTTAACTTTTGTGCATTTTTAATGACAATGTGAGAGGAGAGATGCCAACAAAAATGATCCTATAAGGTTGTTTAGTTAAATTTAGTGTTTTTTTAGGTTTACAATTTTGATGGGAGGTTTTTCTACCCCAAGGGGGTTGCCTCTTTCTATATCTGCTTATGTAAAGAATCATAGCTTAATGGTGGTCCTTGACATGTCCATTATTAATATGGCAGCTTATTGGTGCATGCTATCTTTATAATGTTATGTTAGTGTTATACCCGAGGTATGCATTTGTTTTGTTGTAAGCCAAGGTTGAATAGCGTTTGGTACAATTTTCCAGCTGATGCAAGGACCTTGGTTCAACAAGCAAGGAATGAAGCAGCCGAGTTTCGTTTTAAATATGGATATGAGATGCCCGTTGATGTATTGGCTAGATGGTAAGTCAATTTTCTTGTACCTTATTAAATTTGTTGGACATAATTCTTGCAACTGCACTTTGTTTGTAAGATGTATCATACACACATATTGTACTTGTCAATCAATACAACTTTTTATATTTTTCTAGGTGAAGTTATCAAAGGAAATTATGGTCTATATTTTACAGGGGTTCCTCTTTATTCCATTGTGTCATATTTTGATGCTTTTGCTTCTGTTAAGTGTGTGCTTTAAGTTTTGGATTATATATTCGATAACAACAAAAAGTTTCAACTGATTTCTCTACTTACAGATGCACAAATACCACTCCACTGCCCTCATGAAAGAGCATGCCCAAAAAATCATAAATCCTTATGCTAACATATTAATACAGGTTTGCTTTTGTTGATTATTTTTTAAAACTGTGTGGCAGGATTGCAGACAAGTCCCAAGTCTACACTCAACATGCTTACATGAGACCACTTGGAGTAGGTTTGTTTCTTGCCTTTCACAAGTCACGAACGCCTTATTGTACATCATCCAGCTTTATGTAGACTAGGGAGCAATACAAAACAATTTATTTAGTTAATCCAGACAGATCGGTTTAAATATATGAGCTTTTTTACTTATTCAGTTGTTGGTGGTGCTTAATTGTCTATTTGCATTGCTTTCTTCCTTCTGCAGTCGCTATGGTTTTGGGTATTGATGATGAGAACGGACCTCGACTCTTCAAATGTGATCCAGCAGGCCACTTCTTTGGTCATAAGGTGTGTGAACTTTTATAACGGAGATTTATATTGGTATTTATCAGCAGCCAATCTTTTTTACCCCATTACTCTCAAATGCTTACCATATCACGGTGTTTCATTTATGTTTGTAACTTCAGCAAAGAGTTTTTATGAACAATGACAATCACGAATTCTATGATTTAATTAAATGAAATTTATGATTTAATTACACTTCATACCTGTTATTTTCTGTCCTGCACTGTCATTTATCTGTTCCGCCTGTTCTGTTTTGAGGTTGTATTGGTAAAATATAGGTCTGTTCCACGGGAACATGCCTATTCCACTCTGTTCCTGTCTGTTCCACATAAACTTCTGCCAAATGTGGAACAGTGATCCCTGTTTTGTCTTGTCCAGTGTACCAAACGCACCCTTAATGCACAATCAAAGGCTTTATGGGGTATTTGCTGTAGAATCTTCTTAGCAAGAAGATTTATTCAATCAAGGAGGCTAGTTTTAAGAGCAATGAAGACCCTTTTTCATTATAATATGAAAAGTGAAGTAGTACAAGATCCTATCAAAATCTTTGATTTTGTCAAGTGAATAAAGCTTAGCATTTGGCATGTAATTATGTAAAGGAGTACAAAAAATGGTGAATGGGTCTGTACACTTTTTGGAGCTATATAATATGGGTGGTTCATAGATTTAGGGACTGTTTACCAAATTTTTTGCAAGTCTTGCATGGATAATGTGTTGTTGTATGGATAAATGTGTCTGTAATCTGCAGACCTAGACCGTACGCTTTCCTATCCATGATATAAACTATAAAGTTCCATTTTTAAATTATTTTTTTCAGGCAACAAGTGCTGGGTTGAAAGAGCAAGAGGCCATTAACTTCCTCGAGAAGAAAATGAAAAATGATCCTGAATTTTCTTACGAGGAGACTGTACAGGTGAGTTATTCTTCGTTCTGTTTTGGAACAGAATCCCGTTTGGTTTTCATCAAATTTGTTACTACTTGCTCATATATTGATTGAATTTTACATCATGCATCCTATGACTGATTGCAGACTGCGATTTCTGCTTTGCAATCTGTTCTACAAGAAGATTTCAAGGCCAATGAGATTGAGGTATGCAAGAAACCACCATCAAGTTAATAGGTCGTTTAGGGGCTGTTTGGTTGGTTTTCCATTAAGTCTGATGGATAAAACTCTGTGTGGATTAATCTGTACGTATAGATTGAGAAGATTTTTGTTTGGGCAGGTTTTTTGATATAACGTGTTTTTAAACGTGCAATCTGAATAAGCCACTTTCTATGTCATTAAGTCACTGCCAAACAGTCATGTATAACTCACCAAATAAGTTGCGAGTCCTGTTAAGCTCATTAAGCTGCTAACAAACAGGCCCTTAGATGTAGCCAGTTTATAACCATTTAAAGGGATTCGATTGTGTCGGGCTGCTACCATTTGTGATTACACACATAACTTGGCTGTAATTGTGGGCAGGTTGGAGTTGTGCGAAAGGAGAATCCAGTCTTTCATGTGCTATCGACCGAGGAAATTGATGAGCACTTGACCGCCGTCAGCGAGCGTGACTAGATACTGAGCTGAGGTTGGGACTGTTTCCATGGTGGTGTATCTCTGCTGAGTGCATTAGGAAGAATGTTCACAACTTTATTGTTCTCGAGTCACCAGCTGTTTCCCAAGTGAATTATTCGTATTTGAATTGGTGATGTAGTTTATTTTCCTTTAAATGTGCCGAATTTATGCTGTATGGTGACTTATTTTGATGAAAATAGCAAGAACAGTCTCACTATCTAATAACCATACAATTTTCACTAAAATAACGTTGTTTTTATTAAAAGTATTGTTAATATCAGGGGTGTTCCTCTGTTGAAATCAATAAGTCCAATGTATCTCTGATTCCAATGATGATTAAATCGGTCTATTCCATTTAATATTTTAATCCAATTGTTTGAATATTTTCCTAATTTCCTAGAAAAACACTACATAAAAAGACCAACTTAAAATGTTGAAAAATATAATTAATTATATGTATTTATTCATTGGATTCTAGACTTGTTGAAATCTTAGATACGATTCAATCTCGATCAGTTCTAATTGGAACCGATATCTTTTTACACACCCTACTTAATATACAAGCTATATGTTTAGATCAATAACCATATGATGTAGCAAAGTCAATTGTAAGCAAAAGGATGGTATGTTGGTATGAATCAACATGCAAACCAAAACCGAGACGTGCACCTCTAAATGGAACCGAGTACCAACAATTTGAAACTTAAAAGAGTGAAACAAAGCGAAAGCTTTCTAAAACCACATTTGAGTACCAACAGAAACTCCGAAACACGTATCATCGTCTGTTCCTCGGTTCAGCGTAAAATATTAGCCTCACAAGGTTTAAGGGTTCAATAATGAAAACATTACCTATGTCCGATCAAAACGATACAAAAAGATTTTTAAGCTGGTGGTAACACAAGAATGCTCTCAAAATTTTGATATTTTTTCATCTGCCAGCTTCCAAACCCCACAAAAAACACAGTATTAGTAGCCAAGGAGATGTTTTAAGTCTTCAGAGGAGCCTTCTTTTCTCTATCAGCAATTCGAGCAGGGCCAGTTGTGTGTGACTTGAACCGGCCTCTTCCTTCGCTTTCCCTCTCCTGTAATCAACATATATCTCAATAACCATTCAAACAAAATACATACTTTTTCCTATGAAATTAAAGGGGCTGTTTACTTACGGCTTAATGAGCTTAACACTCTGGGCGGCTTATTCGCTCAGCCATACAGGAGTATTTCTTTATGCCTTAATTGTTAAACCATTAAAATAAAATGGCTATATGGAAGAAACCACGACCCCTCACTTGTCCCCATCAACCCATCTGCCCTAGAAATAATCCAACCCTCTATCTTTGCCTCCCTCAAACAACAACACATTTCTATCTAAATAGACATCCAGACACACAACTTAACTCATATGGACCTGTTTGTTAGCAGCTTAATGAGCTTAATGAGACTCACAGCTTATTTGGTCAGCTAATCATGGCTGTTTGGTAGTGGCTAAATGATATAAAAGTGACTTATTCAGTAAGCTTCTAGGAGGGAGCTTTGTGCAGAAAGCCAAGTATTTCCCAAACCTGCTCCACCCTATTAAAAACACGCACATTCCATCTATGAAAAAACCGTCCCAAACAAAAATCTTCTCAATCCATACAGACAGCTGTATCGATACAAGATTTGATGGAGAACCAACCACACAGCCCAAATGAAAAAAAAAAAGTGAACAGCCCCTAAATCTTGTGAACCAAAATCAGTATAAAGACTAGCTGGACTTGGGGGAAACAAGGTAAATTGGGTTACAATTTTGCCATCAACTGAAATGTGGCAATTGGAAACTTCTGCAATTTTCACAAAAGGTGGCAAAAGATTAGACTGCCCTATTGTAAATTGCTAATGGATTTATCAGCTATTTTCATTGTTGAATTCTGTATGTTTGTGTGCATATGGTAGGGGTGTCGAACATTGCAATATGCTCGAAATGAATTATACCTTTTTCTTGACGATCTGAACGACATCCTCATCCTGAAGAACATGACTAAGCCCACAGTGCTGGGGGTAATGCCTTGCACTTGAGCCCCAGACCAGAACATACTTCACATCTTTCACCAGGCTTCTATGTATATGGTTACAGAAGTCTTCTACAGTGCACCCACCTCTATCCTGAAATCAGAAAGAAAAAAAAAACAATTAGGCTATAATCGGCAATATTCTATGAGATCCGAGAGTATGGTAAGTAAGAAATAAATTTATTTCTTACCATACTCCCTATTAGTGTTATTGTAGTGTATAAAGTTGTACTTGACTTTCTAATAAAGTTGGTACTATATCAGTTTTTATCTTCAATATCTGTAGTTATTAATCCATATATGGAATTGACGTAGGACCTATTTTATTTCGGGAAATACAACAATAGTAATTATTCGAGAGCGTAATAAGTATACAGAAACACACACACACACCCAACACAAAGTGTAATAAACATACAGCAGAAAGAACCACAGGATCGCCAAAATCAGGTTGTTGGCCCTGTGGCTTCGTGTAAACCCTGACTAGCCCCATTGCTTCCCACATCTTTGCAAGCAGTCTATCCAAATTCAGCTGTTAAAAGAAGCGGATTAGAGGTTGAAGATTTTAATACAACTTTCTTGAACAAATAACACATGCAGGAGAGTAACTAAAGCTGTAACCGACATTTCGCTAACAAACTAAAAATGTCGATTCAAACTACTTTCAAGAAATCCTGAATGAAACTTCGCTTCAACACCCATTGTCATTATAAACATAGATGACGTATAAAGGCAGAATTTACACTTTTCCACCAACAATATGCTAGGCGAGACCTAGGGGCTGTTTACCAAATGCTTACCGCCGGCGCCAAGAGAAATCACCCTCTCTCACTTATCATGTAACATTCTCAGCCATCAAAATAGATTGTTCCTAAACGTCCTAAACCCAGTAAGTGCTTACCGGGTAAGAGTCTTTTCTCCCACTTACCGAGTAAGACTCTTGGTCCCTATTATCCTCTTACCGGGTAAGTTTCTTGGTCCTTGTCATACTCAATCGATAAGGTATGTGATATGGGTAAATGGTTACTCTGTAAGCATCTAGTAAACGCCCCTTAACTGTCCTCAGTTTTTTTAACTAGGCAAACACCATGCAAGACATAAAACAAGCACGTCAATCCTAGGATATCTTCTTGTGACAAGTCACGAAGATAAGCGGATCCCTTCTACAACTAATGAAACAGCTTTCTATTTTCGTAAGATAATGAAACTATCTAGAACCCAATTTCGGTACAGAAACCTGGGGAAGTTGTTGGAAGCTATTACACAGAAACAATATGGAAACTTTTATAGAAAATTAACAATTCATATCAAAATCTGCCTACACTTCTATGCAAATGAGCAAATGAAGAGACCTCCTATGGTTATGTAGAATTGCAATAATGAAATTAACACACAAGATGAAGTATAGAATATACCTTTAGGTTGCAGCTAATAACGATAGAATTCGGTTGACGTGCTAATTTGTCAACATCATCGATACCTACAACATCTATTTTGTTGTAGACATATATACACTTCATGTACTTACGATTTCCTTCTATAACATCGATCAGATCATCCACAGTGGCATCCTCACGAAATAACACCTGCAAGAGAATGCATACAAAAACAGAGTACTATGATGAGGACACCTTAAGTTGAAACTTGAAAGGCTATTAGACAATTTGTTAAACAGATACCAACAAACCAGGTGCCCATACATGACACAACATAAAGAAAAAGCATTTTCACAGGATCCATCTCAATTTCTGTGTGCAATTTTGGATCTTCAATCCGTGCAGCAATAATTACATAGAGAATAGGTTATGTAAAGTAGGGATTCAGATAGGTTAGTTAAAGTGATTTTACGAATGAACTCAAATATTTTCTCTAATTCTTGGAAAACTAATTCAGAGTGGTGCATAGAGGATTTGCACAACTATTAACTTAGCGAAAGAAAAAATGGATGACAAATAAGCCACTAGTTTTAGTATTAAGAATAACCCTTAGTCACACACAAACACATATATGCTAGTAAAAAGAAAACACGCTGACAACAAAACGCAAATGTTTGTAGACACGTTACAAACTTATCAAGTAGACTTCATGAAAGATTGTGAGCCTATGCAAACAAGATCCTACAGATGATGATCAAATATCACCTGATGACCCTATACTTGGATTTCCAGATAACCATTTTAAGTTGAGTTATCAAGGTTAACTTGTTAAAAAGGAGAACACTGTTTCAGTACTGCGATTGCCTACACATACAAATAACTCGTGGGATCTTGAGAAAAATCAAGAAACTATTGCTTTTGTGATGCAATTCATAGAACTGCCTACATATGAGAAGAAAGGAAGATTTTATGATATTTGTGACATCTGGAGAAACCCTGCCTTGGAGCTCCTCTTGCATCTCTCTCTCTCTAATATATATATATAGATATATATATATATATATACAAGGTTGGGTTCCGATGAGAAGGGAAGTTATGTGAGAAGCGTAAGAAGAGATCTCCACCCTTGGATCAATCCTAATTGAATGTCAACACTAATGAGGTGCACCGAGATGCACCGGATCAATTATATGTAGGGTTGGGTTCCGATGAGAAGGGAAGCTATGGTGAGAAGCGTAAGAAGAGATCTCCACCCTTTGATCAATCCTAATTGAATGTCAACACTAGTGAGGTGCAACGAGATGCACCGGATCAATCCCCTTCTACAGCGGAATTCATGGGTGGGCATGAGATTAAAAGTGATCAAGGGTTCAGATCTCTTCTTACGCTTCTTACCATAACTTCCTTTCTCACACGATCCTTCGCCTATATGTACATACATATCTACCACAACCACTTTTGTAAGTCATGAAAATAGTTGGTGCTTAGTAACTGTAAAAGTACTTGCTGAAAGAATTTCTCCTTCCGCCCAAGGGAAGATAAAAAATGAGTTACATTCTGGTTTAAATAATTTAACTGATGTTTCAACTTACAAAGTACAATAAACACTAGAAATTTCTTTTTGAATTCAATTACCAAAATGATTTCTCAAGCGAAGCCAGTTGGTCATCAGGTTACATACGGCCTATAAACAAAGCTGAAACTTTAGATTACCTCTGCATTGTGAATCTTGTATTCATGTAGAATTTGGTAGCAAAGCTTTTCATCCACATGAGTCAATTGCATGGTGCTGTTGAAGGAAATACCCCCAGTTTTTTTCTTTTTGAAGTATATCTGCCAGGAGAGATCCAATAAGTCAAACAAGAAAAGATAAAAAGAAGCAAGCACTTAAAATAAGAAAAATTGTAGGAGGTGATGAAAGAAATTTACTATCAGATGCTTGTAAGTGCCACATCTGATGAGGCAATCAAGTAAAGGGAAGTGCCTCTCCAAAAGATGCAACCATTAACAACTACAGGTACTAAAAAACACGACCCCTGGATCCCACTAAAAGGCTTTTATCATACGAGATGTACGCTTGAAGGACATGGGAAAAAAATTGCCTTCTCCAAACAAACAATTTTCTATCCCAATCAAGAAAACCGCAAGCCTAAACTTGGGTAGACAGCCCATGGGACTACAACATTTCCAATACAATGAATCAATGGTTTGACACTTTACTTGTGGTGGTTTCTTGTTTAAGCGCAAGCCAACAGCTTCCAGCTCCTTTGTCAATATTTGTCGATGCCCTTCACTCTGAAAATTTGTTAGTTAGATGGAGATTCTTAAAAAATGTCTGAAGATACCTCAACCATAAATCAACATTTAACTACCAACAATAAAGTGCAAAAAATGAAAATACAATGCACACGACAGAGACATGAGCATTGGTAGTGTACTTTGGTGATGCACATTATCAATAAGCAAATGCAAATGGGAAAACCAAGTTGGCTGCTTGTGAATTAAGGAATATTTGCCTCTGAAAACAAAATGAGATCATTATGAAACATGACATTCATTTTGACTTGGAATTTCTAAACATGATTCTGAAGGCAATGAAATTGCAAATTCCAGTGCTTCCATTCAGTTGCCACTTTTCACATTCATTGCCTGATAATATTGTTGGACTTAAGCAGACGAACTGAATGATGTAGTACTAATTTTATCACGACAAATTGCTAGTATAAATACGAGAGTACTAGTATTTGAAGCACACTACCCACTCAACTGCACTCTATGATCTATTGCTTGCTCACTTCAATCTCAAGACACCCACTTTCTATGACTCACATTTGCCACATCTAATCCCTATTTATACTAGGTGGAAGTTTATATAAATTTCACCAACAAAAAACTTCTATAGATATTTCTTATTCTTCAAAATATCTCCACAAAATATTTATTCTCCCATTTTCAGATTGTTTTTCCTTTCTTCTTTCTTCATCTTCACTTCTCCGGATATTTCCTTTTTTCAACTCAAGAATTTTTCGACACGAGAAAGGAGATGTTGATTCCTCAAGTATTATTTGTTGACATTTCATATCGTGGTGACAAGTGACCCAGAAAGCATAATGGATTATAGCATTGAAATTAATAGGTAATATTAGTTCCATCAAGTGTATGAAAACATGATCAGATATTAAATATAGTTTCCAAATCACTGTTTCACCAATAGAGATGGGCTAAACAAGGTTTCAAGTCACAATGAGGACTTACTTTTGAAGCATCAAGAACCATCAGCACAATGTCTGATGACTTCGAAACTGCAATAACCTGAGATGAAAAAGAATGATGTGCCTTAGCATTTAGCAAAGATGGATAAGGTAACTCGATTCAATAGTTTAATGAGCAGTATTTTCTGATTGAAGACTTCACTATTATGTTTGCCCTAAACCCTGCACGTTATACGTCTATTAAACATGCAAAACAAGTTAAGTCACTAGAAAAAAGATGACAGCTAGTCTTATTTAAAAAAATTAAATGCCCATACCTGCCTACCACGCCCCTTACCCTCAGAGGCCCCTTCGATAATTCCAGGAAGATCAAGCAACTGAATTTTAGTATCATTGTAGTGAATAATCCCAGGAATACATGTCAGAGTTGTAAATTCATATGATGCAGCTTCTGAATGTGTTCCCGTCAACATGGTTAAGAGTGTCGATTTTCCCACACTGTATGAAAGAAACAATATCAGAACATTGAGAAGTGATATAAATGAGATCATTTGCATCGGAATACACACTTAGAGCTTACAATTCACAAAAGGCCTAACAAAAGGAATAACTCCAATGCCACATTAAAATCACATGGTTATAACTTGGTGTTAATTTGTATTTGATTTTCTGTAGGTGGAGAAGGGGACCATCAGATCAATCCCAGTAACAGACCTTGGAAATCCTATAAGTGCGACACGACCATGGCCATATTTTGTAACCTCAAAACCCTCTCCAGCTCCACTAGAACCCTGTTTATCATGAAAAAGAATATGACGGTATACATAACAATATAGAAGCATGGTTCAAACGAGCAAACAGTATAGCAAGCATCATATCAATTGCTTACTTTGGGTGGCTCTAATAATTGTGTCCTTAGCTTTGCTATCTTAGCCTTCAGCTGACCCAAATGATATTCTGTGTGTAAAAAGAGGCAAAATGAACTACATATTTGTGAAATAATCTTCATATAGAGAATGATGTATCATTGACAGAAATATGGTATACTAGCAAAGAAGCAAAAGAACAAACTGAGACGGGGTTCAAGAACCTATAAAGTCGAGCTGCATCTCAAGTATAACAACTTGCATACGCCATGAGCATTAACTGCTTGGAAGCAATATAACATGCAAGAAGTATGACAAGAACTCACATACTCTGAATGTAATTTAGTATATTAACATTGGATTTCCCTCAAAGCGTACATATTGCCTTCAAAGATATGCTAACCAAGATAAAATGCCAATGATTTGCATACTGTAGGAACAAAAACAATATGCAAGCCTTTAATTCAAAACCTGTTGCTTTATTTTTCTGAGTTCGAGCCATCTCGGCTTCAATTTCTTTGATCCTTTCTATGATCCCCATCTTTCTTTATGAGCGGCTGTGGATATACATAAGAGAATTATATCAGTAAATTGTATGATGCATTGTTTATGTGTTCCAACAGGTAAGGACCAAACCAACCATACGCATGGTTGCACATGCAAGAAAACATGTACGCCACAAGTGCATCAGACAAACAAACAAGTGCCCAGAACCAACTGATCAATTTACAGTGAACTTGAGTCCAAAACAACCATGTATTGTACCAAAAGAACTGGAGTAGGTATATATCTAGTGTATCTATAGATGAATGCCATGCTGATGACAAATGTCCCAATAATGAACATGCTATAAGTTGCCTTTCAGAGATGGAAAATGTGGAATATGATATAAGCAAGATAAAAGAAAATGCACTTCCCCTTAGCGTCTTCTTCCCAGCTTTCTTCCACTGCACAAACCCCTTGAAAGTGGAATTCAACTTCACCTTTGGATGGGCAAAGACACCCGGCTCCAGCTCCACAAACCATGCATGTTCCATATGGATTTTGTTGAGAACTTAATAAGAGCATTTACTCCTAATGTGGTACTTGCCATGAAAGTTGAATGTAATTATCTAGTTGTGCTCAAACTAAGAAGAACTGTATCTATCAAGCAGCTTAACATCTGTAAAACCAAACCGAAGGAACCTAGTATGTCACATGGGGAGGTGGGGTAAGGGGTATGATATATGCAGACCTCTGCTGAGCAGTTTAACATCTGTGTACTGATTTATTCCTACTTTTCTGGGGCGAGGGGAATTATAGAGTATGTACTTGCAAGAAGCTTTCAGAAGTATCGTAGAATGAAACAATGTGAGGAAGATGTACTCATCAAGTCTAGATTATCGGTAACAAGCCAGCCTAAAATCTGTGCAGATAACAAGTGATATAAGCATCAATGATTATTGCTATAGGCCTTAACAAATAAAGTAATTACTTAAACAGAAGGCATATGTAGTGCGACGGCAGCTTCAGATTTCTGAGGTTATTAGTAAATGATAAAACAATTCAGGCATATCTTATGCAAATTTTACATCGACTTTTAACTTATCGCTGATAAGTGATTGAAGTGAGTAACATTAGAGGCTCAAATCAAGAGGATTAGGCGACAATTGAAGAAATAAGCTGCAACGAAATCAGAAGTTGAAACGAATACATACATGTGTGGATGGATAAAAGGGAGAAGTTGTGCGCTTGATTACGGCAGGGGTTTTAGGGCTGAGGTCGAGTTAGAAAGAATCGGCAACGATGGTAGTGATGGCTGCTACCCCCCTTTTCACGACTAGTGTGATGGTGGATGAATCATGAATGCGTTATCGTACGTCGTCTGTTGCAATTCCAACTCCAACTCCAACTCCAATTCCAATTCCAATTCCAATTTGAGGAGTTGAAAGCAGTCCATTTCCGAGCCCAGTCCAGTTGTTATTTGTAAGAAATGTTCACCAAAAATGTTTACACAATTTAGTACCACTTTACTTTCCCCTTTTTAAATAAATCATCCACTAAATACTTAAAATTTAAAATAATTAATAAATTATTTTGCAGAAAATTCAAATTCCTTCAATATCTTTCTTCTACATATAAGTATAACATGCATGCATACACAATGTATAATTAACCTCAAATAAAATTTCATATTAATAGGTTATTTAGCAGTTGCTTAATGATTTGGTGCGGAACTATCAAGTGATCAGAATGATTAAGAGACTCTCATGGTACAGTGCAGAATAAAATATAATTGTTTAGTAATTGTTTACAGTTAAATTAGAGCACTGAATGGTTAAGGGAGACCCAAGATACAAAATCATTCAGAGAGTGTGCAAACTTTTTTTTTGTCAAACAAGATTCACCTTTTAGCGATTCAGAAATTGTCTCTTAATGTAACTATTAAGAAGTAAACAAACAAACTCTGGGTGTTCATAAGTGGTAGATTTAGATTTTTATTGATATTTAAAATATGTTCACAAGCTATATCCCTTCTTGTATATTTACAATATGATATAAATAATATTAATGTTTATAATGTTTTTAGTTTGTGTGCATATTTATGTTGTGTTTGTGAATTTGGAGAAAAAATGAAGGGAGATAAAATAAATAAAAGAAAATGAATTTTTTTTATTTGTGTTTCGGGAAGGGAAGGAAAAGAAATGAGTGGAAGAAGAAATTTCATGTTTTTGAACAAGAGTGGAAGAAAATGAAAGATGTCATTTTTGCTAATATACTTTAAAAAATATATCATTTAGAATGAAAGATCGGGTAATTTTATAATTCTAATATTTTTTAAAGTTAAATCTATGTCGTTTTCTTCTATTTATTTCCTGTTCCTCCCACGTTTAAGAGAAAAGTTTTTTTTATTAACCTGGATATGCAACCCGCTATGCGAGCCGACTAATCCCAGGGCGACCATTTGCTTTGCAATAGCCCGTAATCACCGCATTTAAACCTCCGTGGCCACAAGAGGATTTTTATTTTTCCTTGGATTTGAATCTAGGACCTCCTGGTACTTTTGACATTTAGAGTCAAACTCAAACTAATCAGACACCACCCTTATGGTTTAGGAGGAAAGCTTTAGAAGCAAATTTATCATTTCATTTATTTACTCTGCTAAAAAGGTTTAAAAAACATGACTTTTTTTTTTATTTTTCTTTTCTTTCTCTGCATGTTCTTTCTTTTTCCTTTGGAAAAAATATTTCGAAAGCACAATCTTAGAATGTGCTTGTGTGTTAGAGGGAGAGGTAACGAGAGAGATGATAAATAAATAAAGGTACTGTTTTAAATCAAAAGGGGTTTTATTTTATTTTTGTAAAGTAAATTGGATCTAAAGAGATAAAAAGCTTTTAAAATAAAGCTCCCACAATTTCGTAATCTACAAAATTGTAAACAACTTTTTCGTTAACCATAGGCGTTGAAGTCGGCTTGCATGTATCTCAACTAAATCCAAATATCCTATAAGAACAACTAGGAAAGTCATTACTGATCTTGCATGTATTGAACGGTTGTAAGAATGATTTTCAAATGTACAAGATTCATTATCACTTGAAGTAACCCACAATTTTCAACTCATGATTCGGATTGAGGTAAATATAAAAAGTAACATTTAGTTTTTCAGTATCTACAATCTTTTAGAGAGTAAGTTTGGAATAAACTGGTTCTCAAACATAGATGGAGAAAATACAAGAATGTGGCGTAATCTTATATCTTGTTACTGTAATAACTCCTAAGCATAGAAAGTGAATTTTTTTCTCTGTAAATATGCAAAAGAAAATTGGCTTGTAATTTATTGATGCATAAATTGTACGAAAAGTTAATATACTTCAATCTAAGTAGCATACTTTCATCTTGGAACTTGGAATATAAAATCTCAAAAAGATAATGATGGTTTTTAAAATAGCTAAAATATAAATTAAACTAAAATACATTACATTTTAATGCAGTTTACTACTTATTAAGTAATCAAACTCATTCAAGGGCTCGAACACAAGTAACGAGTCCATTAAAATATTCAAAAATTTTGTTGTAGTTTAACATCTAATCAAGCCGTGCATTCAAGTGTTGTTGTAGAGGTTAGATATCCCTTGATTTCTTTTTTGCTTTAACTTCATGAGGGTTAGCTCCGTTATTAGTAAGTCTCGGGTATTCAGGGTTTCATCTCAACGGTTCAAGTCCTACACGGCCACTTGAGATTTTTCTGTCGAGACACGTAAAAGCTGACATAATTTAGCTGAGATTAAGAGATGATAATGTGTTAGTCGTAATTATTATTACTACAAAAGACTCATTTAAGGGGGATTTTGCATGAGAAAAGTTGCAAAATGGAGCTTGAAAAGAGAGACAAATCTGAAAAGTAAATAAAGATTAATTTAATAAAATAAAAATGGTGTTTTTATTTTAATTTTAATTTTAATTCATAATTTTAATGGGGATTATGAAGAATAAGTCAACAAGTCAATGTATTTCAAGAAAACAACAATTCACGGAAGGGGTCCTGTACCTGTTCATCATATAGGATATGGCAGCGGTGATCAGAAACTTCATTCTCCCTGGCACGGATTCGAACCCTAAACCTCCATTCTAAAATTTTCTCCCGCCACCATTAATTCACCCTTTTGCCGGTTAACTGCCAACGAGGTTCGTATCTTCACTCATCCATGGACTCCCTCCTCAACCGAGCACTTGAAGAAATTTGTTCCCAAGGAGTCAAGGGACTAAATCTCCGTCATCTTTGGCCCAAGATCCACTCTAATGGTCTCCCCCTCTGCCCTAATGTCAAGAAGGCATTGTGGTCCAATCTTCTCAACATTCCAAGCCTTCGTTTCGAGTGCAAAGCCGTTTCCTACGATGCTCAAGACCCTAACATTCAGTCATTCCAAGATTCGGAGGGGATGGACTTGAAGATTGTCGCGGCGGAGCACATGCTCAACAGCTTCATCGGACTTTACGACATTACAGCATCAGATGCTGGCATTTCTCAGCTACAGCGTCGTGCACTTGAGCGTCTTGCCATTGCCAGGTATGATCAGTCCTAGTGAGAACTTTTACTAAACTGAATATTTGAATTGAGACCAATCGTTAAAATACCAGAATCTACGATAGAAAGAAACGTTTATCACTGAAATGTGAATCATACACACGCTTCCTTGAACTGTTAAGAACAAGTCAATATGTAGTTCAACTGTAAAATTAATGTCACACTGTATGCATAAAGGTTATTCATCTTGCTATACTTTCTACTGGTGCAGAACAGATGGAGTAACCCAAAATGATCTTGCCAAGGAATTTGGCATCAAAGGCAACAACATATACTATATACTAAGGGGTCTAGAATCTCGCGGGTTAATTGTGAGGCAATCAACAATAATAAGAAAGAAAGAAGTTGGGAATGAAGGGGAGTACAAAAATGGTTCAATTGTGAACACCAATATGCTCTATTTATATCGATATGCAAAACATTTGGGTAGTTTACAAAGACTTGAAATTACCAAAGAGGATAAGGCGTCCGACAACATAGATGGAGAGGTTGGTACAAGAGATGGTGTTCCTGAAGAATGCATAAAAGAGGACGTGCACATAAAAGACTATGTGCCTGCAATAAGAGCTATTTGTGATAGGCTAGAAAAAGCAGATGGCAAGGTTACTGTCTATTTCTGCTGAAAGTTATTTACCTTTTGCCTTTTACTTAAGGAAGTGCTAATTGTTAATCGTTCATCTTTTATACATCTGAAGGTTCTCGTCGTCTCGGATATCAAGAAAGATTTAGGTTATTGCAAAACCTCTGGACATAGAGCTTGGAGAAATGTAAGCTAATGTTTTAAAACTTAACATAATCCTACATTTGCTTCTTTAGGTTAATTTCTTGTCCACTGATTTAATTGTATTACTCAAATTTCTCTTAGATCTTGCACAGACTGAAAGATGCTGGTCTAGTTGAGGAGTGTTATGCTACAGTGAACAAGAAGGTAGCTGGTCTATATCGTTTCTGCTATATTTATACTTTGATACCAAAACTTAGCATGCTAAAGGTTTATTTTCGTTGTTCTTACCCTGGGTGATTTCACAAGGACATACCAAACTAGCATCCATTCCCATTATTCTATTTACAGAATTTCTATATATTTTCGTGAGTTTTGAGTTATATATAGGATATATGACTATTATCTGAATCAGTGACAAAAGTAAGGAGGTAGAAGCTTAGTCGTAACTATGATCTGAATCCAACAGGCATAGTCAAACACTTGGATGTAGCATGTTGCAAACTTACATCAAATTGAGAAGGTATAAGAGCAGCAGGGTGGTCTTCTGTTCATCTTTAGCTTCATAAATATATGCTTATTGCCCTTCAAAGATGCATGTATGTGACTTGTTGAAAATTATGGGAAACTTACATCCTTCAATAACTGTATTTAACTGAACTTTAATCTATACTTTAGGACTCGTGTGTCTTCTCGCTTGAATCTGTAGTCATGAGCTGTATGCTTCAGTCAAATTTGCTACTGGCGTTTTCTCTAATATATTTTGTGTGCTTCAGAAAGTTAGCTGTTTACGGCTGCTAAAGAAATTTTCTCCTAAAATGTGTGCACCCAAAAGTCGTGGAGGTGGAGAAGATGATCTTGATACAGAACAACAGGTTAAACCAGTAAAAAGAGGTCAAATCACTGAACAACTTATGGAACTTCCTATTGAGCAACAAATTTATGACATGATTGATGCTGAAGGTTCGAAAGGGTTGATTCTTAACGAGGTACATCATCTTTATTGGTTATAGCATCTTGGAATTAGTTCTGCAAAAATCTGTTTTCCTTTCATATTCCAGATTTTCCAGCTTCCTTTCGCTTCCCCTCTTTTTTTCCCTTTCTTAGAGCTAGAAAATTTATCTACCCGTTCACGTTCTTACATACTTTGTTGCAGATTTTTTTTCTTTCGTTTACCTCCAAATTCTGAATTTTTATTATTTGTATCAAGGTCACCTCTCCCCAACTTGAAATTTTTCTGAAGAATTTTATTGATAGCCAAAACCTAGCAAGTCAAGCAGATTGTTTTTAATGTTTTCTATTCAAGATGCAATTTTTGGGCTACAAATGCATATCTGGCAATATGAGCTATAACTTCATGTATTTCCGAATTAATGCAAACAGGTATACAAGAGGCTTGGCATAAACAATAAACGGTACTATCCTCGCATTCTTGAGATGGTGTCTAGATTTCGGATGCATCTAGATTCAGAAAGCCTTAATAGAGGTGTTGTCTACCGAGTTTGGACTCCTGGGAACTTTAATGCTGTAGTTTCTAATACCCTGCGTGGTAAATTGGACGATACCATGGATGGTAAATTGGAAGATACCATGGATGGGAAATTTCCAACTCATGCACAAGTTGGACAATTGCAGCTAGCTCACACTATCCAAGATTCAGATCATCTGACCTCCAAAGTTGATGGTGAAGCCAGTGAAGAACAGAACATTAATTCTATTTCATCAGGGTTTGCTGATGCATCACCAGCTGTTGGTTGCAATGACAGGCCGCTTGATTCCAGAAGTTCATATAATCTGCAATGTGATGTAAATGGTATAATTTCTGATGCGGAACTTCAAATGGCAAACGTAAAACCTGCAGCAGAAGTTGTTTCTTTGGAGATACCTTCATCTGCTTCACCAGCACGCCGAATTCGCCGCTCGTATACAGTCTATCCATGTCTTGGTCTGAATTCAGCTAGCTTACAGAGGGAAAAACGGATACTTGAAAAACTACAGGTCGTATATTGATGTTTGGCTTCTTTTGCCACCTTGATATATACTTATTTAGCTTTTAGTTTTTCATTTTTGCAGGAAGAGAAAGTCCTTATAAAACCTGAGCTACCTAGGCTGCTTGAGAGTCTTGAGAATATTGAGAAGAAGCATACCGTGATGGACAAGAAGACCTTAGACCGTAGTTTAAATAAACTTCAAGAAGAAGGACATTGCAAGTGCATTTCTTTTGCCGTCCCTGCTGTCACTAATTGTGGCCGCAAGCGTACAATTGATGTGGTTCTGCATCCATCTGTATACAATGCAGAAGACCTATCGGATCGGGTTCAAGAGAGACTTAGGTCTTTTGAAAAGCAAATACGCACCCAAGGTTTTTCTCGACACCAGAGTGGTAAATCGATCCCTGTTTTAAATGACGTGGAGAGAATTTGTACAACAAAATATGTTCCAACTGAGACCTCTGAAGCAATGCGAGACAATGGCTTCGTATTGGCAAAAATGGTTCGTGCAAAGCTGCTTCACATCTTTTTGTGGGGTTATCTCATCAGGTTATCCGGTTGGGATGATGCTATATCAGGAAGACATGGATATGAACAGAAAAACCCATATAGTACATGCAAATTGTTTGAACTAGATGCAGCCATTAAGGCCATGCCGCTTGAGTTGTTCTTGCAGGTTGTAGGATCCTCTATAAAACTCGAGGGTATGATTGAGAAATGCAAGAATGGTTTTTGCCTTTCTGATCTTCCCATACAGGAGTATAAGTGTCTCATGGAAACTCGAGCAACTGCACGTCTCTCATCTCTTATTGGCATCCTAAGACGGTTGAAGGTATTACTCTGAAATTCACTTGGGCAAGTTTAGTTATTTGTTGCCACCTTCAAAGGTAGGCCTCTGGATGCCTCCATGAGGCAACCACCAGTGGAGTTTTAAATATGCTTTAAAACAGGGTGTAAAGTGCTAGAGGACTGATTAGAATGTAGAGGATGAAATGATCTTAAATAGGAGCTCAGGAATCAACGTTTTCTAACTAGTTGGCGCCTGGCGCAACTTAGATTGAGTATTTGCCAAGATATGCAAGAATCTGCAGATTGTGTTGTGCTTATTTATTCTGGACTATACATCCTCTTAAGGGACTGTTTGTTAACAGCTTAATGAGCTTAATAGGACTCAAAATATTCTGGCAGCTACATATGACTCTTTGGCAGTGGCTTACTCGATACGCTTCTAGGAGGAGCTTTATGCAGAAAGCCAAAACAAATTTAAAACCTGCCCCTCCCAATTAAAAAACATGCTCCTTCCATCTATGAAAAAACCCTCCTAGTCTATCGGGCAAATTAATCCACACAGTCAGCTTTATCCATACAAGACTGGGCTGTTTGGTTGGTTTTCCATCAAGTCCTGTATGAATAAAATTGTCTGTGGATTAATCTGTCTGTATAGATAGAGAAATTTTTTCTTTTTGGATGTTTTTTCATAGATGGAAGGAGCCTTTTTCTACTTGGGAGGGACATGTTCGGGAAAAAACTTGGCTTTCTGCATGAAGCTCCCCTCTAGAAACTTACTGAATAAGTCACTTTCTATATCATTAAGCCACTACCAAATGGCCATGTATAGTTGACCGAAGAAGCTGTGAGTCCCATTAAGCTCATCAAGCTGCTAACAAACAGGTCCTAATAGAAAACCAACCAAACAGCCCCTTATATTAGCGATCTTATTTCTTCAAACAACTTTGGGAGAAGCCTTAGTTGATTTGTCCATTGTGTTTATGTACTATAATCAGATTATTGGGCATATTGTATGCCTTGTCCACCATGTTGGGACATCTAACAGTTGCTTAACTTTTGGAAATTATGACAAACTAACATGTACCTGAAAGAAAAGTAATTGTGATGGGGTGTATGACAGCCAACTCGGATTTATATTGGTGGGTGGGGTAAAGGGTATTATAACATGCAGTTGAAGCAGAAAAATGAACAGGACATCAATTATAGTCCAAGTAAAAACAGTTCAAGGGTTAAAATTTTACGTAGTTGGCTGACAAATTTAAATTCATATGAAAATTCAAGGAGCTTTGCAGTTTACTTCATTTGTATAGAATGTCTTTCCGCATTCCTGGTTAGTTCTTACAAGTTCTGCATCACTTGGCAGTTGATACGATTGATTGGTGGAGAACTTCTTGACGCTCCTATGGGTCCACATGCTACTCTTAGACATTCACTCGAACTTAAGCCGTACATTGAGGAACCTGTGGGAATGGTTTTGCCATCTACAGGTGTCAATTCTTTTGATCTTCGCCCTCATATCAGACATGATTTTGTTCTTGCAAGCAGAAAAGTTGTTGACGAATACTGGAACACCTTGGAGTATTGTTATGCTGCTTCTGATCCAAAAGCTGCTATGCATGCATTCCCTGGATCTGCTGTACATGAGGTCCGATGTTCTTTCTTTTTGTCTATATATTGTGTTGATTGCCTGTGTAGTGGTTTGGGACTTAAATCTGAGTCATTCTATTTTTGAACTGGCACAAGGAGGTCAAGTTTTTGTTGGTATGTCTCTTTGTCTTAATGCTGCCAAATCATGTTTTCAAGAGTCGTGCCATTCTTGTTCCTGGATAAATCCAAGAATTTGCGAAGGCACAAGTTTCTGGTTCAAGGTCATAAAATGAAATATTGGTTTGATAAGGGAATGCATTTATTTCCTAGAAGATATGAAGTTCCTGTAATTATTTTTTATATTATTCTCTCTCTTGCTCTCATTTTTAATTAAAAAAGTTGTTCATTGCGGTTTATGTCAATATATGTTTTGATGAGCCACTGATGCACTCATCATTATTTGTTTTCTTTTCATCATATAGCTATATTATTCATTCTTCTCTTCTGAAGCGTGATTTCATCAGGTGTTCTTTTCCCGTTCATGGGCGTCATTCCGCGTTATGACAGCTGATCAGAGGGATAAGCTATTGAAACTTGTAGCAAATGAAGACATAGACAAAAAGATATCCTACAAAAAGTGTGAGAAGATAGCCGAGAATCTTAATTTGACCTTGGAGCAGGTTTGTTTGCTCTTGGTATTTGGTAAAGTTGGACTTGATCTGTGATATGGGCTTTGTTGATATTATGCTTAGGAGAAGCTTTTATGCATATTCTGATATAAATGGAATGTTTTTGAAACTACATGTAGGCTATAATTGATTGCTTATGATAATATTTAGCTTCTTATATTTATTTATCCGTTATGTAAATTGATTGATGCTCATTGCAGGTGCTACGTGTATTTTATGATAAGCGACAAAAGCAAAAATCGAAAGGAGCAGCAAATGCTCCTTCACTTTCTAACAAAAGGAAAAGGTCTTTGAAGGGAAAGCCAGTAAATAATGGAATGGAAGATCTGGTTGATGAAGAGTTGGGCAAACTGAAGCACGCTAAAATGTTGAGTGCAGAAGATGCCACAGAAGAACAAAATTCGTCCCAAAGGTCCTTAGAAGATCATGAAACGGATATGTTGATCGATGAATTGGATGGCCAGAAAGAGGCTGTAGATGATCTTGAAGTAAATGCAGATGAAGATGGTCATTCTTATTCTAATATACACAAGCGCGTCTTATCAAAGCTGCCTCCACGCCAGAAAAGGTTTGCATGGACAGAAAACATAGATAGGTAAGACATCTCTATACAGTTTGAGACCAACATTCATTCTGTTGTACATATTTTGATTTATCAACTTGAGAGGCTGATTAAGTAAATATAATAGCCGAGTCTTAATCCATGATCTCTTTCAGACAGTTGGTGATTGAATACGTAAGAAACCGAGCTGCCCTTGGAGCAAAATTTCATTGTACGGATTGGGTCTCACTTCATAATCTACCTGCACCTCCTCATACATGCAGAAGAAGAATGTCAACTCTGAATAGGAATCATCAGTTCCGAAAAGCTGTAATGAGACTTTGTAACATGCTTAGTGTAAGATACGTAAAGCATCTTGAAAATTCCAAGAACAAACCACTTGGTGATCATACAAATGATTTTAATATCGAAGAGCGATGGGATGATTTTGACAACAAAGATATAAAAATGGTCCTCGATGAGGTTCTTAGCTACAAGCAGACTGCTAAGTCGGAGGCCAAAAAGGGTGCTCGATATATATCCAAGTATAATCAGACAGATGTTGGTGCAGAAGGACATGTAAGACTTGCCCCCTTTCACTTTTTCACCTTTTTGCAAATTTTTCTCACTTAGTTAGCCTGGCTGTTCTATCTTTTGGTTCCTCATGTCCTAAATATCATACCATTTGGCAAATCGTTTTTGAGATTTCATTAATGATTTACTGTTTCTGCTCCCGCTTTTAGGAATTTGATGAAACCACCTTAGTTTCATCAGCTGCTCCTAGCAATGAATTAAAGGGCAGTGGAAGGAGGCAAGCATCCGGTCGAAGATCAAAATGTGATCTTCCCAAAAGCTATGCCATGCTTATGAATGGAGGAAAAGGTTTTGGTACACATGCATACAAGTCATTAGCAGTTTCCAATGCAATAGAGTTATTAAAACTTGTATATCTTAGCACTGCAAAAGCTCCAGAGGTGGCAAATTTGCTAGCTGAAACATTGCGTCGATATTCAGAACACGACATGTTGACTGCCTTTAACTTTCTCAGAGAGAGAAATTTCATGGTAACAAGAGTTGTTTGCTTTTTTGTTTGTAGGCCACATAAAAGTTTCTATCTTCTATACAAGAACAAGCATAATTTGAAATACTTGTAGCCATTTTACTTCTATTTTTTCTATCTGAGCCCCTATGCTTTATTCTGTTGGCAGGTCATGGGTAATAGCATCAATGACTTTGTACTCTCTCGGAAGTTTTCACATAATAGGTCTTCATCTCCGTTTCCTCCTAATACTGGAGAAAGAGTTGTTGAGATGGGTAAGTGGCTTAATGAGCGAGAAAATGATTTATTAGACAACGGTGTAGATCTATATGCTGATCTGCAGTGTGGAGATGTTCTCCAACTGTGTATGCTAATGTGTATGGGAGAAGTATCGATGTTCCCTTGCCTACCTCATGAAGGTGTTGGAGGGATTGAGGACTCGAAGAAACATAATTGTGATGACAATGAAGTGTGTGATGTTGATAATGCTAAGAAGCCAAAATTATTGGACAGTGAAGTATTTTCTCGTAAAGAAAAAGGTTTCCCAGGTATTCAGTTATCCTTAAGTCGTAGTACGATATCAAGAGTTGATGCAATTACATTGTCTTCTGGTTCGAATTTGGAACACAACTCCTCGCCTTCTAAACGAAGCCCCTATGCCTTCTCAATGACAAATGTTGCTTCTGAGTCAACATGGGAAACTATGACTCGCTATGCAAAACATGTAGCATCTTTAGAAGTATCTCCTTTCCTGTTTCAAACTGTTTATTCAGCCATCCGAAAGGCTGGTGACCAAGGCTTAAGCATGGAAGGAATCTCCAATATGATTGATGATATGCAGCAGGGTATGTATGCAATTCTATTGTTCTTCCGTAAACTGTTTTGCGCGCGCGCACACACACACACATATATACAGGGGCCTAATCAAATGAGAACTATGTAGTTTGTGATAACCCGAGATCCAAAGTGAACCATTCATTTGAGATATTTAAGGATATTTCTTAAATAAGTTAAAAAGGGTAATTTGGTAATTTTATTTATAATAACTCATCAAAAGATTTAATCAAATTTTTTAAGGAAATATATGATTAATTTTAATTACCTAATACATATCGTCTTTTAAAGATGTTTGTGGATCAAAGCGTATCATAGTAATAATGTTCACAATGTATTTTTGTTGTTTTATAAAGTGTATCACAGTATGCATTTTCGTTATTTTAGTTGTTTTACAAAGGTATCACAATGTGCATCTTGTATGTATATATGGGTATAACAATGAATATCATTTGTATATATTTTTTTAGGTATCACATTGTGTATATTGTGTTCACATAAGGTTCGTCGGAATAAGATTTGCTGGAATAAAGTTCGCTGGAGAGAGGAGAAATGAGATTTTTAAAATCTCAAAGATGCCCTTAATTAATATTTTAAGTTAAAATTACCATAATTATTAATTTCCTAATTTAACCTTTGATTTGTGGTTGAGATTGGGTCTCACGATTATCACAAATTATTGAGTTCTCCCTTGAATTGCCCCATATATATAGAGAGAGAGGAGGAGGAGGATCAAACGAGAACGATATATATGTATAATATATATATATATATATATATAGAGAGAGAGAGAGAGGGGGGCAAGATCAAACAAGAATGATACCTATTTAAAAGAACACGAAAACGGGGAAATCACGTGCAAAATCACATGTGATTTTACATTAAGGGTCAAAAAAGATGTCCCGGCAACTTGTGGCTGCGTCTTTAGGTCGCCAGACAAGGTCGCCTGAATCACATGTGATTTTGTATGTGATGTCGGTGTAAAATCGCATGTGATTCCTTCGTTTTCGTGTTCTTTTAAATAGGTATTGTTCTAGTTTGATCCTCCCCCCTCTCTATATATATATATATATATATAGAGAGAGAGAGAGAGAGAGAGAGAGGGAGGAGGTTTAAGGGACAATCCCCCAAAAAATGAAAAACCGAGGAACACACTGGTAACCATTCATCTTGATGGTATGCACATGTGCATACAAGTAATTGCAGTTGTTTCTTGGTTTTTATGCATGTGTGTATGTTATGCACATGTGCATTCCGTCCAGATGAACGGTTACGAGGGTATTTCTTAATTTTACATTTTTTGCGGTTTTCCTTGAACCTCTGTGTGTGTGTGTATATATATATATATGAATCTAATAATATGGCTGCATCCTTATCCTTTTAGGGGAAAAGATAGCAGAACTTATTGTTGAGGTGTTTGAGGCATATGGGCGTGCTTTGAAGGTTTGCTTTACAGTTACCTAGCAATTTGAAAATTTCTTGTTCTAGTTGCTTGCTGGTGGGGATTCAATCGATATTGGGGTACACACTGAATTCATCGGTTGTTTAATACATACAGGTCAATGGTTATGATTCTGTCCATGTTGTTGATTCTCTATATCGATCGAAGTACCTTTTGGCCTCAATGGCATCACTTGATCTCAAGGTGCCAGAGAGCTGCACTAATGAAGGCGAGCCATCAAAGTCGGTGCCAGAAGATCATGACAATAGTTTAATGAAAGAAACCTGCACGGAGGTGCATACAAGTACTGATAAGATGCACAGAGTCACCATCCTAAACCACCTGGAAGAGGTTCCTCAACCTAGAATGGATCCAGAGTGTGAATTACGTATTGGTGATTCTCCTTGTTATAAGTCAATATTGCCATGGGTAAATGGAGATGGTACCATCAATGAGAACGTTTACAAGGGACTTGTACGCCGTGTTCTTGGTATCGTGATGCAAAATCCTGGGATATTGGAGGTACGCATTGGTTGAACCTCTCTTTTGCTAATATATAGGAGATCGGGAAGGATAAATAGATAGATTTTTTTACGGCATCTAAACAAGTGTATATATGAACTTGTAAATAAAAAATATATTGCTTTTTTGAATATGCTTGTAGTAGCATGAGTTAGGGCTGTTTATTAGCAGCTTAATGGGACTTACAGCTTATTCAATCAGCTATATATAACTGTTTGATAGTGACTTAATGAGATACAAAGTGGCTTATTTAGTAAGCTTCTAGAGGGAGCTTTATGCAGAAAGCCAAGTTTTTTTTCATACCTCCTGCTCCCAATTAAAAAACACACTTCTTCCATCTATGAAAAAACCCTCCCAAACAAAAACCTTCCCGATCTATACAGACAGATTAATCCACACGGACAACTTTATCCATACAACAGTTAATGAAAAAACAGCCAAATCTGCAGAAGCTGGCCTTTCTTAGACCTGTTTGTCTGATATGAAATCTGTTCTGTTTTAGCTTCAGATTATTTGTATCATGATGCATATACATATATACAGACGCATAATCATTTACGACTGTTTTGGTGATTTCATCGTTTTCTAAGGGAATTTTTTATCTTGTTGCAGGAGCATGTGTTAAGCCGGATGAATATACTGAATCCTCAGGTAATCTTGTTATATTTTTTCTGGAAGGGTGTCCCGGGTTATGCCCAGACTAATCCCAGTAAATTGCGACTGTAAGACATCAGCCCTGATAAAGTCGGTGGTTATGGATGTCTGGAATTGAATCATGTTTATATGTTCCAATCTAAGAATAAATTGTTAACCTTGAATATTACATTTCAGAGCTGTAGAAAATTGTTGGAAGTGATGATTCTTGATGGTCATATCACAGTGAGGAAGATGTATGAGTCCACATTCAATGAGCCTCCACCCATGTTACAATGCCTTCTTGGTTGCAGTTTTAAGAAACCCAAGTTGGTTTGCAGACAACATTTATTTGCAAACCCCCGGAGCATCAGCTTTTTGTAGACTCCTGCACTGTTGTATATATTCGTATAACAAGAATCTGGTTGCTTTTCATGGATTTTAAGTGCAGGTTTGTTTATTTAGCCGTGTGATTCAAACGTATGGCGACTTCTCTTCCTTTAATTTTGTGAAGCCTGAGTTTGATAACCACATTAGAATTATGTCTTGGCAGGGGGGGACCCGGTGCCCGCGCTTCATGGTTTTGTCGTAGTTACCATAATGTTCTGTTCCGTGTCCTTGTATTTCTTAAAACTAGATTTATGAAAGCAGTTTTGTGATGATTAAGTTGGTCTTTAGGGCCGTTCATCCAATTTCTACACATGAAACATTTACCGGTAAGATTCAACAGTTTCACTCAAAAGGAGGAATTTATAACACATGCTGTGCATTCCACCTAATGGGTCACTTTGACAAATATGATTGTTCATGGTTTATCAAACCGTGAAATAAGATTTCTTCACCTCTTAAAAAGCAAACAAACACCTAAATAAATAAAATATTTTATCAACCGTTAGATTAATTGATCTAATGGATATGATTAAATAAACGATTATAACAAGACTTTTAAAATTGAAAAACCTCATAACCTATTTTTATTTGAAAAAATAAAAAAAATAAAAAAATTAACTATAGTATAATGTTAATTAGCAAGATTTTGAATGATATGAGAGACGTGACATGACATGACAGTGAGGTCAAGTATCAAGTCTTACAAATTATAATGAGGCCACACCATTTTTCAAGGCGTGCCCTATGATAGAGACATGTATGTATTTATGTGTGTGTTTGTATATATACACACACACATGTATATAGGGGAGAGATATTTTGCAAACCAAATCATTTATACAAACCGTTGATTTCATTGTTTATTTTAGTGAAATTTTTCATGAAATTGTTTCAAATAATTCATTTCAAATAATTATGGACAATAGCATTTTCATTTTATTAATTTTAGTAAACAAATTTCAACAAAATGAGAAATACATGAAACAATTTCATTTTAACATAGAAACAAAAATATATGAAACATTCTCATCATGAAATGAATTATTTGAAACAATTTCATGATATTAAACAGTCTCATGAAAAAATAAACAATGAAATCGACGGTTTTATGCAGCAAAATAGAAACTACAATCACAAATTTATATTAAATAAAATTTAAGAACCAAAATGAAAAAACAAAAAATTCAGGGACCAAATAGTGAAATTTAATAAATTAATAATATATAAAAGCAGAAGGTAAATCACAATTCCAGAACACCATTCCCTGGATTCGAACCCTAAACCTCCCACAAAATTAAGCGGTTCCAACTTCCATGCTCCTCTGCCATGGACGCCGTCGTGATTGGAGCACTGGAAGAAATTTGCTTGGAAGGAATTAAGGGACTATTTTACTCCCAACGAATTGAGGGACTAACTCTCCATGATCTTTGGCCCAAAATTCACTCTTATCTCTCCTCTAATCATCTCCCCCTCTGCAAGAATGTGAAGAAGGTTCTCTGGTCCAACCTTCTGAGTATCCCAAGTCTACATTTTGAATGCAATGACGGAGACCCTAAGATTCAGTCCTTTGAAGACTCCGAGAGGATGGAATTGAAGATTCTCCCGGCGGAGCATCTCCTCAAAAGCTTCGTCGGAGTTTACGATCATGAAGACGTCCCTCAGCAATATCGTCGCGTCCTTAACCGCATTGCCATTGCTAGGTTTGTTTGTTTGTATGATATGAACTTATAACTCAAAGAAGAAGCATATAGAAAACGCAAGCTATCAAGATATTCTATAAAATCATATCCTCTGTATGTAATTATTTCATAAACATCTAAAAGCTAAGAGCATCGCTATTCTCCAAAATAGATATGGAGAAAAGTAAAGTAGTAGATAGACGATGAATTTTTTCTAACATTCTCAAGAGTCAAGAATATTCCTATGAATAATTATGTAGGAAAAAGTCTCTAAGTTTAGACAAGTCAATGATTACTTAGGAATAAGAATCATCAAATCAAATTAAATGTATTAATTATTTTAATAATACAAATTTATCATGGAGATTTTGACTTTTTATTCTTTTTTTTTTGGAGAATGCTCTAAAAACTTCTATCATTTTTGACAGATTCTTCAAAATTTCTTTAACATGGACAACCAAAACTCAAAATCTCCAAAAAGAAACTCTTTTTAGATTATTAATACAATATTTTATTAATTGTAATCAAATATTATTTCCTTTAACGTCAACATTTTCTTATTGATGGAACTATAATAAAAAATGTTTCTCTTGATCAATTTTTTGAGCTATCCAAATTTAGAGAATTTCATACTCTTTCATGTTTTTTTCATTTTAGAGAATCTATTGGTGCAAAAACTAGTCCGAAATCTCTATTTTATCCGTTTTAGAGAAGATGCTCCAAGAAAATGATACAAATAAGATTCGAACCCATGCCCAGAAGAGAAACTTATGTTATTACTCTAGTTTCATGATATACACAGTTGCACCCAACAAAAGCTGTGGTCCGTGCCACCGTATGCAGTATGCACGATATTGGGTGTGCCCCTGTTGAACTCTAACATTAATGTGTATGCATAAAAGGTTATTGATCTTGCTATACTTTCTACTGGTGCAGAACAGATGGAGTAACCCAAAATGATCTTGCTAAGGAACTTGGCATTGAAAACAAAAGCATATTCTATACAGTAAAGAAACTTGAATCCCGGGGCTTGATTGTGAGGCAATCAACACTAATAAGGAACAAAGAATTTGGGCATGAAGGGGAGTACAAAAATGGTTCAACCGTGAACACGAATATGCTCTATTTATACCGATATGCAAAACATTTGGGTAGTTTACAAAGACTCGAAATTACCAAAGAGGATAAAGCATTCATAGACGGAGATCCTGAAGAAGGCGTAAAAGAGGATGTGCACATAAAAGACTATGAACCTGCTTTAAAAGCTATTTGTGATAAGCTAGAAAAAGCAAATGACAAGGTTACTATCTATGTCTGCTGAAACTTATTTACTTTGCTTTTAAACTTTATGAGAAGAAGGTTCATTTAGAAACCTTAAATATTTTGAGAACTCAGATTAGGGGCTGTTTGGTTGGTTTTTCATTAAATCCTGTATCGACAAAGCTGTCTATGTGGATTAATTTGTCTATATAGATTGGGAAGGTTTTTGTTTGAGAGGGTTTTTCATGGATGGAAGGAGCGTGTTCTTAATTGAGATGGGCAGGTTTGGAAAAAACTTGGCTTTCTGCATAAAACTCCCCTATAGAAGCTTTCTGAATAAGCAATATAATTAAGCCACTACCAAACAGTCATGTATAGCTGACTGAATAAACTTTGAGTCCCATTAAGCTCATTAAGCTGCTAACAAACAAGCCCTTAGTCACGAATACTACATAAAATAGGTGGTTCTTGGGTTCTCAAAATCTTCAAGGTTACTAAATGAACCTGCCCCTACTTAATGAAGTTCTAGTCGCTAATCATCCATCTTTTATACATCTGAAGGTTCTCGTCGTTTCGGATATCAAGAAAGAATTAGGTTATTGCAAAACCTCTGGACATAGAGCTTGGAGAAATGTAAGCAAATGTTTTACATTTGCTTCTTTTAAGTTAATTTCTTGTTCACTAATTTAATTGTATTTCTTAAATTGCTCTTAGATCTTGCACAAGCTGAAAGATGCTGGTCTAGTTGAGGAGTTTTATGCTACAGTCCACAATAAGGTAGTCAAACTGTATTGTTTATGCTATATTTATTAAATGTATGCAGAAAGTCTTCTGACCCAATTAAAACCAACCGACAATAATTGGATTGGATCCAAAACTCAACATCCAAATTGGAAGTTGTTTGTTCTTGGATGATAGTCCAGAATCCAATAGAACAGATCCAATTGAATGCCATCAAATTACGATATTGTTTTTGGTTGATATTTGTATGTAACTTTTGAAGAAAATATACAAATGATTGGTTCAAAAATTGGATCAAGATATGTTCTGGTCTTCTAGGGTTTAGGGTTTTCGCTTCATGAAATGTGCTTAATTCCTTTCAAAAATGCTTATTGTGTGTGTTTCAGAAAGTTATCTGCTTACGGCTGCTAAACAAATTTTCCCCTAAATCATATGCACCTTCCATAAGTTGTGGAGGTGGACATAATGATCTTGCTACAGAACAACAGGTTAAACCGGCAAAAAGAGGCCAAATTACTGAACAACTTATGGAGCTTCCTATTGAGCGACAAATTTATGATATGATTGATGCCGAAGGTTCAAAAGGGTTGACTCTTAACGAGGTACATCATCTTTATTGGTTTTGGTTATTGCATCTTTAGAAGAAGGATCGTGTGAGAATAGGAGTTAAGGTGAGAAATGTAAGAAGGGATCTGGACCCTTGATCACTTTTAATCTCACCCCCATCTCCTTCTTGCGGAATTGATCCGATGCATCTCGGTGCATCTCATTAGTGTTCATCTCAATTAGGATTGATCCAAGGGTGGAGGACCCTTCTTACCTTTCTGACCATCCATTCTCATCGGAACCCAACCCTGCATCTTTAATGGGCAGTATGAGCTATAACTCTTTTACATATATGTATTTCTGTAAGCAGGCATGTAAGAGGCTTGGCATAAACAGTAAAGAGTACGATAAGCGCAATCGTGCTATGGTGTCTAAATATGGGATGCATCTAGAATCAGAAAGGCTTAATAGAGGTCAAGTGAACCGAGCTTGGACTTCTCGGAACCTTAAAATCGAAGTTTCTAATACCCTTCGTGGTAAATTAGAAGATACCGTTGATAAGAAATATTCAAATCATGCCAAAGTTGGACAACTTCAGCTAGCTCACACCAACCTTGATTCAGATCATCTGACCTCCAAAGTTGATGGTAAAGGAGAGAAGTTTGATCCAGTTAAGTCCTTGGCTATTGGTCGTAGTGACACGCCGCTTGATTCCAGAAGTTTATATATTCGGCAATGTGATGGAAATGGTATAAGTTCTGATGCGGAACTTCAAATGGCAAACGTAAAACCTGCAGAAAAAGTTGTTTCTTTGGAAACATCTTCATCTGCTAAACCAGCACCCCAAAGTCGCCGCTTGTATATAGGCTATCCACGTCTTGGTCTGAATTCATCTAACTTGCAGAGGGAGCAACGGATAATTGAAATACTACAGGTCGTATATTGATATTTGGCATCTCCTTTTACCTTGCTATATACTTGGGGGGACTTTAGTTTGCAGAATGGAATTTGGTGGAATTGGAATCATCAAAGGAATTTGACTTTGAAGGAACTGAAATGAAATTTGATGGAGTTTGAACGCGTTTGGTTGGTAGAAATTGGAATGGAATCTCTCAAATGAATTGGAATCTCCATTAGTGGCATGGTGATATTGGTGGTCGGAGGTGGGGTGCGTGGGGGTGGGTGAGTATGATGACAATAGTAGTGGTATTGGTGGTGGCGGGCTGGTAGCGATGAGGACAGTTGTGGCATGGTGGTCAGGTGGCGAGGTGGGTGACGGTTGTGACAGCGATAGTAGTGGTGTAGTGGTGGGGGAATGACTATAGTAGCATGGTCGTGGTGGGAGTAGGGGTGGGCGGTGTTGGTTAAATTGGATGCAAAGGAATGAAATTCAATTTCTTCATTTATGCTAAGGAATGATGAATTTATTAATTTATGGAATTCAAACGATTCCATCCATTTGAAGAAGTGACCCAAACAAAAGAATTGAAATTTGGTCAAAGAAATTTGTCATTCCAATTCCATCAAATTCCTTCGAATTCTGCCAACCAAACGTCCCCTTATTTATCTTTTAGTTTTCCATTTTTGCAGGAAAAGAAGGTCCTTATAAAATCCGAGCTACCTAGGCTGCTCGAGAGTCTCGAGAATCTTGAGAAGAAGCATACTATGATGGACAAGAAGACCTTAGATCGTAGTTTAAATAAGCTTCAAAACGAAGGAAAATGCAAATGCATATCTGTTTCCGTCCCTTCTGTCACTAATTGTCTCCGCACGTGTACAATTGTTGTGGTTCTGCATCCGTCTGTATACAATGCAGAAGACTTATTGGATCGGGCTCAAGAGAGACTCAGGTCTTTCCAAAGGCAAATACGTACCCAAGTTTTTTCTCGACACAGAAGTGGTATATCAGTCCCTGTTTTAAATGACGTGGAGAGGATTGGTATGACGAAAGATCAATCTGCGATCCGTGAAGCAAATCGAAACAATGGTTTTATACTGGGCAAAATGGTTCGTGCAAAGCTGCTTCATGTCTTTCTGTGGGGTTATATCACGAGGTTACCTGGTTGGGACAATGCTATATCGGGAAGACATGGATATGAACCGAAGAACCCACGTAGTGCATGCAAATTGTTTGAACTAGATGCAGCCTATAAGGCCATGCCGCTCGAGTTGTTCTTGCAGGTTGTCGGGTTCTCCCCCAAATCCGAGTGTATAATTGAGAATTGCAGGAATGATTTATGCCTTTCCGAGCTTCCCATACAGAAGTATAGGTGTCTCATGGACACTCGAGCAACTGCACATCTCTCAGCTCTTATTGACATCCTGAAACGTTTGAAGGTAACAGCTTTTTCGTACACGTACACTTGCATCACATACATAAATGCTCTCTGAAACCATGAAATAAGGTCACCCATAACACAGCTCTTCACCGTAAGGAGTTTTGAAATTTACTTGATATGTTTCAGAATGTGTTTTCCATCCTTGATTAGTTCTTACAAGTCCTGCATCTCTTTGCAGTTGATACGGTTGATTGATGGAGAACTTCTTGGCGTTCGTATGGGTCCACATGTTATTCTTAGACATTCACTAGAACTTAAACCGTACATTGAGGAACCTGCGCGGATGGTTTTGCCATCTACAAATGTCGATTCTTTTGATCTTCGCTTTCATTTCAGGCATGATTTTGTTCTTGAAAGCAGAAAAGTTGTTGACGAATACTGGAACACCTTGGAGTATTGTTATGCTGCTTCTGATCGAAAAGCTGCTTTGCATGCATTCCCTGGATCTGCTGTGAAGGAGGTTTGCTGTTCTTTCTTGCACCTGGCTGACCCAATAACTTCTAATCCAACTTAAAACCATGGTGGAGGTCATTGGTAGCCCACAACTTGAGGCTTATAAGGAGCTCATCAATCCCATTTTCTATCCACGTGGGACGAGTTGTTACAGAAAGGCCATCATTGTTTGTTTTCTTTTCATCATATAGAATATTTTTCATTCCTCTCTTTTGAAGCTTGGTTTTATTAGGTGTTCTTTTCCCGATCATGGGAGTCCGTCCGAGTTATGACAGCTGATCAGCAGGCTAAGCTATTTAAACTTGTAGCAAATGAAGACACAGACAAAAAGATATCCTACAAAAAGTGTAAGGAGATAGCAGAGAATCTTAATTTGACCTTGGAACAGGTTTATTTCTTTCGGTCTTTAGTTCATATGGATTTAAATTGTATGTTTTTTAAGCTACAATTGATGGTTCATTTTTCTATATAATGAAAGGGCTGTTTGGTTGGTTTTTCATTAAGTCCTGTATGAATGAAGTTGTCCATAGATTAATCTGTCTATATAGATTGGGAAGGTTTTTGTTTGGGAGGGTTTTTTTCGTAGACGGAAAGAGCGTGTTCTTTAATTGGGAGGAGCAGGTTTGAAAAAACCTGGCTTTCTGCATAAAGCTCCCCCCTAGAAACTTACTGAAGAAGCCACTTCCTATACATTAAGCCACTACCAAACCGTCATGTATAGCAGACCGAATTAGCTGTGAGTCCCATTAAGCTTGTTAAGCTGCTAACAAACAATCCGTTAGTTCCTTATATTTATTCCGTTTTATAAATTGATTAATGCTCCTTGCAGGTGCTCCGTTATGATATGCGACAAAAGCATAAATCGAAGGGAGCTGAAAGTGCCAACGAGCAGGCATCCCGTCCATTGATACAGGCTCCACCTTCTTACAAAAGGAAAAGGCCTTTGAAGGGAAAGCCGGTAAATAATGGAATGGAAAATGTTGATGAAGAGTTGGGCAAACTGAAGCATGCCAAAACGTTCATTGCAGATGATGTCACAGAAGAACGAACAAGCGCCTTGGAAGATAATGAAATGCATATATTGATCGATGAATTGGACAGCCAGAAAGAGGCTGTAGATGATCTGGAACAAAATGCAGGTGAAAATGGTCATTCTCATTCTACTATACACAACTATGCACGCCAGAAAAGATTTTCATGGACAGAAAACAAAGATCGGTAAGACTATGGCATTAAATTGGATCTCACTACAACAAATTCGAGTTCATAGGACACCAAGAGGGTTTAAGTGTCCTGATAGACTACTTTATAGGACCAAACCTTTGTGTGTTGTATCTAAAAGTGTTGTGATAAGTTTATAAGACGATTTTGGGCATTTTGACAAGCTTTAGAACGCTTTTGAAACGAAGTGTCCTATTAGCCCTTTTATAGAACACTTTTAAGAAGTGTCCTATAAACACATCTTTTTACTGGACATTTTATAAGACACCTTTTCGGATAATGTCCCATAAAAGGGCTAATAGAAACTTTGTTTCATAAGTGCCCTGAAAAGCTTTTAAAGACACCCAAAAGCATCTTATAAACTTATTACAACACCTTTAGATAGGTTACACAAGTGTTTGGTCCTATAATTTTAAGTCATAAAGTAGTTTATTAGGACAGAGACAGTTTTGGTGTCCTGTAAATCCAATTTTATTGTAGTGTCATTACATCCATATCTGTTGTACATATTTCGATTTATCAACTTGAGTGGCTGAGTCTTAATTCATAATCTCTTTCAGACAGTTGGTGATTGAGTATGTAAGAAACCGAGCTGCTCTTGGAGCAAAATTTCATGGTACAGATTGGGCCTCACTTCAAAGCCTACCAGCATCTCCTCATACATGCAAAAGAAGAATGTCGACGCTGAACAGCAACAAGAAGTTCAGAAAAGCCGTAAAAACATTCTGTAACATGCTTAGTTCAAGATATGCAAAGCATCTTGAAAATTCCAACAACAAACCACTTGATGATCATACAAATGATTCGAATTTTGAAGAGCGATGGGATGATTTCGACAATGAAGATATAAAAATGGTTCTTGATGGGGTACTTCGCTACAAGCAGACTGCTAAGTCTGAGGCCGACAAAGGCTATGGCATGCTTATGAATGGAGGAAACGGTTTTCGTACACAAACATACATAACATTAGCAGTTTCAAATGCAATCGAGTTATTAAAGATTGTATGTCTGAGCCCAAAAGCTCGAAACTTACTGCCTAAAACCGCTCAAGACTTGCTGGCTGAAACAACCCGCCTATATTCAGAACACGATATGCACACTGCCGTTAACTATCTCAGAGAAAGAAACTTCATGGTAACGGGAGTTGCGTGTTTTTCGTTTGTAGGAGTTTCTATCTTTCCATACATATCCTTTTTTCACCGATTCCCGCTTGTAAATGGATCTTTGGCATGCAGGTGAAGGGTGGTCGGATTAGTGACGTATTTACATGTAATAGGTCGTCTTCTCCGTTTCCTCTTAATACCGGAGAAAGAGCTGATGAGATTGGTAAGTGGCTTGATGAGCGAGAAAATGATTTATTAGACAAGGGTGTAGATCTATATGCTGATGTGCATTGTGGAGATGTCCTCCAGCTGTGTCTGTTAATGTGTGTGGGAGAAGTATCGATGTTCCCTTGCCTACCCGATGAAGGTGTTGGAGAGATTGGGGACTCGAAGAAACGTAATCGTGATGACAATGATTTTGATAAAGTTAAGAAGCCAAAATTATTGGACAGTGAAATATTTTCTCGTAAAGAAAAAGGTTTCCCTGGTATAAAAGTATCCTTAAGTCGTAGCATGATATCAAGAGTTGATGCAGTTGCGTCATTTCCTGCCCCTCCTGCTCCTGCTCCAGGTCCGGATCCTGGTTCAGGATCTGGTTCGAATTTGGAACACAAGTCTTCATCAGTAATGACTTTAAACGGTAAGTCAATATGGGAAGATATGGCTTGCTATGCAAAACACCTGACATCTTTAGAAGTATCTCCTTTTCTGTTTCAAACTGTTTATTCAGCCATCCTAAAGGCTCGTGACCAAGGCTTAAGCATGGAAGAAATCTCCAATATGATTGATGATGTGCAGCAGGGTATGTATGCAATTATATTGTTCTTTAGTAGGCTGTTCTGCATATATATATATATATAGAGAGAGAGAGAGAGAGTTGGTTTCCAGTAAGAATAGTAGTTATCATGAGAAGGGTAAGAAGGGATCTCCAGCCTTGGATCAATCCTAATTGAAAATAAATTGAAAATGCCCTTCTATGCTAATTCATGGGTTATTTTCGGACTTAAACTGAACCATTAGATCAACACTAATCAAAAGTGATCAAGGTCCCTTCTTGTATCTCTCACCTTAACTCCTATACTCACACTATCCTTCGTCTATATATATATATATATTGGGTTCACTAGTTCAGGTGAGAATAAGAGTTATGGTGAGAAGGTGAGAACAAAACCTTCATATATCTTCATTTACCTTTATTTACTTATCTTTATCATCATGACCGAAACTTTAACAAATTCATATATGTGAAAGTGATTAAATGTATGTAAAAGGTTGTGAACGTGACAAAGTGAAGATAAAGGTAGATGAAGGTAATTGAAGATAGATGAATGTAGTTGAAGGTACTAAAAATAGTTGAACAAAAATGAAGTTGGATAAAAAAGTCAACTCATCCAAAAGCAAGTGTTCTCATCATTCTCATCATAACTGTTAGTTTCACACGATCCCATGTCTATATACATATATATAGACTCAATTTTAAGGGAAAATCACAAAAAATGGAGAACTGAGGAACACGCTAATAACCCTTCATTTGTCTGGTACGTACATGTGCATAAAAGTAATTGAAAATGTTTCTTGGTTTGACTGCACATATGCATCCGGAGTGCACATGTTCATACCGGACAAATGAATGGTTATTAATGTGTTCCTTAGTTCTCCATTTTGTTGCGGTTTTCCCCTGAACCCGACGCTATATATGTGTATATATATACACACATGAATCTAATAATATGTCAACATCCTCATCCTTTTAGGGGAAAAGATAGAAGAACTCATTGTTGAGGTGCTCGAGGCATTCGGGTGTGCTTTGAAGGTTGGCTTTACAGTAACCTAGCAATTTGAAAATTTCTTGTCCTAGTTGCCTTCTAGTGGGGATTCAATTGATATTGGGGTACACACTGAATTCATCGGTTCTTTAATACATACAGGTTAATGGTTATGATTCTATCTATGTTGTTGATTCCAAATATCAATCAAAGTACTTCCTTTTGGCCACGTCTCACCAACATCTTGATAGAATGGATAGAGCTTGTTATAAGCCAATATTGCCATGGGTAGATGTAGATGGTACCATCAATGAGAATGTTTACAAGGGACTTGTACGCCGTCTTCTTGGTGTCGTGATGCAAAATCCGGGGATTATGGAGGTATGAAAAAAAAAATCCTACTTTCGAGAGCGATATATATATATATATATATATATGTGTGTGTGTGTGTGTGTGTGTGTATACTTATAAGGTCTTGTTTTAAGGATATATTTTATTATTTGTTGCAGGAGCACATCATAGGCCAAATGGATGTACTGAATCCTCAGGTATGATGCTGCACTCAAATGTTTTTTTGGTTAGTTTCAGTGCAGGCCCTTGCTTATTGTGATTGAAAAGAACTAGTAATGTTGCCTTAAAACCATGTTTATATACATGTATATATAGGGTCAGGTTCCGGGAAAAACTTATAAAATGAAAAACTAAGGAACACTCTAATCACCAATCATCTGCACATGTGCATACAAGTAATTTTTCTGGTAAGCACATGTGCATGGAAACCATAGAACATCTTCAGTTACTTGTAGATGCATGCCATACAAATGAATAGTTAGTAGGGTGTTCCTTAGTTTTCATTTTTCTGGAACCTCACACAGTCTCTCTCTATATATGGTGTGTAGGAAAGTTCAGTTCTGGTTTCCGTTTTGAACCAGGGGAAAAAGGAGAGTATGAGACACGTGGAGCACTCTCATTTGTCCCTGGTTCACAACAGAAGTTAAGTTAGCAACCGAACCTGCCCACATGTATGTATAGATATATATTTCATATTGGTTACTTATCATTTGAACACATTTTTCTCAGAGCTGTAGAAAATTGTTGGAGGAGATGATTCTAGATGGTCATATCATGGTGAGGAAGATGTACGAGTCCATATCCAACAGCCCCCCGCCCATCCTTGTTGGTTTTAAGAAACCGAAGATGGTTACGGTTTGCAGACAGCATTTCTTTGCAAACCCCAGGAGTATAAGTTTTTTGTAGTTAGTTGCTTCCTTAACTGTATATTTGTTTATTTAGCCATGCGGAAAACAGAAACTTAAATTTAAGCAGTCAAATAACTTATCACTTAGAGTAGATTACGTATTCGCTTCCGCCTTACTGTCGTATGCGGGTTTTTATGGATTTGGTTTCTAAACTTCATTTATTACGTAGAAGATATGGTGCTTTGCACACTTTTTTTTTTTTTTTAATTGAAATCGGTCGCTGTGGTTTACATCAGTTATCTTTTTTCTGTTGTGTTAACCACAGATAAATGAAGGGTATGTACGCCTTTTACTTCTTCTTTCTTTTTCCTAATAAAATACAAATAGACATATAAATGTTTTATATTTGTATTTATATTCATCTGGACAGTATTGACATGTGCAAATAAGTAATTGAAGTTGTTTTTCGGTTTTTTTATGCACGTATGCAAATGTGTATACCGGACAAATTGCTTAAAAATTACTTGTATGCATATAGGGTGGTTCAGGGGAAAATCGTAAAAAAAATGAAAAACTAAGGAACACCCGTTCATTTGGATGGGTGGTATGCACATCTGGATACAAGTAATTGAAGTTTTTATGCACGTGTGCATGTTACAATTACTTGTATACACACGTGCATTCCGTCCAAATAAACGGTTAGCAGAGTATTTTTCAGTTTTTCATTTTTTTGTGGTTTTCCCCTGAACCTGACCCCATATATATATATCCATATATAGTTATGTACCATATAATGCAACTAAAAGTACTAAGATTTTGAAGCATTTGTTGTGTTGTGTTTCCGAATGATAATAAAGGATGTTGAAAGAAAAGAGCATTATGTAATTGCAAAACTTGTAAAAATGTGTATATCATTGAGGTTTAACCTTCGTAAGAAAGTCACATTATGTAACAACAATGGTTGAGCCGGGATCATAATGACGAATTTATTTAAAAGTTAGTCAAGATTCAATCAAATTTGAAATGTAAGATTCTTTCAAGATGTCATGATGTGTATTACTTCATCCATTATTTTTACATAATCCAAATATCATCCTAATTTGAGAAAAACTAATCAGTATATTCAACTGGCAATAAGGCTTCGACCGTCACCGGTTTGAGTCCACCAACGCCATTAGAGATTTTTTTGACTATTTTCTAGAGCCCCTAGAATTAGTTGATATACGAGTAAGTTGACTCAATCACTATTAACATAAAATTAAATTCTCTTCTTAAAAAAGGCGTATGCAAATTGCCTCTCAACCAAAACAAAATGGTAACTATAAATGGTTCATAAGTAGAACATGCTTTTGATTAGGTTTTCAAACCCAATTAGAAGCTGGATTTTCGATACTCTTGCATGCAGTTGACGCTAAGAGTCATGAAAAAGAGTCGACTGTTTTCAGGCCATCGCTTTTTTTTTTCTTTAACTTTAAAATCCACATAATTAATGATGTTTACCATAATAATCGGTTCCCGATAACTTTTATAGGTATCTTGTTCGATTATAAAAATAGTGCAAGGAACTTAGGTGCCGTTTGGTTCATGGAATTCGAATGAACTGGAATGACAAATTCTTTTGACTAAATTCCAATTACTTTGTTTGATTCATTTGTTGAAATGGATGAAATCCTTCAAATTCCACAAGTTAATGAATCCATTATTTCTTAATATAATGGAAGGAATTGAATTCCATCACCACCCACCACGACCATGATACTATTGTTCGTCATGCCCCACCACCATGACCATGCTACTATTGTTCGTCATGCCCCACCACCACACCGCTACTGTCGCCGCCACCCACCCACTCACCCACATGAGTGAAATGTAAAAAACGCAAAAGCTCATTACCTATTTTAAATAAATAATATGTATAGTTGAAATTTTTTTGTAAACCTTCCATGGACTTGGCAAATAACACTTTTTGTAATATTAAATGGGCCAAGTAATCATCAAAAAATATTTTTTATAATTAAAAAAATGAGTAATTACCAAATTCCCCAATTCCTAAGTTACAATAAATTAGGGTTTGTGTTGTGCAATTACTCGTTCTGAATTTTGGAAAAAATAGTTGTAATGCATATGTATTATATATGAACAACGAGAACATGGTAAAAATAAAACAAAAAGGTTAGCCAAATCATATGTAAAAAATCTTATCAAATACGGTTGATACAACAATGTAAAATCACATGTAATGTAATGTAATGAAATGATGATGTTCTTTTATTTGTTATCAAGTGTTGAGTGTTATTTTTATGGTATATCGATACTTGCTGTATATATATATATATATATATATTTATTTATATGAATAGAGAATTGAGCCGACTCGTTCTCGTCAAAGAAATCTCTCTTTCAGACTTTCTTTCTAGTTTCCCTCTCGATCGAGTTTTCTTGTTACTGCCTGCCACCCACTCTGCTCTTACTTTCTATTACAACCCCTTCCTCTATGATCTGATCATTCAACCTCATTCTGTCTTCCCTTCAATTTTGATGATGGCGGATAATTCCTCCTCATCCCCAATTCAATCCACCATCACCAACGCCACCACACCCATGGATCAACAACAACCACACCAATCCATATCTCAAAACCTCCCTTCTTCCATCGACTCCAGCATTAATCAAATCACCTCAACCCCATCATTATCATCCCAACAACAACAAATCCCACAAGTTTCATCATCCAACGTTCTATCTCAACAACAACAATTACTTCAACAACAGCAACAGCAACAGCAGAGTAATTTGATGACTACACCCAATTTCCAAATCCATCAGCAAGGTTTACAGCGATCTCCCTCCATGTCGCGCTTGAATCACATGCAACAACAACAGCAGCAGCAACAACAGTACAATTTGACTGCCGGTAATGCTGCCAGAATTTATGGGCAGATGAATTTTGCTAGCAGCCAGCAGCAGTTGCCACAGCAGCAGCAGCAGCAGCAACAAACCCAGAATCAACAAATTGGTCAGATGGGTAATGCCACCTTAACCCGCTCAGCTTTGATGGGTCAAACCGGTCATCTTACAATGTTGCCCGGTCAAGCTGCCGCCGCTGCTCAGCTTAATTTACAATCCCAATTATTAGCATCGGTAATAGTTCTCAAACTAGTAAAAGCAATAAAGGCTTTCTATCAGTATTATAGGTTTATGCTTCAGTTGAAATTAAAAAAAGGGGGTTAATTTGTTTGATCAATTTATGCCTGATATGTTGTGTCAATTTGTGGGTTCAGCCAAGGCAGAAAGCTGGGTTAGTTCAAGGGTCTCAATTTCATCCAGGAAATACACCTGGACAATCATTGCAAGGAATTCAAATGGGGATGAATATGATGGGATCTTACAATTTGAATTCTCAAATTAGGGCAAATGGGTCTCTTGCTTTCACCCAACAAAGGATAAATCAAGGGCAGATGAGACCGCAATTGACCCAGCAAAATGCACTAGCATCTAGTCAGGTACAAAGATTATCTCAAAACTTTATTCTCTTGGGTGATGTTAAGCTTAAGATGCATGAAAGACTATCATATTCATCTGTTTGGTTTATGCTAGTGTAGGAACTGCCCTGTGATGTTTCTGTAAGAAGATCATATAAGATGATACCTGTTGATATTTTTGGAAGATTTAGGGGTTGTTTGGTTGGTTTTCCATTAAAATTTGTGTGGATTAATCTGTCTGTAGAGATTGGGAAGGTTTTTTTATTAGGAGGGGGAGCTTTGGAGAAAACTTGGCTTTCTGCATAAAGCTTCCTTTAAGAGCTTACTGAATAAGCCACTTTCTATATTACCAAACCGTCATGTATTGATGACCGAATAAGCTGTGAGTCTCATTAAGCTCCTAACAAACATGCCCTTGGTACTATATACTTCTTTCTATAGAAAAATAAAAAGCATGCATACAGCTTTTGGTCAATTCTATGGTTTTGATGTACCACATGGCAAGAAAAGTTAAGTTGTAGCTTCTTGGCAGTTGTAGTTATGATGAACTAGTCATAATAAATTGACAGATTAATGCTTTGATTTATAGAGATGTAATTCTTCATAGGATCAGGAGATTCATTTAAGCAGATGCATTAAGGTATATGATCATTTATTGCAAGTGTAAGTTAGGGTTTGCTTCAAGTTTGTGCATAATAAGATGGACAAGAACTTTGTTTTTGAAATAACTCACTCCTCAAGTTGGTTTTACCAAGAGAAATGATAAGTTGGATAAGAAACTTCGTTGGAAGTGGCATGCACCACAGTTCTTAGGTGACTATGTTCATCATAGGGCTGCTTTGGGGGCAACTCTTTCTTTGAATGTGATCTGTTTTAACAATGCAATTTTGATCATATGAATCGTATAATGATACAAAATTATCCCATAATTATTAGTTTCTAGTGTTGGTAACATCTCAAAGTATTCATCATGTACTGTTGGTATGTGAGGATATCATATGAAGACAATATTCTTTCCCCTTCTACAATTTATCTGATTCATTTTTATCTTTCCATGGAATCTTGCCCATTCTCTCTGAGAATAAACTAAGTTAACAAGAGGCGTAGTGGAATTGGAGTACCTGAACAAACCTTCATGTCGAGATGAGGGGATGGATACAATGAAGGGCAATACAGCTAATCATATCTTTTCTTTTTTGAAGTATATGATATATGGCAAATACTCACACACATTCTTCACCTTTGGTGAGGTTTGAACCCTTGACCTAGGAGACTGGACTGCACCATAACCCGGGTACCGTTGGGTCAATGACCCTCTGGTGTACCCATTTTATCTTTCTGATGTGATAAGTTGCATATGACTAATGAATGTTTCCTATTGTAACAAACTCCTGGGCCTAGTAAGATTGTTTTTAAGTGATCACTGTTTGGTCTAGTACTTAATGGAAGGTCCATTCCTTAAGGGAAAATTAACTCATTGCTCTCTCGCAACATTTTTTCTTGAGTTACTCCATTCTATCTGTAGTGTGCTAGCAGCCTTTCAGTGAGAGACGAATTACGTAATTAGGAATTGCTTCAGTTAACTCATGTCTTCATGACTTGTTCATGTTCCATTGCAATCTATTTGTATATACTTCTTTGCTAGGTGGATTCCTCCAAGTGTGTTAACCATAAATCCATGCTACTTATTGGAGATGTGTGGGCACCAATCCTGATCAATGTAAACTGGTTGTTAAACGCCAATTGCATTGGGTTTAACATTATTCGTGACTGTATCGGGTGCTATTACGTAGCATTAGAAAACAAAATTGGTGCTTATTCACTAAGCTTGAGAGGAAATGCCATCTATAGTCCTTGGTCTTGTATGCACATTTGCGCATATGGGCTGATATGCTTCTTGAGGGGTTCCACACTCCTAAATCCCAACCACACTTCACAGCAACACAGAAAAAACACTAGGGAGCAAAAAACCCGAGACAAAAATTAGATTATTGGAATTAGTTTTCCCACAAAATCAGAAGAATGTAGTCTCTAATCTCTTATCTATCTCAAGCCTAACCTTTCTTGCACAGATCACCATGGGAGGAAAGAAGGAAGATGATGAGAAATATATAACATAAGTACTGCAAATAGGTGACTGCAACGAAATATGTTGCCAGCTATTTTGCCATCTTAGGCTTCCATTTTCCCCTAATCTAGGAGCTAAACGAAAGGCTCTTAACTAAGGATGAAATGAACCAGTCTTATTGATCCTCTGCTATTTTGTTAGCGGATATTTGATTCATCAAAATGTATGAAAGGGTTTCTTACTGTTAAATAGGAGGAAAAAGGATCTGCCTTGCTAAACAATAACTACTATTAGTATCTCTTATAAAAAAGATCAGCATACTTTGTTTTTTTACGCCTGCCTTTTAGATTTGCTGGGAACTCGGCACAATTAGTTGTCATCAGTTGTTTATATTCGGGGAAGCAAGTATGCAACTTAAATTTTCCTTTCCTTTTCAGTAGAGTATATTAGAAGACGTTTTTGACATAGAATCCTTTTATGAAATGTGTAAATGGACTAATTGTAACTGACACTTGAAAAACATGATTTTACACTACTTAATAATGATCAAGAATTACAACTCCGCCATGGTATGGCAGTAATGATGGTGTAAAAAACAAAAGAAGTTAGGAAAATGTGTAGTGCTGGTCTTACTCTTGAAGTGTGTTCCCTAGAATGGAACTGAAAAAAGATGCAATTCTCTTTACTTTTATCATTTTCTAGAAAGGAGACTTATACCATTGGTTTGAAGTTAGGAGAGATAGGGGTAGATCAACATAACACGGGGAAAAGTAGAAATTTGATGGAAGTGTTGGTCTGGAAGGATACTATTCGTGTACAATATCTCTCGGAGGGGATACCTCTTTCCAAGTTATCATAAACCTTTTCCTCATTCCATATGGTTTGGATCGAAAGATGTTGGTATTGTTGTTCATGGTTTTTAATTGTTGTTAGATTAATATATACAGTCTGCCACTCAACTATTTACCACTTCGGCATTTAGATTTGGAAATACTTGGAAACAATCTTTTTTGTGCATTAAAGATATCCAAACTAACGTTCTCGTCAGATATATACCGTTAAACGGGTCGTGTCATGACTTTTTCCATATTTGAGTTGAACCGTTAATTTGTTTTTTCCCAATATTCAACAAATTGAAGAAGTTTTTGGCAGTTAAAATCATGGAACAATCTTTAGAAAGAAAAAAAAGAATGTTGGAGGAAATAAAGAAGGTGAAGATGAAGTAATTTTTCTTGTCATGGCTTCTGCACAAATTTCAACAAGCAAAAGGGTTCATCACCACTTTCAACATGCAAATGATTAGATTCCAAACCTCTTTGAAGTTTTGGATGGACTGTTGGACCTTACTTGAAGGCAATAGGACTTGCTTTCGAACCCAAATTTGGGTTATAAAGTCGAAACTTCTTCATCTTCAATTTGTTTTAGAAACCCAAACCTAACTCGGGATGACTGAGATGTGGGTTTGAAGATGAAGATGAGGTTTTCGTTTTTCAAATACCTTTTTAATTTTTTCACCCATAACTATATCGAAACCTAGATCTAGGTTTGATTTTTTACCCGATTGGGTTTTGATTTGATTTTTAGAATCATTTTTTTAATGATTTCAAATGCAACAAAATTGGCAAGTGACGAGGCAGACAAAGAAGAATTAAAAATGAAGATGAAAAAGATGGAGGGATAAGTGACTATTTTGCTCTTGAAAATGGTTATTTAATGGTGTCTTGTTGATGGAACTATTAAATTGGATGGTTTTCTGTGCACAACTTTTTCCCCAATTGGGTTTTGATTTGATTTTCAGAATCATTTTTATTTAATAATTTCAAATGCAACAAAATTGGCAGATGATGAGGCAGACAATGAGATAGAAAGATGAAGATGATGAAAAAGATAATGGAGGGAAAAGTGACTATTTTGCTCTTGAAAACGTTTACTTAATGGTGTCTTGTTGATGGAACTATTAAATAGGATAGTTTTTTGTGCACATAAATTCTGTCAAGTGACTGAAAGCGGGATTCTATTGGCAAGTGGCAGAGTGTTGCTTGTCGAATTTTCCAGTGGCAGGCTGTGTACTGTTACTCTTGTTATTATTTTGACTGGAGGAAGTATATTGTTTATGGTGAAACTCACATGGAGGTTTAGTGCCAGCTTGCTGGAAGTGGGTCTGCAGTCTGCTTCTATATATATATATATATATGCATATTTTGTGGTACCCCTACCTCCGATGTTAGTATTTCGGTGAAAATGAAAAAGGGGTATGACTATTGTCCCCACTCCTGAACTTAATGCTTTGAGGGTGCAATTCTTCGACAACATGACATGGTTCACACGACGTGTTTCCTTGATTGTATATTCAAATTGCGTACCACAAATAGATAAGATATGGGATTGGGATAAGGAGGAAATTTTGGTCTTGCCGTAAGAAAAGAATAGGGGATGACAATTCACAAAGTACAAGTTTGACCAAAAAAAGTGTGATAGACAAAGCTTAAAATTTAAATCAGAGTTAAAGGTCAAACATACTTCTTAGCAATAGAGGAGGCAGGGCGGAGCGGCATCCTTGAGAATGGTGCAAAAAGCTATGAGGGGTTGTGGATCTCTTTCTTCATGAGCGTGAGGTGGAAGCAATACTTATAAGTAGATGATTTCATTAATGATAATGTTGGGGATATATCATGAGGATTTTCTTATTTAGGCAGTTTTATCATTGTATTTACAATTTGTTAATTTCAATCTTAGACCTCTTCCTTTTTGGATATGAACTATAAAATATGAAGTTAACTTGTTTCTTTTATTGGTTTTATATTAGACCAAAAATGTGTGCATCCGGTATTCTTAATTTTCTCTTTGAAGTTATCGCATCTTTGTGTCCATGTAGACGCATTTGGATCCTTGCAACATGTTCTCAGGGTGCTTTGGTGTTTATATAAAAATTTAAAGTGTCCCATTTGGTTTTGCACAATTTTTTAAGAAAGTTAAGAGCTACATACAACTGAATTTATATAACTACACTTTTAGGTGGTGAGCCTGCTCATGACATCAAAAGATGAAAAGGTTGTGGTTCCGTAACTGAATTCGACTTTAGAGAACTTGAACATGGGAAACAGCACTTTCGAAAAGGATTGACGGAGTATTTCTTATTATAGGTGTTTATTGGATGTGAGATTTTCAGTGAGTACTAAATAACAACCACCGGTTCTTTTTTATCTCCTCTTGTTGGCATATGCTAAAAATAAGATCTATCAGAAATTTTAAAGGTGTGAATCCATTAGAATCTAGAAGATAAATATCTACTTTTGATACATAGTTTTGTCCGGTATGTGTGTGTGTATATATATATATATATTTTTTTATGACGTATATATTTGGTTGCTTGGTAACAAATACATTAATGGCAGGAGGAAAGTAATATTGGATAATTAGTATAAGTATATTTCTGTAAAGAAGTTTAACCCGAGCAAAAGAAAAAATCGGACAACATAATCCTTTTTACTTTTATACCCTTGCTGATTTCATTAGATTGATTTATGAATTTTAATTTTAGAAATTGCAGGCACAGAGTCTATCGCGGACGTCATTCATGAACTCACAATTGTCAGCATTAGGTCAAAATGGACAATTAGCTATGATGCAAAATAATCTAACCCAACAACAGTGGTCAAAGCAAATGCCATCGATGTCCGCACCCAATTCTCCCTCATATCGATTTGCACAACAGAGGCAACAACAAGCACTTTTGGGACAACAACTTCCTTCTTCTCAATTGCACAATTCTATGTCGTTGAATCCGCAACAGTTATCTCAAATGGTTCAACATCAGCAGCAGCAACAACAACACCAGCAGCAGCAACAACCAATTGGGCACCAACAGCAACAGCTTTTGCAGCAGCAGTCACCAAGAATTGCAGGATCGGCAGGCCAAAAATCTCTAAGTTTGACTGGATCGCAACCTGACGCAACTGCATCTGGGACAACCACACCTGGTGGAAGTTCAAGCCAAGGGACAGAAGCCAGCAATCATCTTCTCGGTAAAAGGAAAATACAAGATTTGGTTGCACAGGTGGGTTTGCATCGTTCGATAGTGTCAAGATTCTGCATTTATATTAGGGTTATTAATGAGGATGACCTTCTGATAGATTCTTTTTAAATGCATGACCTGTTGACGGATCCTGAGACATTTTTGTGTTAGACAAAAGCGTTCTTAAATATGTCAGAGGATTCTTCTTCTTCTAAATAACCCATTAAAATTAGGGGGTGTCGATGTTTGAATATCAAGAATGACTTGCAATAACTAGTTTTTGTGGTTTGTTGATTCCTGTTTTTCCCCTAAAAGGTAGATCCAGTTTTTCGATTTTAAGCGTTTTTTTTATGGTCAAGAGTCAAGACTCTCAATTCTGCGGGTATCTTTCATCTAGTGAATTTTGTATGAAATTATTCACATGTAATGCCTGTTTCAATTTTCAGATAGATCCAAATGCGACTTTAGATCCCGAAGTTGAGGATCTTCTTTTGATGCTTGCTGATGAATTTATCGATTCGGTGAGACTTGCTAAGCTGTACTATACGAAGTTTATTATATCGGTATGGGATTGTGTTTCAATGTGGTCTGCATACGTCCAACATATCATTCGTATCAAGATTGATCTGTGACTTATACACCACTATTTGCAATCAGAAATTTAGCATATTAGTTATGGTTCCCTATCCAAAATCTTAGTCTTTACAAAATAGATAGATGCTTATATGCTTGAAAATCTTAAAATTAAATGTATGTATGTATATATATATATATACTCTATTTTTCTATCCTACAGGGGGTCTTAATATTTTTCCATGTTCCTTTTAGGTGATTAGTATCCCAGATCTACAGTTTTCAGTTGTGGCACTAACCACCCTTGCCCGCAGTTATTTATTGATTGGTTCCTTTTATTAACCTTTGTATTATAATAGCTGTTGGGTTTTTAAAAGCTGTAATCTGTCTCATTATATTTTAAGAAATAAGAACCCTCGACACCATAATTATAAATCATAATATGATTTAACTGAATCACTTCGAAGATATGCTCCCAAATCAACATTCTGTACTTACCATGGTCAATCTAATATGTATTCTCTGATTTCCTTGGAAAAGATCAAGGGAAAAAGGTGTTCAATGATTGATCTAAATAAAAAAAAGCAAATTACATATGATTAAAATTGCATGACTTGTAAATTTACTCTGCTTGGTATTTCATCCCCACTGCTGATGCCTGTTCGATCTCAAGACCAGCAGGAAAGCATTCACAGTTGATCATATAAGCAATGCCTAAACTTGTTGAAGTTTGTGATGTTTAAGGTCCTTATTTGGTGTATTTAAGCCATAATGTTTCAAAATTAAAAGCTAGGTGGCGACTGGAGTATTCCAGTTTAACTCATGTTTGCCTGGGAGTCAAATCATCATGGTTGCAACTCAAATGTGTGTGTGTGTATATATATATATATATATATATATATATATAAAGAGAGAGAGAGAGTGAGTGAGGTTCAGGGGAAAACCCCCAAAAAGATGAAAAACTGAGGAACACCCTAATAACCGTTCATCTGTATGGTATGCACATGTGCATACAAGTTTGAAGATGTTTCCTAGTTTCTATGCACGTGCATACTGGAAAAATTACTTACAACTTACTTATATGCACATGTGCATACTGTACAAATGAATGGTTACTAGGATGTTTTTCAAATTTTCATTTTTTTGTTGTTTTCCCCTGAACCTGACCATGTGTGTGTGTGTGTGTTTGCGCTATATACATTATTGTGACTTGCCATTGGGAAGTTTATAACAACTTTAGCTCTGTGGTTGTGGATTTTTGTAGGTTACTACATTTGGAGCTACCTTGGCCAAACATCGCAATTCATCAATTGTGGAATCGAAAGATGTGTTGCTACACCTTGGTATGTGCTTATTCCTGACACATTGCAACTATTTACAAAAACCCCAGCCCTTCGCATATTTAGTGAGTATCATAGTGGGGTTTTCTTTAAGTATATCCGCAAACACTCAGGCGCACTCCTCACTTTTGACGAAGTTTGAACCCTTGATCGCCTGGGAGGCTGGGCTCTACCGGTAACCTGGGTATCATTGGGCCAATGACCTTGTGGTTATATCGTAGTGGGTTGAACTCCATGTACTTGCCAATGCATTTAGTTTCAGTTCAACATAATGTCACTATATCGTTGATTGACTTCTAGGGGCATCAAGTGCGTTAAATGTTATCGGTTTGGCATCTTGCTCCCCCCCCCCCCCCTTCATGTTGATTGAATGTGGGGTCTAGTTAGAGTAGGGTTCATGGACACATCCTGTCTGTTTGTCAGATTGACGAGCCTCCCACCTCTTGGGTCAGGTCTGGCATATGTCCGGCCATATGGATCCGAAGTGGGTCATGGACCTTGGGCTTGTTGGGCCACTCAGGGTATCCGACCCTAGCATTCCCCAAAAAAATTATTAAATGCATGTTATATCTTACGTTTTGCAATTTGACTTGCATTTTTATCGAGGGCACTGCAAAATGCATCCATAATGTCTGTTCGATTTTCCAACCAAGGGCCTGTTTATTTCTTTTTCTATTAACCCCTGAACGGATTAGGCTGTCTCTATGGATTTAGACAAGTAGTTTGTATTTTGTGTCTAGAGTAATGGTCTTGACAGCACAAATTGACCATTTTACCCCTTTGTCAAGGTGCTTGACCTTAGACCAAGAAAACAATATCATACCCGTTTTACCCCTCTTTAAGGGGAGCAGCAGCTATGTTGGAGGGAAGGAAAGAGGTCTTGGTTTTTTTTTTCTTTTCTGTGAATGGGAGATGGAGAAAGGGTATTTAATCCAAGGTTATTATAGGAATTGATGTGGCTGAATGCATACAGGACCGGGGCAATGGCTGATTGATTTGAGCCAAATTGGCTACCGGCTTATTCATCAAGTTGTAAGCGAACGTCTACATATGGCTGGTGAATAAGCTCTCCATACCATCAAGCCCATTAAGCCACAAACAACCAACCCTTAAGACCTGTCTGGACTAAGATGTCTCTGTGCTTTATGATGTCTATTTATGATCAGTTGTTTGTTTTATGTGCTTAATAAACGGTAGGGGTGCTCATAGGATTGAAGATTTTAACCCTAATAAACGGTATGAATGACATAAATGACCATTTTAACCCTCTCCTCAAACAACCACTTTTAAACACTTCAGTTTACATAGTCTCTGTTTAGCAATGTAAGAATTAAACTCATCTCCTCTACTTCACCAATCGCATGAAACTGAAATTGGGATTTCATCAATAAGGCATAATTAACCGATGAATGCAAAAAGATCAAATAGCTTTAAATTGGGGAACTACCCACCTTACAAATCAATGATATAATGTGACAAAAATTGAATTAATTCAACAGTATAAGGATGACGGTAGCGATGTGTTCTATTGTTCTTTACGATTCTGTAATATGTGCAGAAAAAAACTACAAATTGACGATTCCTGGGTTCTCAAGTGAAGAGAGGAAACAAGAACAAAATCACGTAAGCTCCTTTCTTTATGCTATGCTTATTGCTATCCGACTTCATATTTATCTACTTATAATTGCTACTTTCATGTTAAACCTAATCACATGTGATTTTACTAGAAACTTACGTGTAAAATCACATGTGATTATGTGCAAAATCACACCCTTGCTTTGACCGTGTTCCGTAATCACATGTGATTTCAGTGCAAAATCACATGTAAATTACCCGTTCTCGTGTTCTCTTATTTTGACTATGTTCTCGTTTGATCCTCCCTCAACTTATGTATGTATTTATCTTTCTATTGTATTTGTGATTGGAACTAAAATCCAATTTCTTCTGGAACTAAATATGCAGACCCCGAGTGATCTCCACAAGAAGCGTCTGGATTTGGTGAGCGATCGATCATATCATATATTTCTCGCTTTTGATATTGTAATCGTTTTTTCTTTGATAACACGAACATGATCGATTCAGATACAAGGACTGATGGAGAACTCATACTCTGAAACAAACATGACTAATAATTCTAAGGAAGTAGTAGTTACTCGACAGGACCACCCTCGAAACCAATTCGGTGGCAATCAGCAGAGCAGACCTTCCCCGAGTTCAGACCAGCTCAACCCTCATTCTCAACACAAACAAGGGTTCGATGGCTACTAGTTGTGATGTCGAACCGCGGTGCTCAAGTCAGGTCCAAAACCTGTTGCCTTTTATTGCAAACTTGTACCTTTTCGTATGCACATACTCGTTACTTTTTTTTTTTCCTTCTTTTCGTGCTTCTTATCACAACACATACTCTTGCACAAGTCGGGGGTCTTAACGGAACAAATGCTCTACTCTCTTAGGATAGAGGTCAGGTCTGTATATATCTCACCCCCTAAACCTGGGGTGGACCTACATTGATTGATACGGTGGCATGGGCCAGCGCTTCATGGTTCCGTCGTAAGGGAAAAAAGTACATTTTTGAAGGTAACACAATATTATTTTGTTGGGTGCCACCATATAGTCTTTGAAACTGAAATTTAAGCACAAGACTTTGATGACGGAGATGGTTAATACTTTTACCTTTGTAGAAAAGAACCGGGTTCGAGTTCACAGGTGTCAAAATTGTTAATTTTTAGCCTAAATTTTGGTGTTTTCTATATACCTTTTGTGTTTCTAAAAAGATATGTAGGGAGGACTCAACATGGGTGTCTTCTATGGAAGGACAAAGAACTAACCAACAGATCTATGCTAATATTATGAAATTCTTCTTTAGATATTTATAGTTAAATTGTGTCATCACTCAAAAAAAATCTGTCTCTGTCTCTGCTTTAAGCCTACTTTCGAGTGGGATTTAGTGGGTGTATTTGGTTTGGTTTGTCTTAGTGATTGTATGTGGTATGTTTTTGCAGATTGGAGGATGTGGAAGTGTATGATATAGAGAAGAGGGAGGGAGGTAGTTTGAGTTAACAGACAGACACAAACACTATAGTTTTACAAATTGTGGTTATTATATGGATGGATGGATGGATGTTGTTGTTTTGTTTGCAACTGTTTTTAGCATCATGTGTTGAGATCCTCTTTGTTTCTTATTTTCATTGCATAGCTTTACAGGTTTATTTTAGGAACCCATTAAACATCTATCTTTCTTGTGAGTATTTAATTTATGATGACTTGATACCCTCGGACCAATAACCCTTTGATTAGAAATAATTCAAATTGTGGAGTGTCCATTGGTTCTACATAAACCAAATAAAGGGTAAATGTTTATGAGGTGTCAGTTACCTAACTTACCTTATTGGGTGAGCATTGAAAATCTTACCTTTTTTTAATTAAGAAAGAATCTTGTAAACATGTTATGTATTAGTGGACACAAGAAAAGCCACCCAATCAGCCTTTTAGTTTGTAAGGAAATGAACTGGTTTTGGGAGAAGAGAAGAGAGGAGGAGCAAAAGAAAGGTGATTTGAAATAGTAGCAACAGAGACACAGTAGCTGACTGTAACACGTACGACCATCACTAGCGGATAATGATATGTCTTGTTTGACCAACACCAATGGTCTATTTGATTACACGTTGATTTTCTTTGTTTGCAATGCTTTTCTTACACTCAACTCAACTTTACTTGAACACATAATAAACCAATCATAATTTTTTTTGTAAAAAAACATCCATGTATTTGTTTCTTATACTTATACTCATCACGGATTCGAGTGCTGTTCTAAATATTAACATTCTTTTCATTCTGTTTTCATGTTACAAGATATATATATTTCTGGAATTTGAATTTTTCTTAAATGATTAAACCCCTTATACATACAAGAATACACCCTCGTATATACAAATTATTTACTCACACGCATCAATATCAAAACTCATTTTTTACATTTTTAACTTGATGAATAAAGTCGGATATAACACCACCCTTGTATAATATCAAAATTTTCCGACTACGGTGACTTTTTGCTTAAACGACCGACAAAGTATCTATGTTTTTAAGTTCGATAATAAAAATTTCCTATTTCCTCTACCGAAATAACTTCCATCCTGCACCATACGCAACTCACATGGGCTCTTCTTCTTGTGGGGTAGCAGACTCCATGTTACTTGCACTCGCTTGCTCTTCCTGGTTGCAAGTCCCAGCCCATACCATGTCCGCAAACTCATCACCATTTGTTATAGCAAGCAGAGGGTCCTCGACCATCAGCGCGCTAGGGGACCGTTTTGCTAGCTCCCCTGCAATTAAAGTCGAACTCGAGCATATTCTTTTCACGTCGTATCTGCTAATATCAAAGTTGGTTACCGCACTTGTCCCCCTGAACTTTATGGCTGCTATATCGTAAGCTTCCGCTGCTTCCTCTTGTGTACCTATAACATATCCCAAGTTGTAACAAAATAAGTGATAAATCGGTCATGTTTGGTAAAAACTAGCTCATAAACTTCATAACAATGTAAAATAATCTAAAAGAAAAATAAGTTTGAGGGGATGTTCATTTAGGAACCCAAAACCACCATCTTTTGTTGGTATTCATGAAAGAATATATCCATCATGAATATTCACAAAAAGGGTTGTTTCTCTCAAAGTTGCAATGAGTTTATATTGTAAGTTAGTTTATTTTATGGCCAACTGAACGGAACTGCTCAGAAAATAAGATAGCTTATAAGAATAGACAGATGAAAGGCTGGTTGTACAATGACGGAACTTACTGAAAGTACCAAGGTACAAGTCCTTATTGCCTGCAACCCTCCCGATCCGAGCTTGCCACCTTCCATGTTGATGGTGCCTGCAAAATGATCAAGGACCTTTAATCACAAGATCCTTCACATTCGTTCTATGATGGTCCGTAAAACTTCACATAAAAACCATAAATATCTTGAAATCCAACTGCTACATTGAGCCGAATAACCCTAAAAAAGAACGATCATTATTATTATTATTATTATTATTATTCTTGATGGTTATGGTTATCTATCATCACCATCCACAATGAATAATGTATGATTTGATGGTTCCTGGATTCACAGAAGTATTTACGGTTTTCATTTGTAACCCTTTGATAAAACATGTCAGATTTGCATGGGGTTATCATGAAAAAGAAGACTTTTTGTTTTTTATTGACACTATTTATTTTATGAGAAAAACTGTGAAATGAGTTGGCCATTTGAGATTGAGATTGAGATGGTAACCCCACAAAAAAGCAACTGCAGAGATCATATAATGTTTTGTCATCAAGAAAAAAGTTGGGCTTTTTCATATGTGCCCCCTACAAAGCAGCAGGCGAATTCCGTGGCTCCTCTCTACATATCATATGTCCTTCCGGATTCAGCTAATGAAACCTCTTACCTTGTGACTCCTCTGTACATGGATGCTCCTCTCGAAAACCCACTGCTTTTCCTGTATTCATTTTCACATCAACAAAATCAAAAATATATCCTGTTAGCTTTCATTTTTATTTTTATAGGACCAGCTGTTCTATGAACATGTTCAATTTATATCCATAACAGATTTTTTTTAAATAATGTAAAAGAAAAAGACTTCATTTTTACAAATTCCCAAGGAAAAAACTTGTTTATATCGTCCAAAAGCATTCTATCAACTTATATTAACATTTTTATATAAGACGCCAATTGTTAGGTTCAATAAAACAGTCTTGATAGATATCCACACATATTTTGATGTATGATAGATGTTACTACCTTCTTAAGTTGGCAACAAATTCTTGCCTGCTCATGTTCTTCATCTCCTCCAGTTCTTTCTCGTATATGGCTAGCTACATCACCATCATACAATCAATCATTTAAGGTCGGATCGCACGAATACTTCTATACTTCTATACTTCTAGGTAGGTGTGTGTGTGTGTATTCGATCAAATCAAACAACTCACAGAGAAATTGATATGTGTAGTAGGACCCCAGTATTTAAGAGCAGCCAAATCATAAGCTCTTGCTGCTTTCTCTTCTTGATCATATCCCCCTGAAGATCATATACTCAATTAGCAAAACACAACCACCAAATTCGGTTTCTCAAACAACCCATCCCAGAAATATCAACATGGTTTTGGTGTCCTAATAGATTACTTTTTAATAGATTTGTATGTCATATCTAAAAGTGTTGTAATAAGTTTATAGAATAGAAACCGGCTTTTGAACAAGATTTTTAGAACAATTTTGAAACAAAAATGTCATATTACGCATCTTTTTATACGTCTTGACAGGCCTTTTTAGAGACACTTTGTTTCAAACACCTCTAGGCAGTACCCACAAGTAAAGATGTGCTCTTGATTTGAATCGAGTTAAGGAATCGCTACCGACTAAAATAAACGGTTAGATTCTTGAAAGAATGAAGCAGCTGCCAGAAGTAGAGTCTCCGGAGGGACAAATATCGACTTACCAAGATAAACTGAGGACGACGATGATGATCGGCCGGGGAACGCGTTGCCGGAAAACCACATGAAAGGAAACGGAATCAGACGTGAATCGATGGTATTATCAAAAAGACTCCAAAAAACATCCTATAAAATGATGGTTTTGGTCATGTCTTATAAACAAGTCCCATTTGGTCCTAGTGTAAAATGGAAGATGGAGGTTTACCTTGGCGACCTTTTCTGGTTTGACCTTCTTTCCGGCAACTATTATCCCACAAATGAGCTTCATATCTTCCCGTCCACCGGTGCCGTGTAACGCCACGATACCGGGAAGTTCTTTGGCCAAAATTATCGACTGATTTGCGAGCAACTGTTACTGCTTTGCTGTTTTTCGTTGATGATTTCGTCTGCACCATTCGTTTCCGGGTATGCGCCGTAGGAGAGTCTGATGGCATGGAGATGATGGCGGTCGGTGGTGTCACCGCCAGTGACAAACACTTTTGGTAATCGTTGTTGTTGGGTTGTTCACGACTAGTTTGTACTGATGGTGGCGGCGGAGGTGATGGTTGTCGTAACCAAGATTTGAACTCTGATATTGGAGGGATTGCAACATCGACTTCGTTTGTCGTTGCTGGGATCAAACAATTCGGAAGTGGGTTTTGGTCTGTGGTGGCGGTGGTGTAATAAGGGTAACCATAGTATAACAGACACGGCGGTGGAGGCGGAGGCGGAGGCGGAGGCGGAGAGAAATAGCAATCGGTGGCATCTCTAGACTCCACAATATCATCATCATCATCATCATCTGTAAGAAGATATTCCCGATAGTGAGAGTTGGGAGATATGTTAACGTTGATAGTGGCACCGGGTTGATCCTGTTGTGCAGTGGTGGAGTAAGAAGCGGCAGCGGCTTCATCCGGTTGTGCAGTGGTGGAGTAAGAAGCGGCGCCCAAGAAATCTTCTAGCTTTGGAGCAGCGTCGCCATTTTCAAACCTCCATTCTAGCATCAAGAAAAGTAATGAGAAATGGAAGCAGAAGCTAAAAGCTAAAAGCTAAAATCTAAAATCTAAAAAGAAAGAAAAGAAGCAACCTTGATGAGGGTGGATAGGCATAACCGGCATGGAAGAAGAATGGTGGTGGTGGATGGAAAAACCCAACCAATGATCGGACATGGAGATGGAGATGGTAAACAAAATTTGGTTGCAGAATCTAATAAGTGAATCAGAGGTGTGATTGTTGGTTTCTTCTTCCTCCTCGATTCTCGTTCCATCTTTTCATTTTTTTCGTCTTTCTTTCTGACACCCTCACCCTCACCCTCACCCTCAATTATTTCTTTTTCCTCAAGAACCCAATTTCATCCAAATCCATACCCATATTTTACACTACATTTCTACCTTCACATCAAATGTCTCATATTCCGTATTGATATTTTCTTAGCAAAAACCTATTTTTACAAAAAAAAAAAACTGAACCTTGTTTCATTGAAATCAAAAGAAAATTATTTTTTCTTCATTCATTTGAGACGTGTATCTTTGACCATCACATTCAACATGTTGGTTCTTAATTACTAACTCTTATCTTCCGATTGTTAAAGAAACCGGTCTATAAAGCTCATTGAGGTTAGCTATCAAATATCTCTTTTTGTTATCTCTTGTGGATAGCGTTTATGTTCTTCTATGGGCTCTTTTGCTTCATAATTTGGGCTGCACCTGCCTCTTTCTTTGCTTCCAATTTTATTTTCATATATAGTCTCTGTATGCTTCTATTTATGCGGTAGGCTTGTTTGTTTCTACTTCTTGCTTTTTCAACCTTCTTATTTGTTTTAATACTTTCTAATCTTATTAGTTGCCTTCAAAAGAAAATTTACACAAAAGGACTCGAATCACATACAATACTCGATTTAAATTTAATTTAATTATCATAGGTCAAGAAGGACGTAAGGTAAATAACTAAGGATGTAACACAAGTAGTTGAGATCAAACATGATGGCTTTACGTTATTGTAAACGACTAGAGGTGGGGATTTGATTTATAGCTAGTGTAGACGGAGCCTCGGGGTAGAAGGTGAGAGATAGGATTGGTAACTTACACCAAACATATATATATATATATATTTTCCATAAATTAATTTTATAATTAGTTATTTAATTTACTTTATATCTTTTACTTTTTTCATTTTATACATTTATTATATTCATACATATAATCATATATTAATTAAAATACAAGAAAAAAATACATCTTTTTTTATATAAATTACAAATCATTATAATCGTCCCGTTAATATATTAAAAATAACAATATTTTTTTTTATAAAGTTTTTTTTTGGCCATAAATTACCTTTTTATTTTATTTTTTACATGAAAACAAGCTTTATGTAGACATTATTCTTCTTTGTAAAGTTTTATTGTGAATATTTAAGTTAAAAAAATATATAAAATAATTAAAAAAAGTGAAATGAATATTTATTTCCCGATAAAATCCTTTGATCATATCCAGCTTCCCTCTGCCATCTTCGCTGTCGCCTTCCCCCACCCACACTCTTTCTTCATCCGCCAACACCTTCTCACCCAATTTCTCAAGTCCCATTCATACAAATCTCTCACCTTTCCATCTCAGGTTTGTAGATCCTGAATCGTCGATGAGTAGAAAAAGAATCCCCCTTTCTTGATTCCACCCAATAAACCCAGATGTTACTTCCCAAATCTGTCGACGTCTTCTCTTAATTTCATCTGCATCCATGGATTCCCCACTCTTGATTTTCTTTTTCTTATACTTTTGGGTATTTTCTCGATGTGTTGATTCCCAACAAGATTTGCAGCGGTCATCACCGCCACCGCCTCCGCCTCCGCCTCCTCCTCCCACCCCATCCCCACCGCCTCCACCTTCACCTCCTCCTCCTCTTCCACCTCCACCGCCGAGATCTCCTTCAATCCCACCTCCACCTCCACCTCCAAGAAAGGCACCACACCCTCCAGGATCAAGAAACACCATGGGATCAAAACAACAACATAGAAAATACCACCATCCTCCGAAGAATCTCAAACTGGGAAAGAAACTTGGATTTGTATTCGCGGGTTTAGCCGTGATCTTACAGATTTGTGTGGTGACCTTTTTGGTAATCAAGAGGAGGCATTTGATGAAGACCCATGAAGACAGATACTTTAACAGAACAGTGATCTCTTGAATTTTTTTTTTTCCTTTTTAATTTATTGAAATTACAGATTTGGAGGATGAGATGATTGATTCTGGAGCTTCTTTGTAAATGGGTAATTCTTGTATGTCATTCTTTTCCACAAATTTATTTGATTGATATTGATTTAGGTATTATTCACAGTTTTTCTATATCTCCTCTTCTTCCATTCACATTATAACTCAGTGAGATGATTGCTTGATACAAGCAAGAACTTAGTATTAAGTTTATTGTGAATTTAAGCATTCGAAATTTGGTCATTCTGAGTATGATCTAGTGATGGGATCATGGAATTCAAGTCATGAAATTGGAAATGCATATTGTTCTCTAGTTCCAAATTGGGATCATGGAGTTGAATATATCATATGTTTATTAGGTTTAAGTAGTCGATGGGCTGCAACTATTCTTTACCAGATAAGGGTTGGATTCAACCCATATGGACATCATCTTACATCTTACATCTATGTTCTAAAAACTTAATTAAGAATGAATGTTATTCACAATGAATGATTGAAATTTATAACATTGGTTCATTTATTCTGTGTATCTCAAACTGTTTTCACACAATGTTCAGAAACTAGATTGATTATACAGCAGAAAGAACCAAACAATGATACGAGTATATGATTTCTGTTTATATAGCAAGTGAATGAAATTGAAATGAAATAAGAAGACACATACAAGTCTTGGTAGAAATTTAGCATCAAGATATGCATATGATATTGAGAGGGATGTAGATTCTAAAGAAATTGAGGCTATATGTTCTTTGGAGAAGGAAGAACAAGAGTACTACATCATAAATGCATTGAAGTACCAAGAGAGAATGGGCATTGTAAATGGTGAATGGTTCAGCCATAGATATTTGGGTGAATATGGTAGATCCCACCTTTTCTAGAGGTTATGGGTTCAAGTTTGACGAAAGATGAAGAGTGTGTGTGTCAAGTTTGACGAAAGATGAAGAGTGTGTGTCATGGGTTCAAGCCTCGATAAAGGTGAATAATCAAGAATGTGTCATGGGTTTAAGACTCATCAAAGATGAAGAGTGTGTAAGTTTTCTCATATATGAATATTATATATTTTGAAAACTATGAGGATGAAAAGATTGTTACAGGATTACCGAGAGGACTGCTGAGATTGTGATTTATACATGATTCATGACTTGGGCTCCAGAAATTGCGTGTATGGGTTAAATATGCAAAGTTTAGGAGCGAGTACTCGATAAGGCATGGGCATGCCGTCCGTATTCATTCATGTTGACAGGGACGAAGCCAAAATTTAGAATTAAGGGAGCGTTAAGCAAGCATTCAATTACGTATTAGTTATAGACTATCTAAAACACAAATCAACATCAGTTTAAATGAAAATAAACCAAAAACCAAGGATGAAATAATAATAAAGTACAAGCGCCACTTGCATTTGTGGAAACAAAGGGTTCAATTCCTTGGGATTGAACTGGAACTGTATATGTTCATGTTCAAGTTCAAGTTCAATAAAAGAGATTCAAAAACATAAGGAATTGAACTCCAATAAAAGAGATTCAAAAACATTGGATCTTGCATGCTACAGTACAACTTGAATTCAAGTGATGGCCCAAAATTCGGGTCTCAGGACCCATTTAGGCTTGCTTACCGGTCTCAGTTTGGTTCAGAGACTTGGTTTAAAAAAAAAAATTTATTTTTTATATAAAAATATTATACATGTTTTCATAATTACGATTTTTAAAATTTAATATTAAAATACACTTTAAATAACACATTTAAGTAGATAAAAAATTTAAATAAAAAAATTGAGAATTTTAGAAAACTTGTATTATAATTATAAAGGCTTATTTATATTAAAAAAAGGGTGGAGTTCCACATGAAGCTTTAAAATCCCATAGAAAATGATGGTAAAGACATAGCTAGTCCCAATCGATCCTAGGGTCAAAGCTAATTTAACTATTGGCACCCTTAACCAACCCTTGCTAACTACATCTCTAACCCTATTGTTTCTTTTTGTCTTATTCTTTTTGTTCCTTAAATATTTGTATTATAATATATACAATTTGTGCATGCATCCATACACAACACATTATATATTATTATTATTATTATTATTATTATTATTATTATATAATAATAATGATATATTCATACTTAATATTATTATTATTTGATAATATGCAATTCCCTAGACTATTGTACCCTTAAATATTGACAATAACAAAAACCTTAGACAAAATTAAAAAGACAACAAATAATCAAAGTAATCATAATTTGTAAATAGGTGTCTATTAAGAATTTGATAGATGTTCAAATAAAATCATCTGATTTAGCTTTCAAATTATTTGTCCGACATCAACATCATATGTACAAGACAAGTTATCATGACCAAGAACCATATCATATGTACAAAGACAAGTCATCGTGACCAAGAATCAGTTATCATGTTAAGGTTGTCATAAAATAACATTTTTCAATAAGTTAGAATTATTTTTATGAATATTGTTAAAACACAATTAAAAAAATTTAGAATTCATTCTAAATCATTGTTATTTCAAAAAATGTAATTCAAAATCAGAGTTGGTTTTTTACAGTTACAATTTATCGACATAGTCTGGGATACCTATCCAAAAAAATGTCATTATGTTATGATTTTGATCATTTTGTCAAAGAGTTGGAAAAAAAATTTAGTACCAGACATGTCATGATATGATCACCAAATATTTCTTGTGCTAATGATTTGTTTCTCAGTTCAATCAAATGTAGTTACAAGCCTTCCGAGTTATATAAGTTATCAAGTTGCTTTGTTTTTATCTTGACTAGTGTTAAGCTTTGTTATGATACATTAAAAAGATGTCAAGAACGAATAGATACGGTTGAATGGGTAACGATCACCACAAGAAATCGATAATAACATCACCATCATTGGTGCCATCTGTTGCATGACTCTGTACACCACCTGTTACCATAGCTATATTGATAAACCACCTCTACAAATATAATAAACTACGTTTAAATTTCACATAGATCCTACCATCATCGACGTACATTATATATGTTCTAAAGTTTCAATCTCAAAATTCCTCAATTTGGATTATAACAAAATCATTAAAAGTCTTGCAGTATGGTACAAGACATTACAAAATACAAGAACTATATAAAACGACCACAGATGGTTCATCACATTATCACGTAAATAAAATTGTATAAGAGAGTATGCATCATGAGATTTTAAATCATTGATTTGTTTCGGGTCATCCATGAACTAGCTTAAAACGATCGTTTAAATTGTGTTCTATGCATATATATATCTCGGATGTCAAGAATCCAAAATGAAGTGTGTTTGAAAACGTCTACGAACCAAATTTTATATCACTGATTAAGAATAAATGCTAAATTGGATTATATTAATCTAAGAGTTAACCTGAACCTAATACGAAGGATGTGATGAATCGATTCAATGAGTATGGAGCTTCAAAATTTGCAGCATGTCCGACGTCCCTAATTATCTCCAACTTTGCTTTCATACCCAAATGCCTGCTTTCATCATAGATTATTTTGGGTGAACGTGTTGGTAATTTAGTGAAATCTATCGGTTCATTTCATGTAATGAGATTCATAAGAGAAGAGAGAGGTGTTAGTTAATAAGCTATAACCCGATTTAGGACACTTGTGAAAGCTAGCTAGAGGGTTAGAGGGAGCATCCTTGGAGTTGGCGGTGGGGGCCGCCCTCGTGGACAGATCCCAAGACCTCCACGGATTTTGTGCGAAAATCGAGATTCTAAGTGAAATTGAAGGCAAGAAGCCTTATGGACTTGGATTCACAAGTCTCTGGATACTATTCAGAAGCTTCTAAAGTGCTTTTCACTCTGAAATGCAACTCAAAAGCTTCTGAATGAATATAGGGTGCTTTTGAGTTGGTATCTGACATGTGCGGTTCTTCGCCCTCCTCGACTTCGTTTGCTGAAAAGAATTCTATAAACATATATATATATATATATATA